TGTACATCTCACCCCCAGGCCTGATCTCTGGCATCCCCTATGGTCCTCTGAGCATCACTAGGACTAATTCCTGGACGCAGAGCCAGAAATAACACCCCTTAGCATTGCAGATGTGGCCCAAAAACAAAAAATAGAACTTGAAGACTTTTTTAACTAGCAATAATTAAAAAAAATAAAAAAGCAACTGAAAGGCTTTCCCACCGTGGTCCCACCATTTTCATCTACTTATTCTGGTTTCAGTGTGCTGCTGAGGGCTCACTCTGGGTGCCAGGGAAGCAGCAGAGCCAAGTGCACCCACTCCCTGTGTATGCTCCCTTTACAATCCCATCAGATTTCAGCCCAGGGCAGGATAAACTACAGGCTGCCATTAGTTGCGTCAGACTGCAGCTAAGAAGGTTCCGATGTGGGGGAGGGAAGGAGACCTACCAACTGCTCAGGAACCCAAGAGATCACTCCCAGAAACTTTTGGCAGCCCAGCCAAGCTATGAGGCCCCAAGGAAACTGTGTGGCTCAGTGCCTGCAGAGAAAGAAATTACCTGGGCCTCACTGGGCAGTGCTCCCGGCTGCAGGGATGTGCGACTGGATCACGTTTGGTCATACCCATGGTTCCTGAATCTGTCTTCAGGAGTGTCCTCTGGCTGAGCTCAGGGGCCACATTCTTTTTTTTTTTGGGGGGGGGGCAGTGGGAGGTCCACACCTAGAGTGTTCAGGGTTACTCCTGGCTCTGCACTTAGGAGATCATTCCTGGTAGTGCTCACGTGACCACATGGGACGGGTCAACTATGTGAACTAATGTGAACTAATAATGAATTCATGCTTCATACAGAAACACAAGAAGCCCCAGACAGCCAAACAACACCGAAAAGGGACAAAAATTGGAGCAAAAAAGATAGTATACAGGGATAAAGTCTGCTTTGCCTATGTTCAACCCAGATCTGGTCCCTGGAACCCCATAGGGCCCTCTAAGCCCTACCAGGAGTGATTTCTGAGTGCAGAGCTAAGAGTAAGCCCCGAGTACCACCAGGTATAGAAGACAGGAGAGGACAGGAGAAGGGAGGAGAGGAGGGGAGGGAAGGGGAGTGGAAGGGAGGGGAGGAGAGGAAAGGAGAAGACATTGGAGACCTCAAATTTGATTATTTAAAATTAAGATACAAAACTACAGTGATCAAGACTGTCTGATACTAATGAAGAATACACACGGAGATGAATGGAATAAAGAAATCCATACTTTTGGGGGCTGGAACGATAATACAACAGGTAGGTTATCTGTCTTGCACAAGGCCAACAAGTGTTCAATCCCTGGGACCCCAAATAGTCACCTCAGCTCCACACCAAGTGCAGAGCTGGGAGTAAGCCCTGATCATTGCTGAGTATGGTCTGAGAGGGAGGGGGGAGTGCTAGAGAGAGAGAGAAAGAGGGAGAGAGCGGGGGTGGGGGGGGAATCCACACATTTATGTGCAATTACATTTCAACAGGATGTCAAGATAATTCCTTTGGGGAGAACTAGACAACTAGATTTTTCAGAGGCAAAAGAAAAAGAATATAAAAAGTTAACCCAAGGGACCAAGGAGCTAGCACAGAGGTAGGACTGTGGCTTCATCTAGATGTCCCATCCCCCCAGCACCATCAGGAGTGGCTCTGGTAGTCCCTAGCACTACCCAGCCTAAGAAGGACCACATCTTCAGACTTGGTCATTGAACCATCAGGCCTAGATTTGATTCCAGGTATCATACAGAGTCCCCCACAACCCCTGAAAAAAAGAGGTGGGGAAATCCTTCACAACTCTTAAAAGAAAGTATAAGAGGAGCCGGTGGAATACTAGAGAAGATAGAGCTCTGCCTTGCACACAGCTGGCCTGGGTTCGATCCCTTACACCCCATACGGTCTCCCGAGCACTACCAGGAGTGATCCCTGAGTCAGGAGTAAATTCTGGGCACAGCCAGCATTGCCCAAAAACAAAAGAAAAGAAAACATAGGAATAATTAATCCTTGTGATGGAGAACCAGGCAACAGTTTCTTAGATATGAAGTAAAGCAGAATCACCAAAGTATAGCAACCAAACCGGCATGTTTGGACATCAGCAAGGGAAGAGAAACCACAAGCCATATCTGATAAGCTAGATATTCCATGGAGCGATAGCACAGCGGTAGGGCATTTGCCTTGCACACAGCCAACATGGCCGACCCGAGTTCGATTCCTCCGCCCCTCTCGGAGAGCCCGGCAAGCTACCGAGAGTATTCAATATGCCAGACACAGTAACAACAAAGTCTCCAATGGAGACGTTACTGGGCCCGCTCGAGCAAATCGATGATCAACAGGAGGGCCTTTACCTTTACCTCCAAATAATTGAAGAACTGTTGCAATTCAAGACTAAAAAGGCAAATAACTAAGCAAGGGTTTGCGAACTAAGTGTAAGAAATGTTATGGATAAACTTACTAATTTTTTCAAATGCTAATTTTTAACAACCCATTTACTTTCACTGTTACCTGTTTAAGATACTGCAACGGGGTTTGTTTTCTGGATTTCTCAAAACTGAATCCTGTACCAGGTGTCCCTAAACTGTTAAGACAGAGATAGCAAACCTTGTTGGTTCTACTTTATAACTCAGCACAGTCTAGTGTGGCTCCCCAAACAAAAACAAACTGCCCCACAAAAAATCAAAACTCCTCATTCACTATGGGGGAGGGGCGTCTAAAGAGTCAGTATAGTGCGTAGGGTGCTTGCCTTGCACCGTGACCAACCTGGTTAGATCCCTGGCACCTGAGATGGTTTCCCTGAGCACAAAGCCAGGGATAAGCCCTGAGTAGCACCGGGTGTGGCCCAAAATAAAAACCAAATTCAGTCACAGGCCAGAGAGATAGTACAGGAATCGTGCAGCTGACCTGAGGTTGTTCCCTAGCACCCTAGACAGTTCCCCAGAGGCCTCCCAAGAGTGATCCCTGAGCTCAAAGCCAGGAATAAGCAATACGGGGTGAGGTCCAAAATCAGCAAATACATAAATCTCAGTCAGTTCTCTCACCACACTGCCAGCATCTGGACAGGCGCCCCCTTCCTGCGCACTGGATCTCCACAGGTCTCCACAGATCCTTCTGCTTTCCGCTCCTGCCCATGGCCCTGTCTATGTCCATGGAGCAGGCTGCAATTCTGCCCTCCTTGGACCAGACCCTCCAGTGCCTACCGTTCTCAGAGCTGCCTGAGGCCTGTCTTCATTTCCTGACAAGGATTCCCTGGGGGGCTGGTGAGGCGCTCCCCTCCTACTGAGAATGCCCAGCCAGGCATCCAGACGAGCCCTCCAGCAGGGGGCTCTGACCAGTTCACCTGCCCAAGAGCTCCTGGGCCACCCACACTGACAGCTCTATCTCCTGGTCTCTCTTCAAAGTCCTTCCCTGGACACCCAATCTGGAACATCCATAACCACACCACACAGAGCCCAGACATGCAGTCCCAGCTCCGTGCCTGTGTGCAGTACCACCCAACAAGCTGTTGCCAGCCCTGGGGGTGTCTGCTGGATATTCAACGAAGGCTTCGAAAGGGCAGCACTTCATCTGTTCACTGCTCTAACACCGCACCCGGAAGTGACTGACACGCAGGGACATTCAGGAATACGCACTGAGGAATGAACAAGCTGACAGGAATCTGAAGGAGGATGAGAAAGTGTCTGTGACAAGTGTCAGGGGCCTTGTAATTTACTATTAGGACGCTCCCAAATTCTGCCACTCCCAGGCAAGTCAGCCTTGCAGAGATGACGTGAGTCCCAGACAGAACCATGCATCTGTGCTGAAAGCAGGGACCAAGATGCATCGAGCAAAGCCCAAGCATGGCTGTGACACTACACCTCCACAAACAGTGAGCAGGGACACAGAAATAGAACAGATCCCTTCTACCCTGCCTTTGACCAACCTTACTCTGCAGAACAGGTCTTCCTGCTGAAGCATCTGAACAGAAAAGCTGACATCCAAACTTTCGAGCAGAGTGTGTGACTCTCGATTCATACATACCCGTCTTCTCAACAGCAAGTCTGAGATCCATGCATTTTATTTAAACTACTAATGATTAAGCTACTTCCGCTGATTTCCACACATTGAGAGCCGTTCAAAATTACTAAACAGAAATACTTGCTTTGGGGGGCCAGAAAGATAGGATAGCAGGTCGGGGACTTGCCTAGTGTGCGGTGACGCCAGGTTTGATCCCTGGCACTCCATACCGTCCCACTAGGAGTGATCCTTGAGCATTGGGCCAGGGGTATGCCCTGAGCACAGTAAGGTGTGGCCCCAAGAAAAAAACAAAGAAAGACTTCGGTTTCAATTCTAAAATCTTAAAACAGGTCTGGATGCTATCGGGAAGGATACACGCGAAGAAGAAGATGCACTATAATACTTGCCTGAAACGGACCAGGAAGAAAGAAACGAAAAGAAAGTGGAATTCTTGCCCTTCTCTAATTCTGGCCTTTGTTAACATGTTAATGTATCACACAGAAATAAGGTGCAAACAAGCGGCTCACGCGTTACCTTCAAGTAAGTTAAGAGGAAAGACCTACTTTATCAAAGCTGGCTGTAGAAAGGAACGCCCCTGGTACCCTGACTCTGTACACAAGCAACTCGGGTTCTGCCAGAGCAGCAAGAGGCAGAGATCAAAGTTTTGGATCGATTCCGGGCGGGAAGAGCCCTCGGCGGCAGCGGCGCGGGCGTGCCGGGGTGAGCCGGGACTCGGAACTGCCTGCTGCAGAGACGAGGCAAACGGGAGGGTCTGCCCGCCCCCTCGGCCGCAACAGGTGCCCGAGCTCTGAGACGGGACCTAACTGGCCAGCTCCGTCCTCGCATGAGCCAACACTGCCCCCGCAGTCTCGGGGCGCGCGCGGAAACTGGGCTGCGTCCGGAACGCCGCGGCCGAGTCGAGGCGGCCCCGCCGACACCCCTGCGCCCGTCCGTCCCCGCGCCCGGCGTGATGTCACCGCCGGCCCGCGGCCTCCCACGGGACAGGGCGGCCCGCGCGCACTCACGGTCGGTGCAGCGGCTCGTCGGCCCCGGCCGGGCCCTGCGGCTGCGGCGGCGGCGGCGGCGGCGGCGGCGGCTGCGGCTGAGGCGGCGGCGGCTGCGCCTGCGGCGGCGGCTGAGGCAGCTGAGACGGCGGCGGCGGCGGCTGCTGCTGCTGCTGGAACGACTTGAGGGACTCGAAGGCCTTCATCAGCTTTTCCAGGGTCGCCATGGCGCCTTCCCGGCCCACGGGGGCAGCGCCCGGAGTCCTCGGACCGGCGCGCGACCCCTCTCAGCAACGGGGCAATGAATGGGACTCGGGGCCGCTGACGGGAGCGGACCGCAGGCACCCGGCCATCTTGGACCCGTCCCGGCAGCCTCCGCGGCCGTGCGCCTGCGACGCTCAGTCGAGGGGGCGGGGCCGGGAGAATGACTGACAGACAACGTCGCCGCGTGAGTGGCCGCCTCCCGGAGCCACCTCGGCGGCTGAGGCGGCGGCGTTCAGGCGGGGCGCTGGGGCGGGGCCTGGCGGAGGGGGCGGGGCCGGGAGAATGACTGACAGACAGTGTCGTCCGCGTGAGTGGCCGCCTCCCGGAGCCACCTCGGCGGCTGAGGCGGCGGCGTTCAGGCGGGGCGCTGGGGCGGGGCCTGGCGGAGGGGGCGGGGCCGGGAGAATGACTGACAGACAGTGTCGTCCGCGTGAGTGGCCGCCTCCCGGAGCCGCCTCGGCGGCTGAGGCGGCGGCGTTCAGGCGGGGCGAGGGCGCGGCGGGGGCGCGGCGCCGGGGCGGGGCCTGGCGGAGGGGCGGGGGCTTCCAGGCGGCGGTGGGCGGGGCGTAGCGGGGCGTAGCGGGCGAGGCGACGCCTGGAGGGGCGCTCCTCGGGAAAACGGTGCCTGAGGAACGCGTCGCCGAGGAGAAGCCCCACTGGAGAGGAGGTCCGGGAGGAAGACGCCAGGGACAGAAGCGTCCCCGTCCTCCGCGGCAGTGGTGGTCACGGCCTGTCAGAGGACCGGCTTGAGCCCCAAGGCCTGGAAACCGGGCAAGTGGCGCCCTCCGAGTGCCTCGGGTCCAGGTGCTCCGCCAGGGCAGCTGTTTGCCTCGGGGCACCCGGGCGGAGCTGTGGCTCAGCTTGCCCTGCAGTGAGGCCCCCGAGGTGTCAAGGGTGGCTGGCTCCTTGAGGGCAGGGAGGGGACCGGCTCAGCCGGACCAGGGGCGCATCCGCCAGCCTCCCGGCGGTCTTGTTTCGCAGTCGCCTGTTCAGAGGGACAGATGCAATTGGGAAAAAGAGGTGACCCCTCCACCTCTGCGTCTGCAGGGTCCCTCCAAGCACAGAGCCAGATGCAGTGACTCCCCAGCTAATACACAAAAGGAGGAGAAGCCCTGAGCACTGCCAGATGTGGTCCCCAAAACAAAAAAGTTTAAAAGCCCTTATTGTTTAAAAAAAAATGGGTGTTGAATTTGGTCAAGGGCCAAATTCTATGAAAGATGATCTATGAAAGATGATCTTTAACATCTCCCTTAGGGTTTACTGGATGGTTCATTTAATTACTGAATTTCCTAAGATTAAGCTTTACAACGACTAAATTTTTATGTAACTGGGGAGGAGGGGGTTGAGCCACACCTTGGTAGTGCTCAGTATTACTCCTAGTTGTACCTGGGGAACCATATGTGGTACCACAGATCAAACTTGGTCAGTTGCATGCAAGCCAAGTGCCTTACCCACGGTACCATCCCTCTGGCCCTGGAGATATATATATAGAGAGAGAGAGAAAAAGAGAGAGAGAGAGAGAGAGCACTGTAGCACTGTCCTCCCATTGTTCATCGATTTGCTTGAGTAGGTCCAGGAACGTCTCCATTGTGAGACTTGTTACTGTGTTTGGCATATCGAATACTTCACGGGTAGCTTGCCAGGCTTTGCCGTGCGGGCGAGATACTCTCAGTAGCTTGCCAGGCTCTCCGAGAGGGGTGGAGGAATTGAACCCGGCTCGGCCGGGCTGGCTGCGCACAAAGCAAATGCCCTACCGCTGTGCTATTGCTCCAGCCCCATATATATATATATATATATATATATATATATATATATATATATGTATCACTCTGACTAATGCTCCCAGGTCACTCGAACCATACCCAGCACTGCTGAACTGGCAGCTATGGCATGTGGTGCCAATGATCAAACAGGGTCTCATACATGCCAGCTATGTGCTCTACGACTTAAGCCACATTTTCAGTCCTAATGAGGTACTTTAAAACACTTTGTTTTGGGGCCAGAGCGATAGCACAGCGGGTAGGGCATTTGCCTTGCACATGGCAAACCCGGGTTTGATCCCCGGCATCCCATATGGTCCCCCAAGCACCGCCAGGAGTAATTCCTGAGTGCAAAGCCAGGAATAACCCCTGAGCATTGCTCGGTGTGACCCAAAAAGCAATAATAATAATAATATTATAAATAAATAAACACTTTGTTTTGTGGGTACCCCTGGAGGTGCTTAGGGCTAAGTTCTGGTTCTGTGCTTAGGGATCACTCCTGGCTGAACTCAGGGGACTGTACATATTGCTGGGGATCAAACTCAAGTTAGCCTATGCAAGGCAAGTGCCTTCCTTGCTATACTCTGTATCCATATATCCATGTCCCAGCCATTTCCCCCTTCCATACACACACACACACACACACACACACACACACACACACACACACACACACATTTCCCCCTTCCCTTCAGTGTAGCTGTTGTTTCTGTCGTTCTGTGGTAGTATGTATGTTGGCAGTACTTGCACACTTTATCTGTGGTGGTTGGTGTTGTGCCAGGGATTGTACTCACAGGCCCCAGTGGTCTCACCCTTGCAAGTCAGGCGCTCTACTGATGAGCTATCTGGAGACCATGATGTCATTTTTGTTTTGGAGTGATTTGGGGGGAAGCTGGGTACATTCAGCAATACTTAGAGGTTACTACCAGCCTGGTGCTTGAGGAGTAGCTCCACAGCATTACTCATGGGACCTCTTCAGCCCCCTTGTACTTATTATTTTGTTTGGTCACACCAGCAGTGCTCAAGGACTACTCCTGAATCTTTGCAAAGGGGTCACTCCTAGAGGGACCTTGTGCTGCTGGGATCAAGCCCTAGACTCAGGTGAGCAAAGCATGAGCTCAACAGTTAGAGCTCTCTCTTCAGTCAGCCTTGGTGCTTTGTTTTTGGGATATACCTGGTCGTATGTGTTCAAGGCTTAATGCTGGCTTTGCACTCAGGGATCACTCCTGGCAGGGGAACCATGTGGGGTGACGGGGATTGAACACTGGTAGGCCATGATTCAAGGCAAGAGAGCACCCAGCCTGCTGTGTTCTGTCCAGGCCCCCTACTGCTTTTTGAAAGGTAGTTCTTTGACTTCATTTATTCCTTTGAAATTAGTTTGTTCACTTTTTTTTTTTTTTTTAGATTTTTGGATCACACATGGCGATGCTCAGGGGTTACTCTTGGCTCTGCACTCAGGAATTATTCCTGGCGGTGCTTGGGGGACCATATGGGATGCTGGGAATCGAACCTGGGTCAGCCATGTGCAAGGCGAATGCCCTACCCGCCCTTCTACCACTCCAGCCCCATCTGTTCACATTTTTTGTACTTCAACCGCACTTATTTTTTTTTTTTAAATTTTTATTAGTGAAACACAGGCTCCACTTTCCCACCTTGGGCACTGTGCTGAGTTTTGCAGGCAGCCACTGGAGAGCATCACCCGGAGGGTATCCGCCAGAGCACCATGATCCTGCCATTCCTCCAGCCCTGGGTGCTCCTCCTCCACCTTGGATACCAACATGCCCCAGTTGGCACACCAGCCACAGAGCTGGCTGTCAGGGAAATTCCTCAGTGTACTTCAGAGGTGGTGGGCAGCTATGGCTGGCCACAGACTGGCATCGCCATCTGGAAAGCCCCCATAGCATGGGAGAAAGGAGTACTCAGGCTGGGATTCAGTCCCATGGCATCACATGGGAAGGGAGATGAGAAACAAGAACAACAATAGGGGGACGCCCCCACCCCCAGAGGCCAACCCCCACTCCCAACGTGGTAGGGTTGCTGCCTGCGTGTTTCTCAAGCTGCCACAAGCTGTCACACCTCGGGGTTCCTGGGGTCCCAGCATCTACCCATGGCTTGTGCTTCAATGGAGGTGTCAGGGGAGACAGTTTGTATCCCTGGGGAAACAGTGGAGACTCAGCAGACTTGGAGCTGGGGCACATGTTTATTTTAAGTCACCATGAGGGCCTTTCTGGGAGGGTCAGTCTCTTGTTGCTCTGCAACTTTGTCTTCTTGGGGCAGGGGCTAAGGCAGTTCTGCAATTGGGCAGAAGCAGGGCAGTCACGGACCTGGGCAGGACCTCAGCCCCCCTTCCCAGCTGGGGCAGCGGAAACAACTGTGGGTTAACTTGACTGTTTTTAGTCCATTTAACTTGACTAACGTGACAACAAACAACTATTTTAATTCAGATGCAGAGGTCCTCAAAAAGATCCAATGCCACTGGGTCCCGGGACCCTCTGCCCTGGTGTCATCTGCATAGCCGTCAGAGGGGCGCCCAGAGAAGGATGAACCCACTCTGAGCAGGACATGCTGCGGCTCCATGTGTGGTACCACCGAGGAACAGACCACCCTCAGAAACTGGCAGGACAGACACCAGGTTCCCTGAGAAAATGTGGGCTTGTAAAAGAGCCAGAGATTTTCATCCCTGAGGCTTGGCTTTTTATTCGGTTTTGATTTTTGAACTGAAGTGTTCTGGGCCATTCCAAGCTCAGTGCTGGGGACAAAACGGAAGCATGTGGTTCCAGAGATCCTGCCCGGGGTTCCCACACGTAAAGCAGATGCTCCAACACCTTCCTGGCCATGAAGTTAGGCTTTTATGCTGTAGAAAGATAAGACTAGGGACAGAGAGATAGTAAAGGGTTTAGGAATTTGAACACAGCTGACCCAGGTCCCATCCCTAGGACCACACATGGTCCCCCAAGCACAAGGGGTCGCTCCTGAACACAGAGCCAGGAATAAATTAAGTACCTCCCAGTGTGGCCCTAAAACCAACCCACTTACACCCATAGCCCCAGTTAAAAAAAAAACAAAACCCTAGGGTGTTAATGGACAACCCTGAATACATACATGGAGAATGGACAGAGAACAACTTGGCATGAAAGGAAAAATTCCTAAGGTTAAGGCTGTTGTATAGTCTGTGCAAAACATCTTTCTATCCTGGAAGGAATCAGCACTTTACTGCAAAGGCAGTGAGACAAGGGGAAAAACTGGAACATACAGTAGAGCGATCTAGATAATGGAGGCTTTCGATCATTCTTAAAGATATGATTTCTGAGTCTAAAGTGCTTTTGGGTCACGCTAGCAGTGTTCTGTGGCTCTTTCTAGTTTGGTGCATGAGATCTGCTTCTGTGCAGTGCTGGGGACCAAAGCCAGGTTTCTCCCTGCAGAGGCTGCACTCTATCTGGCCCTTGAGCCATGTCCTGTGCCTTGTCATTGGCAGATGAATGTTCGCTAAAGCTAGTGAGTCTTCATACCAAAAGGAGCAACATGTGAGCATTTTTCTGGCTGAACTCTCCACAGTGTCTGCGGGCTGGCTCCTAAATCATGGCCAGTGCCTACCACAAGCAGCATGGCAGCAAGGAGGCGACTCAAAGACTTGAGCACAAACTTCACAGGCTGGAGGCCCCTAGTACAACTTAGTCCTCCAGGCACTGCTGAGAGTGGCCCAAATTTTTAAAAATAGTAAAAATAAGGTGCTGAAATAAAAAACATTCTTACTTTGGAAAATGTTACTTCTAACAAATTAAATGCACAAGACAACAAAACATGTGTGATGCTTACTCTACTTCTGAAGAATCTATAGAAGAAGCCTTTCTTTGATGAGGGAGATGCATATTTGTTCTCATCATCCAGGCCTTTCTCATTGTAGAGTTCATTTATGTCCTTGAAGCATTCAGATTCGATCATCTGCACCCCCAGGAGAGCAGAGAAAGGCCACATACGGTCAGGTGTGCACTCCAGTCACCCACCTGCTGCTTCTCTGTGCTTTTCTGCCACACCCAATGGTGCAGGAGCCACTCTGTGGCTGAGTTCTCAGGGCCACACCCAGTGTTGCTCAAGGACCATGAGGACAGCCCCCTGAGCCCCCTCTCTGGTCCCTGACCTCTTCTGTGGCTATCCTCTCCCTGAGGGTAACCCCAAAGCTGTTAACTGAGAGGATGCTGGGTGCTGGTCCACCTGCTTGGGGAACAGGAGTCAGAGACCAGAAAGCTCCCATCAGACTCAAGATGGTACCTTTTGTACAGGGACCGGAAGCAACTGCGGGCAAAACCTCATTTTCTTTGGATACAAACACACGGTCACCCCACATGGTCATATAATCACCCACGTGATCCCCACATAGTCCCAGAGTCACACAGTCACTGTCACACCCACAGTGCGTGGCCGTCCCCATGAGAAACGACAACAGCCGGGAAGGACACTACCTCATTCTGCCAGGGGATGGAGACAGAGCCTGTGGCAAACTGGGCGTAGAAGCTGGTGTCGGAGGAGTCAAGGTGGACGCCTTTCACTGCGGAGAACTGGTCGATGTCCAAGACATTCTTACAGTACACGGCTTGTGGCTGTGTGGCAAGAACCCAGAGGGCTGGGGGGCCTTTCCGGGCTGCAACCCCCCTACCGCACTTGAGCCCCACAACATGCAGCCGGAGCGAGATCCATGTGCGAATGCCCTGTTCTCATGGCATTCCCCCCTCTCCTCTCAGAGGGTCTCAGCTGCCAGGCTGCCCATTGCTTCCTGAGCCCCATTTTTCAGAAACTTTCCCAGTGCTTCCTGCCACCTAGCATGCTCCATGGATACCCACTGACCCCTGCAGGGTCCCCCCAGGCAGCCAGGACCAAGAGAAGTGAAGGGGCAAGTGTGTGGGGTGTGGTGTCAGGACACTTACATCAGGACAGAAAGGGGGCTCAAGCATATGTGCTTCCAGCCTCTTGAAGTTGATGTTCTTGAAGATGGGGTGTTCTTTCACTTCAGCTGCCCCTTTGCCCTGGCACCCCAGGCGATTCTTGGGATTCTTGGTGAGCAACTGCAAGAGGCAATGAAAGTACCATTCCACCACTCAGCTTCAAGAGAAAATGATCCGAGAGAGCTCCAGGGCTAAGCGCAAGCTCAGCATGGGCCTGGGGTGTGCAGGTCCCAGCTTGTCACCTGGGGGCTCACGCGATCTGGAGTAAAAGCCTCCTGCACTTTCTCCCACTACAGAATCACAGCATCAGTGCTGTTACAGTCAGGGCAAGGAACCACATCAATCTAGTCATTAAACAGACTGCTAAGGCCACAGGGAGACAAAGACTGGCAAGGGTCGGAGGCATAGCATGGGGGGCTGGGCTGGTGCTCGCCTTTCATGTGGTCAACCTGGATTTGATCCCTGGCACCACACAGAGTCTCTTGAGCCCTACCAGGAGTGATCTGTGGGCACAGAGCCAGAAGTATGCCCTGATTACTATGAACCAACCCCCCCCCCAAAAAAAAAATATCTATTGGCAAACCAGGGCCTGGGATGGCCCAAACCCTGCCTCCCAAAATATGGCCCTGACCGGGGAGGAGGCAGGGGGGCTTCCTTCCCAGAGGCTGCTGAGGTGGAGCAGAGCCTGTGAAGGCGGGACTTCCCAGAACCCCTGGCAACTGCCAGAGAGTGACAGGTTCCCCTGCCCAGCCTCTGGAACCCGACTCACCATCCTGCAGATGGATTTGGCATTCTCAGAAAACTTCTTGGAATACTCTTCAGTGTCATTCTTCACTCTTTGGTCCACCTCCTCCCGCTGGACTTTCTCTTTGAATTTTCTGAATGGAGAATGTCCCTGAATCATTTCATATATCACACAGCCAAGTCCCCACCAATCAGGACTAAACGTGTACTTTTCATTACTGAGCACTTCAGGAGCTACACAACAGATACAGGAAATCTCAATTAAATTAATGTTGGGGTTAAAAGTCTCCGTAATTAATTCCAGATAATAATACATATGAACTCTGTGAGTGTGAGGGTGTGTGTGTGTGTGTGTGTGCTGGTCATCAAGCCCAGGGCCTACATGACCGAGATGTGTGCTCTACTATATACTCAGACCCAGAAATTTCATATTCATTACAACCTGGAAATGATAGCAACTCAAAGATGCTAGATACAAAAAAGCAAATAGTGTATTATTTTATTGAAATTAAACAAGCACAGGGCCAGAGAGATAGTAAATTGGGGAAGGCACTCTTACACATAGTCGACCTGGGTTCAATACCTGTCATCCCATATAGTCCCCTGAGCCTGCCAGGGGTGTTCCCTGAGCACAGAACCAGGAATATGTCCTAAGCATTGCCGGGGTGGCTCATAAACCAAAATTAATTAATTAAAAAATAAATGTGCACAGGCTGCAGAGATAGGACAGGGATTAAGGTGCTTTCTTTACACTTGGCCAACCTGGGTTTGATTGCCAGCACTATGGATGGTCCCTCCGAGCATAACCAGGAATGATCCCTGAACATAAAACCCAGAATAAGCCTTGAGCACTGCCAGTTATGGCCCCCAAATAAAAACAAATTAAGTGGATTGAGTGTTAAGAATGGAAACAAAGTGAACTGTGGCGTTAGTCCAGGAGGGACAGAGCAATGGACATAGGAGGCTGGTGTCGGGCGTGATGAAATGTCCCAGCATTAGATCAGGACACCAGCCACGCAGCTGAGTATTCTGGGGCCCATGTGACTTCAGATGGTGCATTCTATGGCACTAATGGCAGGTCAGTCCAGAAACACTTTACACGTTCATAACAAACTGAATTGCCATGAGTAGCGAGTATAGGAGGCAGCTCCAGGAAGCCCCCTGGGCATCTAGTCCAACCCCCAGAAGCAGGTGGCAGCAGATACCCCAGTTCCCTCTGATCAGAGGCAAACTGTGGGTGGGGTCACGTACACATGCATCTTCCCTCTGCAGTCGTGCCAAGGCGGTCTCGGCTCCCTGAGGTGGGCATTTATCTCAGGCTCTGAGGCCTGTGAGGGTCAGGAAGGTGAGGCCAGGCCCCTTCTGTTCTCTCTTAACTGCACTGTCTCTGTGAGGCTGGCCGGGAGAGAGGAGGCTGGCCCAGCTGGTTGTGTGCTGGCTCCCAGGTTTAAACACATCTCCAGGCGCCCGCCCGGAGCAGTGTCTCCCTGAAGATGGGTTTCTAGAGAGAAAGTGCTGGTGCCAAAGCTTCCACATACCCATGTAGCCGACGGTTCCAGCTCTTCCTCGAACCATTGACCCCTCTGGGATCTCAATGGCTAACCCAAGATCTGAAATCCGGATGTGTCCTGTGTGTGTTCAAATACATCACACAAATTATGAGGCGGGGTGGGGGGGGAATTGACACTTAAACAACAGCGAGAAAGAGGACAGAAAGGACATGTGAGAAACACCTGATGGCTATGAGGGAACTATCTAGAATCACAGAGAGACATGCAAGTAAATGCTACAATGCGAAAATTAAACCAGGTGCCAGAGGCCAGAGTGACAGTACAGTGGGCAGGGTGCTTGCCTTGCAGTGGCTAAGGTTCAATCCCTGGCACCCCATATGGTCCCTCAAGCCCAACAGGAGTAACCCTGAGCACAGGGTCAGGAGGCAGCCCTAAACACCTCCAAATAAAAACTGGAGGCCATGAGATAGTATTGTGGTTAGGCTCTGTCAAGTTTGAATCCTGGTGTCACATGTGCTGAGGGACAGCCCTGAATCCCAAAGCACCACCAGGTATGGTTTCAGAACCCCCCCAGCACCCTCGGGTATGGTCTCAGAACCCCCCAACACCCCCAAGTATGATCTCAGAAGCCCCCCAGGACCCCCAGGTATGATCTCAGAACCCCCAGCACCCTTAGGTATGGTCTCAGAACACCCCCCAGCACCTCTGGGTATGGTCTCAGAACTGCCCCAGTATCACCAGGTATGTCTCAGAACCCCCCAGCACCTCCAGGTCTGGTCGCAGAACCTCCCAGCACTGCCGGGTGTGGCCCTGGAGCTCCCAGCACTGCAGGGCAGCCCTGATGAGCTGGGCAATGCCAGACCCTGCGGGATGGCAGGGCAGGCCAAGCATCGCAGGTGAGCTGGAGCCATAAGTCAGTGGGGAGGGCACTTGCCTCACATGTAGCCAACCCAATTTCAATCCCTGGCACCCAATATGGACCCCAAGCCTGCCAGAAGTAATTCTTCCGTGTAGGGCTGGGAGTTAGCCCTGAGCACCACTGGATGTAACCTACCACTAAAATTAAAAAAAAAAAAAAAAAAAAAGAATTGTAGGTGGGACCCCTGGACCTCCTGAACACTGCTTGGAAACCCCACCCCAAAAGAAAAAGGAAAAAACCCTTTCATTTCAGGTAAGGCCATGGGCAGGACCCTCGGACATGGTGCCAGCACGAAGCACCCCAGAGAAGCCCCAGACCAGGGAAGAGCCTCCTACTCCACCCAGTGGGACCCAAACAAAACATCCCGTGAACTGTTTCACACTGAGTAAAATCTGCCCAGGGCACTGAAACCCACAGAGCAGGCGGTGAGGCAGCCACACTTGATGGCCGCAGCCTGCAGACACTGCAGAAGCACTAGCAAGAGCTAAGCTGACAGTTCCCTGAAAATCATACTCTAGATTCAATACACTTTCAGCTATGGTCCTGGAACCTGGGAGATCCTGCAGATTGACTAGGGAACTGACAGGGAAGAATGCCAGTGTCGACCTGTGATGACAGCGTGTCCCCAGCTTCCTTCCTTCTCACTGTCCCCACCTCTACCCTCTCTCTAGATATGAGCAAATCCAAATGCATATGATCATCTTCCTTCTTACGCAGAGGCAGCCCCACCCCTGGCCTACTCTATACTCTCCCTTCCACAGCACAGCCGGGCACTGCCCCTTGCTGGTATAGGCCATGCCCCTATCTGTCTGCCACAGTGGCAGCAGGACTGAATGGCAGCTTCAGGGCCACAGCACTACCTTGGGCAAGATCCCAAATTGCGGCTCACCTCCTTGAAGAGAGGATCCTGCCTTTCCCCCCACAAGCCTTTCCCAGTTCCCTGGATGGACTGCGGACAGCAGGAAAGAGGCCACTTGGCCAGGAGGGAGGAATCTGTGCTTCTAAGTGCCCCACAGCCTTCCTCTCCTCGGCAGGAGTGGGTCAGCCTCAGATCACACTGTCTCCTGGACGTCGCCAAGGTTTCGAGACAGTGGGAAGGCCACCAACCAAACCGCTACGGCTGAGTGACCACCAGGCAGGCTGTGAACGCAAAGCCAGCCACAGGGCCCACACAGCCATCTGTAGTGCTGCTTGGAGATGGGTGCCCTGGGAACGGGGACCACCACCTGGGGGCTGAGGCTGAACGTGGATGCCTGGCAAAAAGCAGGAGAGAAAGAGGAGCTCCTGCTGGGTTTTCAACATGCTTCCGAGCGAAAGCAAGAATGTCTGCTGCGTGCCTCACAGAGGTCCCAGGCAGGCCTCGCAGTGGATCCTGTCCAGGAAGTGTACAGACTTCTCTCCAGGCCCTGCATAGCTGGTCTGTTGGACAGACTTACCACGATCATCCAGGAGAATATTCTCGGGCTTTAAGTCTCTGCAAGGAAAGAAGCAACAACGAAAGGCTTGGTTACAGAGGCCGGCACCCAGCAGGCATAGGAACGAATGCCACTGCCCGGCCCCTCCCCCTGCCATCCCACGAGGACAGTGCCAGGGGAAGCGTTGGCCCTACCCCTGCCCACAGTCAAAGACAAGTCTGTGATGAGCTGGGAAGTGCCCAGGACAGGAGGGACCAGTCCTGCGTGAGCGGCCCTCATGGTGTCACTGATACCCTGGGTCAAGACAGCAAAGGCTCCCACATGAGAAGAAGTCAGTTTGGGGGCTCAGGCAGATGTGGATTAAGTCCTCGCTCTCCCACTTCACAGTTATGCGTCCTTCGCCTCACCGGCCACGCTGTCCTTGCCTATAAGAGTGACTGACACCCACCCTCTTCCCAGGCTCTGCAGACTCCGGTGCACCCACCTTCCCCCACCCCCCTGTACTCCCCAACCCCGCAGGAAACACACTGTCAACATTAGTGACCGATTCAGCAAACACCCAATGGACATGCATCACAGAAGACTGAACTGCGGGGATGTCAGCTCTCTAGGGTTAATCATTTCTCTCAGAAGGAAAACACTTCCCAAAGGACAGAGAGACAGGGACTGAGTGTGTTCCAATGCCGGCTCAGCGCATCCGGACCACAGGCACTGAGGTGCTGCCCGCAGGAATGTGAGGAAGGTGCGCAGCCTGTGGGCACGGGGTCTCCCACAGCCTCTTGCATACTCCTGCTCTTCCTGGGCTGGATTTTTTGGTTTTTTTTTTTTAATTCTTTTCTGTGTTGTGAAAAGCTATATAAACGTTATGAAAAAAATGCAGTGGGGCCGAAGTGATAGTCCAGTGGGCAGTGCTCAGAGGTCACTCCTGGCACTGTACTCAGGAATCACTCAGGGTGGTGTTTAGGGGACCTTATGCAATGCTAGGCACATGCAAGCAAATATTACCCACTGTGCTGTCACTCCAGCCCCAGTCCCTAATTTTTACAGGACACCCAAATCAACAGTTTCCTTTTAGACGTTCACAGAATAAAGCAGTAGCATGTAGTGGAGCTGAGAGTAAGTGTTTGGCTGCACTGCACACATCCATACACGCTTGGTTGTTGGCCTTAGTTTTTTGTTTGGGGGGTTACACCCACGTGCTCAGGGCTATTATGAGGGCTTGTTGTCCCTTCCAGGGTGCTTGGATCCACACAGTCCCACTTTGGAACCCGAGGCACACATGTGAGAAGTCAGTGAAGGCTGGCGGGGCCTGGGACAGCAGGTTAGCACCACACCCCATGGCCCACCTACTCTGGAAGGACACCCCTCCCCCATTCCCTCTTGGCTCTCCGTTTCCCATGCATTCCGGCATTCACCCTGGAGGGATGTGCAGGTCAGGCCTTTTGTGGCTCACAAAGGGGGTGTGATGATTTTATACCCTTCCCACTCTGTGCTCTGGAGTCAGGGGTGTGGGGGTCCAAGGGCCTCCCTCATCCCCAAAACAGTTCCAGGCGGCCGCCAGCACCTGGACTCATCAAAGGCCTCCAAAAAATCCCAGACAAAGGAAATCCAGCCCAGGCTGGGCTAGGTTTGAAGCCTGGCACAGAACGGAGATTCCAAGCTCTGCACAGCATCTCCTGATCCCCACCAGGAATAGACCCTGAGCACTGCCAGATATGGCCCCATAGGCCCGTAACATAACAACAAAATCCAGGACACTGGATTTTGTTGTTAACACTGCCCTGGGGCCTTCTGACAAAAGCGGTGGTGGTGGGGGAAGCAGGGGGGGCTCTGGAATAAAGGGGCTGACAGCCATGAGGCCTGCTGGTGGGGACAGAGAGGACGCTGTCCCACAGCACCGCGCCCTGGTTGTCACCTTCAAGCCTTAGGGCTACGGGCACCGAAGCCCTAGCCTGCGCAGTTCCCATGCAGGCTGGGAACGGTGCCCATACTTGGTTCTGGGAGAGAAGTGGGAATCCCAGCGCCACAGACTTATTCCGGGTGAGGCTCGGGGCACCTAGGCCTCTTGAGGGACTTGCCAGACTCCTGCTCCTTGCACTGGGAGCCGTGCCAAGGCATGGGATGGCGAGGCTCCGGTGGGGGCGACCCGGCACAGCAGAAGCACAGACAGCTGCTCCAGGGCAAGCCGAACAGGGCAGAGCTGGGGACGCAGGCGCTAGAAACTCGGGCACAGCCTGAGTTCACTGCTCCTAGACGGCTGCACACAAGGGGCTCAAGGCAGGGCCAAAGCTGAAGGGGCGGGGCTGCCTGTCACCAAACCAGAAGGATCCTGCCCCACCGCTGCTGCCCAGAAACGGTTCCCAGGGCAACGAAGCGGGAGGAGGCAAAGGTCAGAACCCCGCACCACGAGGTCCCCCAGACAAAGCCAGGCGTGGCTCAGGAGCACCAAGAGCAGCACCACCTACCCTCCCTCCGTACCTATACACGATCCGCTCCCTCTGCAGGTCCTCCAGGCCGCAGCACAGCTCGGCCGCATAGAACACAGCACGCTCCTCCTCAAAGCCAGGCTTCCCCAGGTTGTGGATGTGGAACTTGAGGTCACCTCCGTTCATGATGGTCAGCACCAGGCACAAGAAGGCTTTGGTCTCATACGTGTAGGCTAAGCTGACCTAGGGAACAAGAGGCGGAGACTGGGCAGATGCCTGCTCCCCACCGCCGGCCACACTGCAGCCGCCTTGAGACGTGGCTTTGGCGGGGGTGTTTGGGGTGTGGCAGTGGTGCCACAGCCACGGCTGCAGACCAGGCAGTGACCTGGCCTCGAGACCGTCGCTCTGGCTTTGGAAGTCATGTAACTTGACTATAGGAGAGAGGAGGCAGGAGGAAGGGCCTCAGTTGGGGTGCTGGGATCCTGTCTCCCTTCCACAATCCAGAGGACTATTTCTATTGACTATTTTTTGTTTTGGTTTGGTTTTGTACTTTGTCAGTGTTATTTTTTTTTAATATTCTGGCCATGTTCAGCTCTGCACTAAGGGGTCACTTCTGGTTATGCTGGGGGACCCTCTGGGGTGCAGAGGAACAAACCAGGGTTGACCGTGTTCAAATTAATATAAACTGTGAACGAGTGGGAATTATAATATAACAACATATCAACATTTAAAGATATTGGTAATTGATATTTAGTTAAGAAAAATCTGCCTCCAGGTGGGAGCGATAGAACAGTGCGAAGCTGATCCAGGTTCAATATCTGGCATCCCATATGGTCCCCTGAGCACTGCCAGATGGGTGACCCCAAAACCAAAATAAAAAAGGAGAATCAGGAAAATAGAAATGACTGTATACTGATGCTCAAAATAATCAACAAAATGAAAGAATTTCCTGAAGCACTGTGTGTCTTCTAAAGTCCAGTGCGCTCTATCTATCTCCACATTCGGTAGCCTCGAGCCATTTCCCCGACCCCAGGGAGGTTGATGGCGATGGGCAGGCAAAGGAACGAATGAGGACCAGGCTGGTTGGTATCAATTGTAGTTTATTCCAATCTTCAATCTCACCTCTGACTCTGCCCTCTGGAGCCCGAGCTCCCAAGCCCGAGCCTGCGCCTCAGCCTGAGCCTCAGTCTCTGCTCTCTCGAGCCCAAGCCCCCTCCGAGCTTAGGTCTTAGTTTATATCGCAATCACATAGGGTGGTGACACAAAGGTGGGTTGAACATTAGCAAATCAGCAAAGAGAGGTAAGACCACTCCTTACTTTATCCTTGAGGAGACTAACTCAAGGATAAAATTTCATCTAAAGAGATTATTCCAGATTACTAGGAGTTCTGCTCAAGGTGGGATCCCAACAAGGGTGTATTCTTTACTCAGCTAGTAATCTACTTAAATAGTTGTAGTAAATCTACTTCCAATATCAATGGAATGTCATTCTGTATGAGCACAGTAAGAGATATAAACTTAGTTTGGTTCTTCCTGAGGACATCTCACTATGTATTCCACAGTCCTCAGGTCAGGTTAGTCTTCCTAGCCCCAGCAGGCTCTTAGTCTTGTTACTTACTTTTGGATCGTGACAGCATTTGTCCATGATCATGCCCTCAACTTAGAGTTGAGTATCATGGTGCTTTGACCTGGTCCATTTCGATGCCAGGGTAGCTCACAGCTTGCCCTGGGTCCATTCAGTCCCTCGTTGGGACACTGCTTTTGGGGTGCTAGGAACTAAGGGCAACTGAGTCAAGAAAGCAGATGCCCAGCAGTAAATATTATTAGAAATCAATCAACTCCCAAGTTACAAAGCATAATATAGCTATCTTCCTGTGTTCATACAGAAAGGATATTGCTTTAAGGTAAACTATCCAAAGAATATAACTTACAATACAAGTTCAGTGTCCTTAGAAGTATCTGATCTTACAAGCTAACAAAATCTGATTAGGGAGAAAAGGTGATTAGCTGGGGAGGAGAGCACAGAGAAGAGTTTACAGATAAACAGAGGAATGGGAGTGACTGTGATGGGTGTAACCTGATAAACCTAAGCTCACTGTGGCAATGTTATCCTAAAAAGCACAAAAAAAAAAGAACCCCATAAAATCCAGACCATGGAGTTGTTTCAGGTAGATACAAAAGTAGGTTTCACACAACTCTCTGATGCCACTATTTTGTTTTCTTCACTTACTAACGCTGCCTGCCCACGTCTGGCTCTGGCCGGGCCACTCCCTGGCGCCTTCCTGGCCCAGCATAGGGATGGCCAAGGAGGAGGTCCATGCCGTGACAGCGCAGCGGGCAACAGACTGGCCTGCCACTCCCCTGCCAGGGCTCAGAGTGGACAGGGCTGCAGTTGACTGAAGCTGTGCAGGGCAGCAGAGGTGTGAACAGAAGGGGAGGCAGGTACTTACCACAAATCTGCTGTGCACCTTTTCTAGAAGCCTCTTCTCATTCAGAGCCATGGCTTCCCCATTCCTCTGCTTGATTCTCTTTTTCTCTAGTTTTTTACAGGCGTACAGCTTCCCTGTAGCCCTCACTTGGCAGGCACAAACCTAGTCGAGAGAGAAAGGGTGTCGAGGCCTAGACCCAGCTGCCCAGCCGGCCCAGGGGAATGCAGGGGAAGGCAGGAGTGGGGGTGGGGGTGGGGGCGCAGGTGGGAGTGAGGATACAGGTGGGGTGGGGGCACAGGTAGAAACGGGGGTGCAGTTGGGAGTGGGAGTGCAGGTGGGAATGGGGGACAGGTGGGAGTGGGCGCAGGTGGGGGTGGGGATACAAGCAGGAGTGGGGGGTGCAGGTGGGAGGGGGCAGGCAGGAGTGCAGCTCAGCCCCATTCTGCACACACAGCACCGGCATTTTTCCGGTTACCGAGTCTGTGTGTTTAGTGGAGCCCCTTCTCCTTTCTCCCCACTGTGAGAACCAGAGCTAAAGACTCTTGTGGCTGATTACACTGACTGGGGGTTGGGGGAAGACACACCCAGTGGTGCTCAGGGATTACTCCTGGCTCTGCACTCAGGGATGGGGGGACCATATGGGGTGCCAGGGACTGAACCCGGGTCAGCCACATGCAAGGCAAGTGCTGTTCCAACTGTACTATTGCTTGGGAACTTCATTAATTATTTTTTTAAATTTTAACAACTAGAAACTGGAGAGACAGTCCAGCAGGGAGGGCCTTGCCTTGCATGCAGTCAACCCAGGTTTAATCCCGGCATCCCATACGGACCCCCAGACCCCCAGAAGTGACTTCTGAGTGCAAAGACAGGAGTAATCCGGAGCACTGCCGGGTGTGGCCCAGAAACCAAATAAAGAAGTAAATTAAGAATATACAGATATAGATGCCAGAGAACATGCCTCAAAGGGCTGGAGCACCTGAGGCAGGCAGGAGGCCCGGGTTCAACCCCTGCCACACAGCCCCGAGCACCGCTGGGAACGACTCCTGTGCGTGGTCAGGAGTGTGTCCCCAAAGTGATAGCACAGAAATATAAGAACATGTAATTTACGACTTTCCATAATTTTATTCTTAGATCTTTAGAGTAGTATTTACACAATAACTTACACTGAAAAAAGCATCTTTCTAAAAGTACTTTAACTATCTTGGATTGTTATCAGACCATATCTGGCAATACTCAGGGGCTACTCTCTGCTCAGTGCTCACAGTTCTCCCAGTACTAGTTGGGGGGCGTCCATGTGGTACCAGGGATAGACAGGCCTCCACATGAACTTAGCCCATTGAACTCTGCCCTAGCCCCTACAAAAACATTTTACATACACAAAAATGAGTCCCAGGACCCAGGGCCTGCATCACCAGGATAGGCTCCTCCCACCCCCACCCCCTTGGTCACTTTTAAGAGTCAAGAGAAGTACCAGCCCTTCCACTGGGGAATTCCTGGTGGCAGAGCACAGGCCCCCTAACACCTCTGTGTGTAGCCCCTGTAAAATTAAATTTTAATTGAAGAATAAAGCAGAGATGACACCATTTATCCCTCACTGAAAGAAGCTTGAAGGCAAAATACATGACTTGTGGGAAATGCCGTAAGTGCCGATGAATGCAGCGATATAACTCCCCAAGAGGCCTAGGGCTTGGTGGCCACAGCGCCCGAGCCCACTTAGTACATGCCCCTCCCTGAGCGGGCTTGCAAGGAAATCTGCACTGACAGAATCCAAATGGCGACTGCTGGAGGCACCAGAGCATCTTTCGGTCAGACTGACAATGACATTTCCTTCCTCCTCTTTGGCCCTTAAAGAAGCCTCTTCCTTTCGCTGCCCAGGTGCAGCCCACCCAGGTGGATGCTTGCCTGCTGCTCCATGGGAACCTCACTTCCCCAACAGCACTGGCACACCCTGGCGGTGTGCAGTGCTGTCTGTGCTGTGCCAGTCCCTGGGTTGCTGACATTGTGCTTGGGCCTGTGGGTGGCCACTGTGAATCCAAGCATCCCCAATGGTCTCTGGCCCAGAATTCATGTCTACTGATGACCAGTCTGACTGCTGGCGCAGACTCTCCCACCTCTTACTTTAGATCAACTGGACTGTTGGCACAGAATCTCACACTTCTTACTGAAGACCAGTCGTACTATTGCCGCAAAATCACCTCTTACTGAGGAACACTTTACTTGGAAACAGGCGCACATGAAGTGGTCTGTAAGCTGGAGAACACACTGAGTCCGTCACAGCTAAACTGCTGCCATCATGTCACTCACATGTAGCATGCTCTGTCAACACAAGACCCTGGTCTTGGTGCTTTCCATCTCTGTCCTGTAACAGAGCCTGACCCAGAAAGGTAGAAGAGTGGACGGGAAGGTGACTTACTGTCCTGCTTAGTATAAATGTTCAAGAGGTACTGTTCAGTAGTGACGGTGGGCAGAAGAGTGAGAATTTTGTTGTGATTTCGGGGCCAAAACCTGTGGTGCTCAAGGCTCACTCCTGGGGGTTCACAGGGACCCCAAGGGGTCCCAGGGATCAATCCTGAGTCAATTATGTGCAAGGCAAGCACCTTTTCTACTGTACTATCACTCTGGTCCCAAATATATACATATATAGTTTGTTTGTGGGTCACACTCAGTGGTGCTCAGGGGTTACTCCTGGAACATGCCCAGAGATCATGCCTGGCAGGGCTCAGGGGACAGCATGTGAGCATGTGGTGCCAGGGATAAAACTCAGGTCATGGGCATAGCAAGAGTATTACCTCTCTGGCCAGAAATATTCTAAAGACCCCCCCAGGACATGCTGATGTGCCCAATTCTCCTAAAGCAGTGGCTAAGGGGATCAAGTTCTCATGAGGCAGTGAGGCCGACCTCAGAGCACAAGGCCGCTGGGGCTAATCACCTGTCAGGGAGTACTGGTGGCCTTGGCTTCTGGAGAACCTCGGGTCCAGCATGGCTAGATCCCATGGGCCGTGTTGCTCGCTTCTGACTTAACATGCTCTCACATTCCGAGGCTTTGTGGCCTCTAGAAGCTTGAAAATCCTTGAACTGCCCCATTATCCCAGAGAGCCCAGGAGGCCATTTCTGCCTCTTTGATGCCCTGCAGCCACTGGAGTCTCTGCAGGAGCACCACCATGTCATGCCCGAGAGCCTCTCGACAAGCGCTGGCAGCCTCCCCTCCTCCCAGTGGCCGTGGGCCCAGACACCCACGCAGACTCGCAGGAAGGGCACGTGTTCAGTCTAATATTCTGGGCAACATGAACTCTGAGACTCATCTGAACTCAGGGAAATTCGGTACGAGAAGCCCCACAACAGGGACACAGAACAATTTCTTAGTGAGCACAACCTGCCCACAGAGACCTGCTGCCTCATCAGACAAGGGGAAGTGCCATCTTAGAGCAGTTCGAAGTGACAGGTGACACCACAGAGGCCAAGGGCTTTTCCGTACCGTTTGTTGCACCTTACTTTCACTGTGGGTTTTAATTATTTCCAGGAGACACAAGGAAATGCAGCCCCAGTGACGCCTTTCAGAAAGCACCATGATCTGGAGACGTACTGCTCATCAATTCTGGACATTACTTACCTCTCCAAAACCACCTTTTCCTAGAATCCTGTAATATCGAAACGTCTTCTTTGTTATTGGGCGCCTAGTTAGTTGAAAAGAAGAGAAAAATAGGTCTTAGCTCTCCCATCACACCAGTTTGTTTTTCCGCTTGTGTTCTTGGTGCTCAGGACTTACTCCTGGCTCAGTGCGCAGGGATTAGCCCTGGTGGGGCGGGCATAGAGCTTGGGTCGGCCACGTGCATGAGTGGCAGGTGCCCTGCCTGCTGTTCTCTCTCCAGCCTTCCCAGGGGGTTTCTAACAGCCCCCAGGAGCAGGAACTTGCTCTGAGCAGCAGGCAGGTTACCATCACTAAAGGCAAGCCTGCCCACTCTGAAAGATCTCTGCATTCTTCACAGCTTCTGAGCAGGGACTCAAAGTTGTTGGAGGAAAGAATGACTTATTTTCTGTAAGCTTCCCTTGAGAAAAGAAACAGAGTATCTCAAGGGAACATCTGAACTGGAATTCATCGGCAAATATTAGCTAGAATACAAGGTCAGTGGCAGCTATTATATCAGTTAGAATGTCCTGTGCTAAGAGCTGACTCGTTTCGCAGGTGCTTCTAGGGATCTAGTAGGGAAGGTCTATAATAACCTCCACTGCACACATCAGGGCCCAACACTGGTTGAGGCCAAGCAGGCCGTGGTGAGCACGGTGCACTGGGGTCTGGGATACACACTGCCTCCCAGTTCAGCACAGTAGGGCTCCCTGAGTGGAAACAGGGCAAAATCACTCACATCAGGAGGACCACAGCCGACTACCAACTCATAGCACTGCTTTGATAAATAGAAAATTATTTCCATACTATTTTGCCTTAAGAAAAGTTACTATTTTGGGGGCTGGAGCAATAGCACAGTGGGTAGGGTGTTTGCCTTGCACTCGGCCAACCTGGGTTTGATTCCCAGAATCCCATATGGTCCCCTACGCATAGTCAGGGGTAATTCCTGAGTGCAGAGCCAGGAGTAACCCCTGTGCATTGCCAGGTGTGACCTAAAAAGCAAAAAGCAAAAAAAAAGTTACTATTTTGGGGCTGGAAGAATAATAGCACAGTGGGGAGGGCATTTGCCTTGCACAAGACCGACCCAGGTTTGATCCCCAAAATCCCATACGGTCCCCCGAGCACCACCAGGAGTAATTCCAGAGTGCAGAGCCAGTAGTAACCCCTGAACATTACTGAGTGTGACCCAAAAAGAAAAATAAAGCTATCAGTTTGAATTTCAAATACAACATACCTTTCTAGCCATTTCCACTGTAAAAATCGATAAAAATATGCACTTTCTTGGTATTCTTTAAATGGTTCTCCACTTAAATAGTTATGGACAGATCTAGAAAAATATTTTTATGCAATTAAATATACTTGTTTAACTGCAATACAAAAACAATCATACCCAATACATTAACAGGCACTGAGAATGGATGATTCAATCTACACACTGAGCCTTGGACACCGAATAGTGACATTCTAGAACTTTAATGCTTTCATTGAAAATATGAAGGCAGGGGCTGGAGCGATAGTACAACGGGTAAGGCGTTTGCCTTGCATGCGGCCGACATGGGTTCGATCCCCGGCATCCCATATGATCCCCCAGCACTGCCAGGAGTGATTCCTGAGTGCAAAGCCAGGAGTAAACCCTGAGCATCACTGGGTGTGACCCTAAAAAGCCAAAAAAAAAAATGAAGGCAGGAAACTCTATCATTTAGCCACCCTTTTTATGTATATAAAAAGTTCAGAGGTTCTATTTATGTATATGGACATCAGAAAAGAAATGACTTGATAAAAACTCTATGAAAGTTTTTATAAAGCAGAAAGATAACTGCCCACATTCACTCCCAGTGTGTACAAAATGTGCACACAAGCATGGGTTTTAGAAGAGAATGGATCTTGTAACTAGGACTAGAGTGAATGTCTGAATGGAAGAGCCCTTTGGGAGAAAATAAGGGACCTCAGTTTTAATATTGGGATTAGGTAACCAATTATGCCAGAAATTTGTTTTGAGGTCATACCTGGAATGCTCAGGGGTTACTCCTGGCTATGCTTGTGAGACCACATGGGATGCTGGGGATCGAACCTAGGTAGGCTGTGTGGAAGGCAAGTGCCCTATCTGCTGTACTTTCTCCAGCCCCCTATGCTACAAATTTCTTGTTCTTTTTGGGCCACAGGCAGGGGTGCTCAGGGCTGACTCCTGGCTCTTTGTTCAGGGAACACTCTGCTGGTGCTTGGGGGACCACATGGGGTGCCAGAGATTGAACCCAGTTCTGCTGACGCCAGGCAAATGCCCTACTTGTTGTAATATCACTCCGGCCCTGCTACGAATTTCTTGCTGAGGCCTCATGGGCTTGGCCTTGTCTCCCAAGTTTTCCGTATCATATTATGGTAGAAGTAATGAAATTCTTTCTTGGAGAACAGATGCAGGAGGGAAAGATCCCGTTTGCAGGTGAGGAGCTGGGCACCATGTGGAGGAAACGATCCTCTGGGCCTTCTGGCTGGGGCCACTGTTGAGTGTCAGTGTCCGCCCCTAGCATCAGTGGCGCTGTCCCCAGGGGAGTATAAGTGGGGACTCTGGGCACAGCATCCCACTGGGTGGCAGAGCTCTGAGGAGCCCTTGTTCTGATGCTGCACTTCACTTTGGAGAAGGTTTTCTGGACCGCATCCTGACTGGCACCTTGACTGCTGGGACAGGAAAGTGATTTTCGACTGTGCTGCGACTTGGTGCGTGCCGAGACCTCCAGGGGTGTTGGAGAGTGACCCGTGAAATCTTCTGAACCCACCAAAAACCTGGTGCTCTTCGAGCCTCCCAGACCACACGCACCGCTGCTCTGGCACATGCAGGGGTGCAGCCACAGAGCAGGGGCTGGAGTGCCATGGCTCAGCGGGTGCGCACGCATGCGCGCGCACACACACACACACACACACACACACACACACACCCCACTTCCACACACACCACCTCTAACCCAGTATGAAGCCACAGAGACTGAGGGTCCCCTGCCCAGCAAGCACCAAACAAGCCTCCCTCCTACGTTTCCTCTGCACCTCCCCAGCTGCCTCTGGGTCACTCCCCTGGGCCCTCCCTACTCTGAGCCCGGAGAGAGCACTGCATGTCCTCGGGGGAGCGTGAACTAAAGGTCTGCATCCCAGGGCTCCTTGGACACTGGGGGGCACCGTGAGGACTCCTGGATGAGCATGTGGGCTGAGGACTGGGAGCCCGCTGGCCTCCCCAGATGGGGGGCACAGCACAACCCCCCGCCCTGGCCTGCTGCTCCTACTGAGCTCTCCTCCATCGTTGTCATGAACTCAGCTCTACTCTTCTCACACATCCCAGCTCCCATCTCTGGATGCCTCATCTCTGTCCAGCCACTGGGGCAGTGAGAGACAGTGCCCAGAGACCCGGCAGCCCGGCACAGGGTCACTCAAGTCCTTGGCATACTGTGGCCTGAGGTGACGGCAGGGCCAGGAGGCCAAGGCTGCAGTTCTGGAGCCAGGCAATCCCGAGCCCTCAGCCGCCCTGCTTAGACCCAGACTGTCAGAGAATCATGGGGTTGGAGGCTGCAGGAACAGATTCCATCTGCTCATGGCGCCAAGCTCAGGGAGTGTGGCACAGAGTCCATCCGTCCAGTCATTCCAACCCCAGTATCAGTCGTCTCTGAGTTCATGGAGGACATGGCCCTCAGACCGCCTCAGAAACCTCAGAAACCTTCCTCCTCCCTGTGTCCAGAAAGCAGTCAAGTCAGCTAAAGCACTCTGAGACAGAATGTGCCTGTCCAGAAAGCAAAGATGTGGAGGAAAGGCATCGGCAGCAAGGTGACCTCCACAGAAAACCAGTTCTAGAACTCTCCTCACCCCCAACACGGTGTTGAGTGGACAAAGCCATGTGGGGCCCTGACATGCGAGATCTCAACCGACACTTGAGCTTTCTGCTTTCGCTTGGGTGAGCTCTGAGGGAAAGCCGTCTCCAGCACGAAAGCTCTCCCCCACCCAAAGCCCCTTCCTCAGATTTAGCCCAGGAATGGTGCACAGGGCTGGGCCCAAGCCACCCACCTCGCACACTCCTCAAAGACTTCTCTGGAAGGTTTCTCCTTTAGCTTCAATTGACATTTTGACACCACAGGCTGAGGGATTTCTGGTAAAAGAACTGCAGGTGTCTTAGCACAGACAAATATATAGCAATTAGTGATTTCAGAATTTGCCAATTACAAACAGACTTAAGAATTACTATGAACAACTATAGGGCAGAAAACACAGCCTCAAAGCCCCGCCTTCAGACCCACCCCTAGCCTCATCTTCCCGAGTCCAATGTCCTGTCTGGTTTTCAGGCCCCACACTCCCAAATGGACCAGAGAACAAGCAGCTGAGAGACACAGGGACGATGTGCACCCACAGCCAGGCCACCCGTAGGCCTACAGGACAGACACTGCCAGGCGCCACTGCTGCAGTCCCCAGGGACACCTAAGCCAGGGGCAGGAAGGAGCTGGTGGGGTCAATCTCTGGCAAAGAAGATGGCAGTGAGTAAAAGAGGTCGGCAAGATGGGGGCTGATGGAGCCAGAGTGACAGAACAGCAGGCAGGGTGCTTGCCTTGCACACGGCCAACCGGGGTTCAATCCCCAGCACCCATGTGGTCCCCCGAGCACCCCTAGGAGTGATTCCTGAGCACAGATCCAGGAGTAAATCCAAGCACAAAACTGGGCACCTGCTTTGTCGTTCTCAGGCCCTGGATATGCTTTCCGAAGAACATCTGTCCGTGTCAGCTCTAAACCCTACCACCTGGCCTACCTTCTTTCCTGATTCTAGTAGCTTCTTTTGTGTCTGTGTGTGGGGCACCTTAGGGACTTTCCAGATAGTAGTGCTATTGAAATCCTAACCTCCAAGGTGACCAACATCAGGAGGTAGGGTTTCCGGTGCTTAGACAACGAGGATGGACAGTCAAGAACAGGGTTAGTGCCTTACAAAGAGGCTCTGGGTCCTCGCCTCATGCGCCCTGTAAGAATACAGGAAGAAGAGGCTTCCCAGAGCCATCCTGCCCCTTGTCTGAAATACCACCTTCAGAACTGTGCCAATAAATGTCTCTCATATACAAGCTACCCTTTCTGGGGCATTTTCTTCTAATGTCATGTCTGAGCAGGGAACCCAGGAAGATCACATCATCTGTAAGCAGGGCCTTTCATCACTTCCTTTTCAAATCTGACACTTTTCATCTCATTTTCTGCCTACCTGTGCTGATGAGAACTTTCAGTACAAACCCAAATACAAATGAGAAGAGCAAAGATCCCTGTCCTGGGCCTGATCTGAGGGCAATGAAGGCTGCCATTGGGGGCCGAAGAGAGCTCAGGATGCTGAGCACATGCTCTGCAGCAGAAACCCTGGGTTCAATCCCCAGGGTGGCATGATCCCCTGAGCACAGAACAAGGAGAATGCCCCAAGCACCACTGGGTATGGCCTCCAAAAAGTTCAACCAAATAATAGCATAGTGTTGGCTGTGAGTGGGTGTATTTGTCCCTTGTCAGGTTGAGCAATTTCTTTTCATTCCACTCTCCAGCAGGGCGTGGGGATACGTAGCGTCAGGATCAAACCAAGATTGGCTGCGTGCAGAGCAATCGCTATACTATTCTCCAGCCCCTCAGGAAGAAAACCATAGGCTCAGTCCAACAGAGACAAATACAATTGTTCACCTCTATACTCTGTTTGAGAAAAAAGAAGCTTTCACATTCTTTGGTTCAATCTTCTAAGAGACTTAATTGTTAATTTCCTCACTGAACAAAAAGAAAATACAGGGGGCTGGAGCGATAGCACAGTGGGTACGGCGTTTGCCCTGCACGTGGCTGACGTGGGTTCGATTCCCAGCATTCCATATGGTTCCCCCGAGCACCTCCAGGAGTAATTCCTGAGTGCATGAGCCAGGAGTTAACACCTGTGCATCGCCAGGTGTGACCCAAAAAGCAAAAAAAAAAAAAAAAAAGATAAAAGAAAATACATAGAGGATACTCCGGAGAAATTAAAAGATCTTAACAGAATCATAACTTATCCATCAAAGAAAATCTGGCCCTGCCCTCTAATGATTTAAGGGAGTTTATTTTTTACATCATGTTAGCTATGTAAGAAAACATACCTTTTTACCAAAGAAATTATCTAAGACGAACAATCCATAGTCTCTTTGGCTGTCGTCAGCAGTCACTTCATAATCTGCCTGATTGTAGAGATGGGCAAAAAGACAGCGTCAATTTTCTTTTTTAGCTTTTGCTTTTGTTTTTGATCCATACCCAGAAATGTTCAGGGGCTATTCCTGGCTCTGCATGCAAGGATTACTCCTTGGTGCTCAGGGGACCATGTGAGATCCTGGATCAAACCCGGTCGGCCACATGTAAGGCCAACCACTCCCCACTGTCCTAGTGCTCCGGCCTCTGGGGTTAGCTTTACTGAGTAGGGTATACTTCCTCACTGACCTGACCAGGCCTCAGATTCTTCCACTACTGGAGCTGACCTGGTGCCTCACGAGGGCCATGAGCAAGATAAAGGCCTTTAACCCCTTACTATCTCCCTTTTCCCTCATCTTAATTTTTCAACTTTAACATCACAGCAATTGGGTGGCAACAGCCAGGTGACTGGATTACCACTGCGTCCAGGAATTCAATGCAGCTCTTCAAGCCAACCTTGGATTCACAGAACTGCCGGAAGAGAAGGCGTCCTATTGGCTGCTTCTCACAAAGACTGTAATAATCCTTTTCTGGGTGAAGACAGAGAAAAAGCAAACAAATTTTTGGTTAAAACGCAGGGGCAGTGGGTAGGGTGTTTTTTGCCTTGTACACGGCTGACCTGGGTTCGATTCCCAGCATCTCATATGGTCCCTCAAGCACCACTAGGAGTATTTCCTGAGTGCAAAACCAGGAGTGACCCCTGAGCATCACCGGGTGTGACCCAAAAAGCCAAAAAAAAAAAAAAATGCAGGGCCTGGAGAGAGTACAGGGTTGAGGTGCTGGCCTTGCATATAGCTGCCTCTGGTTCCAGTCCCAGCATCACTTATAGTTCCCCCTTGAACACCACCAGGAGTGATCCCTGAGCACAGACCCAGGAAAATCCCCTCAGCACCACAGGAAATGGCCCTGAACTTCCAAATAAGTTCTCAGCCATGAATTTCCTGGACTCCACTTCCTAAGCATTTCCTGGAGGTGCCAGAGCCAGCCCTCCAAACCACGCCACTGACAGCTCTTGTGGACAATAGCCACAAACTCCCTCGGAGCCTTCCTACCCATCCATAATCATCCAGAAGAATGTAACAGGTCCTAACCAAACACACACCCAAGTCAACTTTGCCTGGACCCATGCCAGCATGGGAGAGAGAAAGTATACAACCCTTAGAGGTCACCAGTAAGTCAGGGGACCCTGGTCAGGGCTTTCAGAGACACCCCAAAAGCACAAGCAACAGTCACAAAAAAAAAAAAGAGAAAAAACAAAAACCAAGCAAAGATGAGCAACTGTTTATTAAAACAGTTGACGTTTGTCAGTTGATGTTTGTCAACTGACACCATAAAGAGGGAGGAAGGAGGGCCTGACAGAGGCTCCCCAGGCTGAGTGCAGCTATATGTTTGTAGGATGTGGGGTTCCATGCCCAGCGACCCTCAGTTCCCTAGCACCAATAGGAGCCATGCCCGAGCACAAAGTTGAGTATCCTGAGCACTGGTAGTGCTGAGCACTGAGCAAAGATGCCTCTAGATTGGTGGGTGGGAGGTAAAGGGGGCATTGGTAGATGGAAGTGGATACTGGTAAAGGGATCAGTGTTGAGACACTGTATCCTTCAAACCCAGACAAGAATAATACTGTAATTTCATGGTGACTAAAGGAAAAGGAAAAATGAAGTCACTATATGAAAGGGTTGGAGAGAGCAGATCAGCTTAGGCGTTTGCCTTGCATGCAACCAAACTAGGGTCAATCCTTGGGATGACATATGATTCCCTCAGGAGTGACTCCTGGCCACTGCCAAATGTTGCCCAAACCATCCCCCACACACACACAAAAAAAAAACCACCAAAAAACCCCAGAAGCCAACCAGTATTAGCACTGAAAAAAAATGAATGGGGGGGCATTTTGGGCCACACTCGGCAATACTCAGGGGTTATTCCTGTCTCTGCGCTCTGAGATCACTCCTGATGGAGCTTAGGGGACCATATGTGGATCGAACCCTAGGTGGCCGTGTACAAGGGAAACATCTTACCAGCTGTACTATCCCTCTGGCCCCTGACTTTTTATTTTAGGGTCACACTCAACTATGCTTAGGGCTTACTCTTGGCTCTTTGTTTTAGGGTCTCTCCTGGCAGTGCTGGGTGGGGGATGGGATGTGATGCCAGGAGTGAGGATAGCTGTGTGTAAGGCAAAAGCCATAAATAAAAGATTTGTTTATTGATTTATAGGTTTTTGGGCCACACCAAGATATACTCAGGGCTCACTCCTGACTCTTTGCCCAGGGATCACTCCTAGCGGGGCTTAGGGGACCATAAGGGGTCACAGGATGCAACTCAGGTCAGCTACGTGCAAGACAAATACCCTACCCACTTTACTATCTCTGAAGGGAACACTGGCTATAATTTTCATTTTCCTTCCCTTTTTCTCTGCTTGTAACTCAGGACAGGATTAGTCAGCTAAACTATGTTGGGCTGTGGTGGAACATTCTAGAATCTACAGCCCAGGATTGCCTTTTTAAAATAATCTTAGCGTAGGGCTGGAGAAATAGCACTAGTGAAGCTGATACTGGTTCAATACTTATCACATAAGGTTTCGTCACACACCACCCAGAGTCACTCGTGAGCACAGAATCCAGAATAGCTCCTGGGTGTGGCCCAGTCCCCAGCCCTGATTTAAAATCTAGAAAAAATACTCTAAGCCAAGAATTCTGGGTTCAATCCCCAGCACTCCTTGGTGCTCAGAGTACTGCCAGGGGATTTCTGAGCACAATGTTAGGAGTAGCCCCGTGCATGGCCAGGTACAGCCAGGAAACCAAACAGAAGAACATAACCAAAAAATACAATTCTGACTGAGCTACTGACTTCCTGATGCTTCCGAGGCTCCTACCAGCACCTGGAGCTAATGCTCCACCTCTGGATTCTAGAATGATCCACCATACCCCAACAGTTTAACTAATCCTGGCCTGAGTTACTAGTAATTCAACCCCTTATGCAGAGAAAAAGGGAAGGAAAATGAAAATGGTAACCATTCAGAGGGGGAACTGCTGGTTTACAGAGGAAAAACTTCCTTTCAGAGAGGGTGGACTGCTGGGTTACAGAAGAAATTTCCTACAGAAGGTGACTGCTGGGCTACTGGGAAGGAATTTCCCTTCAGGGTTCTAGGGAGGGAACTTCCCCTCAGATAGGGGACTGCTGAGTTACAGGGAAGGAACATTCCTTCAGTGGGTGCCTGCTGGCTGCCAGGGAAGGACGTTTCAATCTGCCAACGCTTCTGTTATGTGTGGACAATGAAATTACCACTTTAAATTTTTTTGGTGGCTCTTTGGGGCCGGAGAGACAGCTTTTTGGTGGCTCTTTTGGTCGAGAGACAGCAGGGAGGGTGCCTGCCTTGAATGCAGCTGACCCACGTTTAAATTCCCAAAGCCCGTATGGTCCCCTAAGTCATGCCAGGAGGGATCCCTGAGCACAGAGCCAGGGGTAAGTCCTGAGCACAGTCACGTGCGGCCCCAAAATCAAAATCAATAAATCAATAATTTGTGGTTTTGGACAGTAACCAGCAGTGCTACAGGGTCACTTCCAACTTGGTGCTTGGGGTCACTCCTGGTGGTTTTCAGTGATTATGGGTCGCTGGGGAAGATCATACCCTGGCTTCCTGCATGCAAAGCCTGTGCTCCTTCCTGCTGAATCCTGTTTCCAGTCTCTGAAAAAGTCTTAATGAAAGAGTAAATTGCTATATACATTTAACTGCAGAAGAAAAAATGCAGGGTTACTTTTCCTGGGAAAAATCACAAGCCCAATCTACTATACAACTTGGAAACAGATCTGTAAGTTGAAACAAGGACTCTCCAAATGGCACCTCAGCCATCTACTCACCAATGGAATGTCTCAGCTCAAGGCACTGAGACACAGGGGGGAGCTTCAGCATCTCCTTCCACTTCTTACTACGACCAGTTTTCCTGCCAAATGCTCCTAAATTTTAGAAGAGAGGAGGAGAGGCATTTGACTGGTCAGAAACAGTTCTATCAGATCCAGTAGTTTACAGGTATGTAAATCCCACTAAGGGACCTACCAGAAGCAACCACAATCACTAATCCACTGTGATTACTTCAATCCACTTAGAAATGTCCGTATCCATAAACAGTATTTAACTGTATTGGAACCAGATTCTTTGGAGGTGTGGACCACACCCAATAGTTCTTGGAGGCTAAGCATGGCTCTGCTCGGAATCACTCCCGGTGATGTTCAGTGTTGGGATCAAACCAGGCTTAGATGCATTTAAGACTAGCACCTTAATCACTATACTATCTGCCTGACCCTATTGTTGTTTGTTTGGTGCTACACTCAGAGATACTCAGGGGTTACTCCTGACTGCACTCAGGAATCACCCTGGCAGTGCTGGGGGGGGGGGGGGGACCATATAAGATGCCAGGGATCGAACCCAGGTTGGCTATGTATAAGGAAAGTGCCCTATTTTCTTTCTTTCTTTCTTTCTTTCTTTCTTTCTTTCTTTCTTCTTTCGCTTTTTTTGGGTCACGCCCAGCGATGCTCAGGGGTTACTCCTGGCTCTGCACTCAAGAATTACTCCTTGGGGCTGGAGAGATAGCACAGCGGGTCGGGTGTTTGCCTTGCACGCGGCCGACCCAGGTTTGATCCCCGGCATCCCATATGGTCCCCCAAGCACCGCCAGGAGTAATTCCTGAGTGCAGAGCCAGGAGTGACCCCTGAGCATTGCTGGGTGTGACCCAAAAAAGGCAAAAAAAAAAAAAAAGAATTACTCCTGGTGGTGCTCGAGGGACCATATGGGATGCAGGGGATTGAACCCGGGTGGGCCACGTGCAAGGCAAACGCCCTACCCACTGTGCAATCTCTCCAGCCCCTAGCGCCCTATTTTCTGTACCCTCTCTCCATCTCCAAGTTTTAAGGCTTTAAAACTGTGGCTGGAGCGAGAGCACAGCGGTCGGGCGTTTGCCTTGCACGCAGCCAACATGGCCGACCCGAGTTTGATTCCTCCGCCCCTCTCAGAGAGTCCGGCAAGCTACCGAGAGTATCTCGTCCACACGGCGGAGCCTGGCAAGCCACCCGTGATGTATTCGATATGCCAAACACAGTAACAACAAAATCTCCAATGGAGACGTTACTGGGCCCGCTCGAGCAAATCGATGAACAACGGGAGGGCCTTTACCTTTACCTTTACCTAAAATTTTTTTTAAAAGCTCTTCGTCTCTTTTGGATGAGTCATTTATCACATTACCTTTCCCTGTCTGTGACATATTTTATCATCTTTTTATAATATCTACAATAATATATTTAAACCTTTTAGTTCAGTGACATGGGGCGTCAGGAACGAGGCTGTTTCTCATAAACATTGTCTTCGTAAGATTCAGCTGTAGTCCTACCTTTCCACACTCACGGTCAAAGTCAGCCAGCATTTGTGCCGCTTGGCTGATGTTTGATGTTATTAAAACAATGTCATCAGCAAAGCGGAGGTGGTGTAGTTGCCGACCATCTATCTTCACTCCCATTCCTTCCCATTCCAGTCATCGCATGATGTTCTCGAGGGTGGCACTGAAGAGTTTCGGTGAAATGGTATCACCCTGCCGCACCCCTCTCTTGACATCAACGATCACTTCTTTGTAGAATGGTGAGATAGATCCTGGTAGTGAATCCGCAATACAGCTCACGGAGGATCCTGATGTATTGGGCTTGAATGCCCTGATTGGCTAGGGCTTCAATGACCGCTTCCGTCTCAACAGAATCAAAGGCCTTCTTTAAATCAATGAACATTAGACAGAACGGCATCTTGAACTCCCTAGAAACTTCGATGAGCTTGGTTATCGTGTGGATATGGTCGATGGTGCTGAATCCTTTGCGGAACCTGGCTTGCTCGCATGGTTGTCCTTCATCTAGTGTTCTGCCAATCCTATTTAGGATGACTCGAGTGAACAACTTGTAGATGACAGACAATAGGCAGATCGGGCGATAGTTGCCAATGTCATGGATGTCTCCCTTCTTGAACAGTAGTACGGTCCTGCTGGTTTTCCATTGGGACGGAACCTTGCATTCAGACAGGTAACGAGTGAAGAGCCGAGCCAGTGTATTGATGAGTACCGACGGCAGGTTCTTCAGGTGTTCAGGTCTGACCTTGTCTGGGCCGGGTGCTGTTTGTTTCTTTACTGACGAAATGGTGTGTTGGATTTCGGAAGGGAGAACGTTGGGAACGACATATCCATCCTGTGGAATTTGGTATGTAGGCAAGTGTACATGGCTATCAAAGAGATTTGAGTAGAAGTCATGGATAATCTTCTCCATTGCCGTTCTGGAGGATGTGATGGATCCATCAGGACGTCGGAGGGCAGTCATCTTGGTCTTGTAGTTGGTGAAGGACAGGCGGGTGTTACGAATACTTTTCCCGGCTTCTGCCGCATCTACCAGTACTTCTGCTCTTCTCTCTTTGAGGTCTTCCTTGATCGCATCTCTGCACTGCTTTGCAAACTCGGACGTTAGCTTGCGGTTGCCTGAGGCATGCGCCAAACCACGCTGGCGAATTAGCTCAAGAGTTTTCGAAGATAGGCGATTTTTTGTGGCTATCTCTCTCTTGGCGTTCCTCGCACATTCATGGAGGTGCTGAACCAGTCGATCGTATTCCTCGTCAATGTTGTCAACAATGGCATCTTCCCATGTTGCCGCAATAGTACCAAAGAGTTCCCAGTTGGTGGTCATTCTGGGAGTTCTCTTTTTGAACTTTGCAGCCCTTTCTCCCAGCTCTGTGAAGTAGAATTTTGCACGAAGGAGACGGTGGTCCGATCCCGTTCGAAATTTTGGGACAACAGTGACATCAGTCAGGCAAAACCATCGATTGAATATGATGTGGTCTATTTCGTTGTGGAATCGTCCACCGGGAGACTCCCATGTCCATCGTTTAGATTCTGCCTTCTGGAACTGTGAGTTACCATGAATGGTCTTGGTCGACATGATGAACTCAGACAGTCTCTCACTCTGTTCGTTCCATTCTAGGCCATGGGTCCCGTTGTGAAGTTCTTCAGCTGATCTTCTCGGTCCTATCTTTGCATTAAAATCACCCACAATGATCTTGTAGAAGGTGTGGTCTTCTTTATAGAACTTCTCTAGCTCCATGTAGAACTTCTCGATTTCTCTTTCATCATAGTGAGATGTTGGTGCGTAGACAACGAAGATAGAAACTGCAGGCAGTGAGCCACATCTATTCAAATGTAAACGTCCGATTCGGGTTGTTAGGCATTCGAATGAATCAATGCTTTTGGCCAAGTTTGTGTTGACAAGGACACAGACACCTCCAACACCTCTTTTATCGCATGTTCCGAGGAACAATTCTTCTCCAGTGTCGAAAACGGCATGGTGAGATTCGTGTCTTCTTGTCTCGGTCAGACCAATGATGTCGTACTTGATCATTTGCGCTTATACCATCAGGTCCTCGATGGATGCATCTGATGCTAGCGTACGTGCATTGAAAGTACAGACGATCATTTTTGTCTTCCTTCATTGTGGCAGCCTAGTTCGGCCTTGAGATTTTGTCGGCCTCTCCTTTCTCATCCTTCTCAGTGCTGCCATGTCGGTGAAGCCTTCAGGGTCAGGTGAATGAGACCAGTTGCAGTTATTGGTTTTGGCATATCGAATACACAACGGATAGCTTGCCAGGCTCTTCCGTGCGGGAGACTCTCGGTAGCTTGCCAGTCTTTCCGAGAGGGATAGAGGCTTTTGGGGCGGCCTCTAATCACCCTTGTAGGTGTTACCATATTTGAACCCTATCAAATACGGTACGACAATTCCGGAAGATGGGTATTTAGTGTCTTATGATGTGTTGCAGGGCCGCGAAGTGGCCGCACGGGTCCGGAAAGTGTCCTGGAGTGTGGCGACGGCTGGGTAGTGGAAGTAGTGTCGTTAGTAGTGGAAGTTCTCTCAACGGAATGACCATCTCCGAATGCAACAGCTATGTGTACCTAGGTCGAGAGGTCAACATGACAAATGACCTGGCACCCGAGCTGCGCAGGAGGAAGAGAGTGGCTTGGAACGCCTTCAAGAACGTCGAAGAAATAGCTAAGAGGACGAAGAATCTCCGGCTCCGGGCACATCTCTTTGATTCCACTGTTCTTCCTGCATTAACATATGCCTCAGAGACCTGGGCCCTTTGCAAACAAGATGAGAACGCTATTCAGGTCTCCCAAAGAAGAATAGAAAGAGCTATGCTTGGAATATCACGTTTCACTCAAATGAGAGAAAGAATCCGGAGTTCTGACATCCGTCGACAATCAAGAATCAGGGATGCTCTCATTTGCCAAGATATCGAAAATCAGATGGGCTGGTCACGTAATGAGATTTAAAGACGACCGCTGGACTAGAGCTGTTACCAACTGGATTCCACGGGATGTCAAAAGACCGCGTGGCCGCCCACCTACCAGATGGTCAGACTTCTTTGTCAAGATCATGAACGATCGGTTTGAGGCTCTTCATGTTCCCGGAGCAAACAGATGCCATTGGGCTACACTAGCACACGACAGGGACAAATGGAGACGTTACTGGCGCCCGCTCGAGCAAATCGACGACTAACGGGAAGTTAAGTGATTAAGTGTGATTAAGTTCAGTGACATGGTTACAATCAATTATTTCAGTTCTGACAATGTTACTGCATCACCACCAAAATGCCCAACCGCCTCTACCAATGAAAAAACTCAAAATTATTATATTTTAGGTTACATGCTAGCACTAGCATTGACATTTCTGGTTTTGGTATATAGTCAACTCACTTCACCACAACCAAAGTGCCCAAATCCCTCCATCACTGCCCTGAGTCACTTCCAGTACACTTCATTGTCGCCCTCCCAGCCCCGCCCACCAAACTGGTATTCTTGGTTCTATAATTCAGCACTCAGGGTTTATTATCAATGAGTATTTTCTATAACCTTGATTTGTTTCTCTATATACTGCAGATGAGCACCATCACTTCATACTTGTCTGTTTTTCTCTTGTTTACTTCACTCAACCTGAACTACTCCATCTGCATCCAAGGTTCCAAAACCTGCATTTCATCTTTTCTTGGGTCTGCACATCTTACCATTGTGTGTGTGTTTGTGTATTATATAATACGTATAAAATATATATCACAAATTCTTTATGCCTCCCAAAATAGAATGTAGTAAAGTCCAAAGTCCAAGTCAGCCCCCTAATCATCAGAGTACAATCTGCTCTGGGAACAGGTGGGCATGTGGGCAAAGAGCAAGCTCAGGGGGCAGAGTACAGAATCTGCATGCAGGTGGTCACATTCAATCCCAAACTTTGCCCCATCCCCCCAAAAAGATGTGATCCATATCCAGCAGGGCTATGTCGTTGCACAAAAACAGGAGAACATCATGTGACGATGGCAAAAGAGATGGGGTAACAGAACTTCGGTCCCTCAGAGCATATGTCCCGGGCAAGGGGATAGGAAGGGATCACCCCGGGTCACCCCACATGCAGCCTATCACACCCCCAGACACTGTGGATGAATGTGCCAACATTTATTTTTCAAGAGTCACACTGCATCATAACTGTAAGTCTCTGGGTGGAGCTCTGTTCAAGGCATCTGCAAGGTATGAATGAGCATGCCCACAATTTAGCCACAGCCTATCCCATGTTTTGCAGGAATGGGCACAATCCCCAGAAAAGACACAAGTGAAACACAGGGGAAACTCTGCTGGACAGGAAGGGGAACGGCCAGCAGCAGAAAATATTGAGGTGCTCTCTGCAGGAGGGCAAGACCAAAGGGGGCCCAGGTCATGCTCAACTCTGGAACCAATGTAGAGATTAAGGCCAGAGCGTGCTTCATGATGTTTGGCCGGGTTCAGCCGGGTTCACTCCTCAGCACCAACAGAAAAGCCCCCGCAAGTACCAAGCCCAGATGACGTCTGAGTGATACCAGGTGTGACCCCCCACCCCACAAACAGAGAGATGGCAAACTTGCATTTTTTTTTCTGTTTCTGGCTTTGGGGCCACACCCAGCAATGCTTAGGGGTTACTTCTGGTGGAGATTGCATCCGGGTTGGCTGTGTGTAATATAAACACACTCTACACATTGTGCTACTGCTCTGGTCAGCAAATTTTGTATTTAACTTCTTTTTAAAGTATTTTAGCGATAGCACAGCAGGTAGGGCTTTTGCCTTGCACACAGCCGACATGGCCGACCCAAGTTTGATTCCTCTGCCCCTCTCGGAGAGCCTGGCAAGTTACCCGTGACATATTTGGTATGTCAAACACTGTAACATGTCTCACAATGTTACAGGGTCCGCTCGAGCAAATCGATGAACAACGGGAGGGCAGTGACAGTGAAAATATTTTGGGATTTTGGGGTTAGCAGGTAAGGCGTTTGTCTTGTACATGGCCGACCCGGTGGCCCAGGTTCTATTCCTCCACCCCTCTCGGAGAGCCTGGCAAGCTACTGAGAGTATCTTGCCTGCATGGCAAAGCCTGGCAAGCTCCCTGTGACGTATTCGATATGCCAAACACAGTAACAAGTCTTACCATGGAGACGTTACTGGGCCCGCTTGAGCAAACTGATGAACAACGGGAGGAAAGTGAGACAGTGCTACAGCGGGATTATAGCAGGCAGTGTTGGGGGGGGGGGCACACCTGGTGGGCCTAGTTCTAATCCCCTCTGGAGGATGCAGAATCCCGGAGGGGGGCAGTTTGATCCCAAGGGTACAAAATCCCAGCAGGCAGCCCAGTCCCCCAGACGCTGTACCCCTGGGACCCAACTGTCACTCTGATCTCTTGGGAGGCAGAGTCTAGAGCAACTAGAGGAGCAGAGTAGAAGGGCTGTGATCACTTCAGCCTTAGGCTGGCATTCTCGGTGATTCTGCCATCTTGTCACCAAGCAGCATAAAACCCACCAGCCCACACCATAATGTCTGAGTCAACTACAGACCAAGAGGTCTTGTGGAAACCACTCCTAGGAAGCACTGTTGGGGACATATGACTGAAACCCAATCGTGAACCACTTTGTAAGTGTCTCTCAGGGGACTCGAACACACACGAAGACTAGTGGGGGCACGAGAAGGGGGGCAGCTGTGTAGGCACTTGCCCAGAGACACATGGCCAGAACGGATCCCTGACCGCAAGGCCAGGAGTAGGTCCTTCCCTGTGCCCTTTCTGTCCTTCAAAGGGCCAGCGCATGGCTCTCTCCTTCGAGGGGGCGGCTGGAGGCGCCGTGCACCAGGGCCACTCCGGGATGTTCAAGGGACCCACGGCTCCAGGAACTGAGCTCTGCGCCCAGGTCCCCTGCACCGCCTTTTGCCGCCTCACCGGGGGTCGCCCCAGCCTTTCGCTGACTCGAGTTTCCCTCGGGTCTGGGGGTGCCGGCCGGCCGAGGGAAAGGGGGAGGAGTCCTGGGGGCGAAACCAGGCCGCTCCTTCGGTGACGCCCTGGGCGAGGCGGGCCCCTGGGGTCGGGTGCCCGGGGCGCCCGCTCACCCACCTCGGCGCGCTCTCAGCAGCAAGGCGTTGGCCATTAGGTTCTGCAGCTCCAGGGCGCGCCGCCTGCGCCGCCGCCTGCGCCGCCGCCTGCGCCGCGGCGGGGAGTCGCGGGGGGCCTGCGAGGAACGCGGCGGCGGCGGCGGCTCCGGCTCGGGCGGCCGCTTCGGCTCGCGCGGCGGCTCCTCCCGCTCCCGCCGCCGCTCCCGCCCCTTCCGAGGCTTCCGCGGCCACCACCGGGAGAACCATCGCTCCGGCCACGTCAGGGGCCGCTTCCTCCGCCGCCCGCGGCGCGGCCTCCCTACCGGCGGCTCCGGCCCACGTCGCGCAGGGTGTCCGCGCTCAGCGCCGCCGCGCCCAGGCGCCGGGCCGCATCGTGCCGCCTCGGGGCTCGGCTCCCGGGCCGCCCCGAGCCTCCGTGGGGCGCCGCCCCGGGGACGGCTCCCAGGCAGGGTGTCCGCCCCCCGGCGGCCACGGCGGCTTCCCGGGCCGCCGCCGCCGCCGCCTCCCAGACGGGCCGGCGCCCACCAACGGCCGCCCCGCCCACGGAGCTCAAGCTCCGCCCGCGCCGCGCCCCCCGGCGGCTGAGGCGGCTGTGGCGCCGCGCGGGGCACTACAGCTCCCGGCGGCCCTCGCGGCGCCGCAGCTCCCGGGCGGGCGGGCGGGCGGGCGGGGGCCGGAAGCCAGACGCCGCGGAGCGCAGCCTGCTGGGAGATGTAGTCTTCCGGTCTGAGGGCGGGCGGGCGGGGTGGCGCGCAGCGCGCTGGCGCCGGCTGGCCCGGCCCCAGGAAGCGGCGGCTCTCGCGAGACCACGGCGGGCGGGCCGCGCCCCCTTCTTCACGTGTTCGCGGGTTCCGGCTCGCCGCAGCTCGGCCTCCGTTGGCTGCCGGCTCGGGGGGCGGGCGCACGCCATGGGCAAGGCCGGGAGGGCCGGGAGGGCCGGGGCGCCCCGCAAGGGCCCCGGAGCCCCGGCGGCAGCGCGGGCCAAGGCCAACGCCAACCCGTTCGAGGTGAAAGTCAACCGGCAGAAGTTCCCGGTGCTGGGCCGCAAGGCGCGCCACGACGTGGGGCTGCCGGGGGTGTCGCGCGCGCGGGCCCTGCAGAAGGTAGGAGGCTTGGCCTGGCCGCCCCGTCCCCGCCCTCCGCACGGGCCCTGCTCCGGCCGCACTCTCACCTGAACCCAAGCTCCCCCCCCCCAGCTGCTCGGCCTCTCCCCCCCGCCCCCGCCCGGCTCCTCTAGACTTGTCTCTGCTGCCGGCTGTTCCCCGCCACGTGTGGGTGGGACCGCGGGGACAGGTTGCTTTTCTGGGCGCCTGCGCCCAGGCTGCAGGTCAGCTGTGGCTTCTCCTGGGGCAGCCCGGTTTGGTGCCTGCTGGACGCCCGCCCTACCGTGCTAGCCCCTGTCTGCACCCCGCATGCTCAGTGACGTCCCCCTTTTCAGAGCTGCCAGCCTCGCAGCCTGGCGGGGCATGTTCCGGGCTGACTGAGCTGCCAGCGGCCCTGCCCACCCTGAGTGTGTGACGCCTTTCCGCCCCCAGTGCCTGCCTCGGGTGTTCTGCTAGCCAAGATCCCACTTCTTCCTGTCAACCTTGCCACCGCTGTCCACCCCGCCCCTGGGCTGTCCTGTGTGTGGGCTCCTTCCTCATGATGTCCCTGGGTGAGGAGCCGAGGAGTCAGGAGGGAGGCTTGCGAGGTGGCGCGGTACTGGTGGTGGGGCCACCTGGGCCAGGGGCCTTTGGAGGTATTAGATGTTGGAGGAGTGCACAGTAGGACAGCTGGGAGGGTGTTTGCCTTACACGTGGCCAGCCTGGGTTCGATCCCCGGCACCCCATATGTCGCCTGGCATCACCCAGAATGATCCCTGAGTGCAGAGCCAGGAGGAACGCCTGAGTATCGCCAGGGTGGCCCCAACCCCAAAAAAGGTCTGAGGAGTGTTGTGGCCCTAGGCTGGCACCTCCAATCTGGCCCCTTTACCTGCAGCCCCTCCAGTCCCTGGGCTCACTCGGGGGCAGTGTGGTGGGCACAGCTGTTCCTGGCACATCTCTGGAGCCCATGTCCTCGTTCAGAGCTCTCGGCCCTGGGCGTCGCTGTGTCAGCCTGTCTATGCCCCTGCTTGAGACTCGGAGAGACACAACTGGGGTCGGGCCCTGCAGTGTGAATGCCACTGAGAACTGCGAGCACTGCTTTGCACCACATCCACTTCAGAAGTAGGCACGGTGGGCACTCAGCCCCTGGAGCCAGGCTGGCGCTGTGCAGCGGGTGCACGCCCGTCTGGTGCCTCCCTGCCTTCCAGCCTGCCCGAGGACTCCTGCTTTCCCTGTTGGCTTTCGGGCCTGTCCCGGCGTGGCAAGCGAACCCAGACCTAGTTGTCAGTGCGTTAGCCCAGTGGGTGACGGTCAGCTTCCCGCCTGCAGCACAGTGCTCTCTGCGGGTGCGCCCTGTCCGGGCGAGTGCTGGGGACGGTGTGAGACCCCCCCCCCCCCCGCCCCGCTGTCTTTCAGCGCACCCAGACCCTGCTAAGGGAATACAAAGAAAGGGACAAGTCCAACGTGTTCGCAGACAAGCGCTTTGGCGAGTACAGCAGCAGCATGAGCCCGGAGGAGAAGATGCTGAAGAGGTTCGCGCTGGAGCAGCAGGTGAGTAAGCAGCGGGGCTGACGGGCACGGCCTCCTCACTGTGTGTGCTTTTGGGGGCACTCGCCTCTCACCCCCGGGTACCGAGGTGGTTCTAGTCCTGTCCTCGTCCGGCCTCTTGGGAGATGCGCCCTTCTCTGTGCTGTTGGCAGAGTGTGGGCTGACAGGATGGCTGGCACTGCAGCCTGGCTGTCAATTAACTGCCACCTCTGGGTTCTGATCATACTTAACTCAAGGCCACATGTCCCAGAAACTTCAGGCAGAGCGAACTACTCTCGTGTTTGGTGGATGTTGAAAGGAGAATTGGCCTTTGCTATTTCACGCTGTGGAAATATTAGGAAACTAAATGTTCTTTCTCACCAGCGACAACATGAGAAGAGAAGCATTTACAACCTGAATGAGGAGGAGGAGCTGACTCACTATGGCCAGTCTCTGGCGGACATTGAGATGCACAATGACATCGTGGACAGCGACAGTGACACGGAGGGGCAGGGAACACTTTCCGGTGAGGAAAAATGGGAGCGCTGCTAGGGAGGGGCTGGAGTTGTGTCCCGAGAAGGTAGGGAGCACGATCTTGTCAGGAGCACTGTTTGGTGAGGGGTGGGGGCACTGTCCTCTGAGGATGTGCAGAAGTTAACGGTTGGCATCCGCTGCTGAGACCTTGGGAAACATGGTGGGGAAGTGTTAGCTCAGGGACGGGTCTGGGTGTGCTGGGGCAGGTGGTGCTTCCTTTCAGACCGTGCAGGGGAGACGGAGACAGCCGTCTGTCCTGAACTTTTCTTTCTTGCTTTCTGTGCCCAAGAGTGGGCTGATGTGGCCGCCTCACCCAGCCTCATAGCTGGAGCCTGGTGAGGGCAGGGCTGCGGCTCGGGCCCCTGACCTACTGTAGGCAGTGACCAGGGAAAGGAAAGGAAGGACTCCACAGCCTGGTCCCCTTCTTCTTTTTATTTAATAATTATTGGTGGTTTTTTTGCTTTTTCTCTCTTTTTTTTTAATGTAGGAGCACTGCTATTTGGTCCCCTTCTTAAGGCACCTTTTCATTCCTGACTGAGGGAGTCCCGTTTGGGTCTTCTCTCACACAGCCTGGTAACGGGCAGGCCTTTCCCAGCTCCCAAGCCTGGGTCCGAGCTTGTCCATTTTCACCAGCTTGAGCCCAGCTAACTCTTGTCGCTGGTGCTGGCCATTTGCTCAGCTTGGCTAGGTGGAGTTTCTGTCCTGGGGTTTCTTGGGCTGGTCCTCGGATGTGTGTGAGGGGCAGAGAACTGGAGCCCAGGGCCCGCCTCACCTTACAGGGGGTTTCTGTTCTGTCTCCAGCTGAGCTGACCGCGGCCCACTTCGGAGGTGGCGGGTCTGTCCAGAAGAAGGCCCCAGATCAGCCAGGTGGGGAAGGCGACTCTCCGAAGTCCCGCCGAGAGCTGATTGAAGAGCTTATCGCCAGGTCGAAGCAGGAGAAGGTGGGCGTGGCTGCCTCGAGGGCACTGCGGCGGGGCTGTCTGGCATTGGCTGGAGACCTGTGGGGGTCAGTTCTGATGGACTGTTGAGGACTTGGGCGCCTGGTGATGGCACTAGGTGACGCTCTTCTCTGTCCCCAGAGGGAGCGACAAGCTCAGCGTGAAGGTGCCCTGGAGCTGACGGAGAAGCTCGATCAGGACTGGAAGGAGATCCAGGCTCTGCTGTCCCGCAGCATCCCCAAGGCCTGTAGCGCAGAGCGGAAGGAGAAGCCCCAGGTGCGTTGAGAAATGAGCCAGCTTGGCCCAGCCCCCTGTGTCCCCTGGCCAGCTTCCCAGAGTGACCCCTCAGCATCAGGTAGGGTGTTGAAACCAAACCAGACTCGCCCCACAAGTCTCTCCAGAATCTTCCGGACAAGATTTGTGAGAATCAATTTCTGGAAGTGCCTTGGAGAAGGAGCTAGAGAACAAGGATTTCAGAGTCCCTCGAGAGTCACTGGTGGGACCGTCACATGAGTGTCCGGGTCCCTAGCAGGCCCTAAACATCCACTGCACTGACCTTCACCCTATATCCCGTCTCTCAGTTCCTCCCCGGGCTGTGGCCTTCCCACCCTGTGCCCACTCACTCGCAGGCTCCAGGGATTCCCCAGGGCACAGCCCTGGGCACCTGCGGCTAGGCTGGACTCGGCCTTGGGTCGCAGCGCTCTGCTTTCCCACAGAGCTGTCCAGGGCCTTTGATGAGAACCCTGGGCATCTCTCCTCCGCTAGCCTGATGCATATGATGTGACGGTGCGCGAGCTGGGATTCGAAATGAAGGCGCAGCCCTCCAACAGGATGAAGACGGAGGAGCAGCTGGCGAAGGAGGAGGAGGAGCGACTCCAGCGCCTGGAGGTGCGTGCTCGTGTGCGAGGCAGGGACACAAAGCCGTGTGTGGCACTGCCTGTGGCGTGAGAGGCTGGCGGGTTGGACGCATCCTTTTGGACTAAGATTGCAGGTTCTGCCGGTCTGGTGCCAGGTGGAACCCTGGGCACTCACCAGGGGGCTGGGGCTCCAGCCTGGGCCACATACCCAGCTCAGCTGTTTACTAGGAACTCTAAATGGTTTCGGTTATTGAAAATTTCAAACCTGATCTAACACCCAGACACAGTGGGTTTGAAAACAGCATCTGTCTGTTTTCCCTGTCTCTTGAAGACAGCTCCTGTAGCAAGCCCCAGGCGTTCCTGGGCTGCAGGTGGGGCTCGAGTTGGGTTCCAGCACTGTCTGCTCCAGAGAGTCAGCACAGATAAGGCCTCCCTGCACCTACATGTCAGTCAGGATAGTTGAACCTGTTGTCCACAACAGTCACCCTCCACTGTCCACGACCGTCACCTTCCTACTGTCCTTGGTCATCACCTCCCCACTGCCCACAGTGGATGGACCTCCTCTCCCCAACTGCCCGAGGTGGATAGACCATTGCCCACAGCAGGTGGATCTGACTTCTCATTGCGTGTGGACCTTACCTCCCAGTGTCCACAGCAGGTAGATCCCACTCCCCACTGCCCATGGTGTGTGGGTCTCACCTCCCATTGTCCATGACAGTGGGACGTGGACCTGACTCCCAGAGGCTTCCATGGAGCAGGTTTCCCTCCTTTGTGATGGAGAAGCGTTGCTGCCACAGTTCCTTCCACTCTTGGTAGGTAACAAGTCATGATGAGGGTGGAGAGAGAACCCGCAGCCGATCCAGGTTTTATCCCTGACACTACATAAGGCCCACCTCCCCACCAGAAGTATCCACTGAGCACCACCAAGTGTTATCCCAAAACTAAACGACAGTCGCTTTTTGTCATATGTTCTTGCCGTGCCCTGGGGGCTGAGTCGCATGTGACCCCATCCCTGCACTCAGGCTGAGAGACTGCGGCGCATGCTGGGGAAGGAAGAGGGGGAGCACCCCGAGAAACCCAAACACATGTCAGCCGATGACCTGAGCGACGGCTTCATCCTTCCGGGAGATGACCGGCGGCTGCTGTCCTACACGGTACCGGCCCCACTGTCTGTCCACTCACGGGAAAGGAACATACCTGGGCCCTTCTGTGGGGTCACAGTGCATTAGGGTGGCGACTCGGGCCGCAGCAAGTCCCTCTGTGCCGCTCCTCAGTCTCCCCCAGAGCCGGGGTGGGATACTGCAGTCGTGCATCCCCTCCAGGGGCAGCCCCCTCTGGGGCCTCTCTGGCACCTGGGGAGGCGGGGAGGCAGGTGGATGGTGCTGTGGCGTGCGGCCTGGCGTTCCTCACAGAACAGGCCCCTACTGTGTCCTAGGATGGGAAGATGGACATGCAGGCAGAGCCTGACCAGGAGGCCAGTGATGACGCAAGCCAGGAGCCAGAGGGTGAGGACTCAGGCGAGGAAAACTCCAAGGACGGCAGCGGCTCCGACAGCCACTCGGACCTGGACTCTGATGGGGACAGTGAGGACGACGGTCTGAAGCTGAGGGACCAGCCATGCCAGCCTCTCAAGGGGCCAGCAGGCCGCCACCACCCTCAGGCCTTTGCCACAGCAGAGCTGCCCTACACGTTTGCAGGTGGGCACATGGGTTTCCTGTCTTGGGGACAGTTCCGTGGCCTGGACGTGAGGACACTCGCCCCTCCGAGGGGCTGCCTGGGAGGGCTGAGCTCAACCCACCTTTCCCGGAAGCCAAGACACCTCCAGAGATGTGGGGTTCCTCGGCGAGGTGCCTGCGAGGGGAGCCCTTCCTGCCGCCCGTCCCTGCCATGAGACCCTGTGTTGTTGCTGCAGCCCCCGAGTCCTCTGAGGAGCTCAAGGCCCTGCTGTGTGGAAAGTCGACGGCAGAGCAGCTGTTGGTGGTGGAGCGGATCCAGAAGTGCCACCACCCCAGCCTCGCGGCGGGGAACAAAGCCAAGCTGGAGGTGGGCAGGGGCTGGTACCTCCTGGGTGGCTGCCGCCGCCTCCCGAGGCCCAGGCCTGACTGCGTTCTCTGTTCCTAGAAACTTTTCACCCTCCTGCTGGAGTACATTGGGGATCTGGCTGCAAGGGATCCCCCAGACCTGCAGGTCATCGATAAGTTGGTTGTGTAAGTAACAACGGGTGGGGGGATGGGTCTGCCCTGCCCTGCTCGCCTCCTCTCTGCTCGTCTTGGCTCCATTCTGGAGTGACCGCCGCTCTGCTGTGCCATTCCTGCCTGGCCTGGCCTGAACAGTCTTCGCCTCCTGCAGGCGGCTGGGCTGGTCCAGTGCAACATGGTGCCTGGTGGCGTGTTTCACTCACCAGCAATCCAGGCTCAGCTCAGGTGGCCCGATGGGCCTGGTACAAGTGGCGGCAGCACCCGCTGCACCTCCAAACACCCAGTGCAGGCCTTTGTCCCCTTGTTGTCCTCGGGCTCCCGGGAAAGCTGAGCCTGACCCATTGGAGACTCTAGGCAGGGGCGCCTGAGAGCCCCGGGAACAGCTGCGGCCTCTGTCGCCACCCCCGTGGGGCTCGCGGGCCTAGAGCTTTCCAGGGAGGATGTAACCCTGAGCGCCTGTGAGGACAGGGTTTATGCAGGGCTTCCAGCTGAAGCCTGGTCACCCCGATTTCGACCCGCAGGCACTTGTACAACCTTTGCCAGATGTTTCCATTGTCTGCCAGTGATGCTGTCAAGTTTGTCTTACGCGACGCCATGCATGAGATGGAGGGGATGGTGGAGTCCCACGGTCGGGTGGCCTTTCCAGGGCTGGACGTGGTGAGCGGCCTCGAGGGCTCGGGGGCCAGTTCTGCCCATGTGTGTGGTTTGAGGACACGCCTCGGCCTGTGTTGCCGTGCCCCGAGTCCTCCCCTCACGGCACCTCTTTCTCCAGCTCGTGTATCTGAAGGTCGCAGGGACGCTCTTCCCCACCTCTGACTTCCGGCACCCAGTGGTAACCCCGGCACTGGTGTGCATGAGCCAGTTGCTCACCAAGGTGTGACCCCATGGGGAATTGCTGGGAGCCAGCGGTTCATGTTTGGGGGAGTGGGGGGAATGAGGCCCAAAACACCCCTTCCCAAGAGAGCATCCTTTGTCCCGGACCCCAGTGCACCTCCACCTGTCTGTGGCCCAGCTTGTGGTCCAGAAGGTTGATGTGAGCTGATGGCTGTGTGTCTCCTGTAGTGCCCAGTGCGATCCCTGCAGGACGCCGTGAAGGGCCTCTTTGTCTGCTGCTTGTTTCTGGACTACGTGTCCCTGTCCCAGCGCTTCATTCCAGAGCTCATCAACTTTCTCCTGGGGATTCTCTACATCGCAACACCTACCGCACAGAGCCAGGGTGAGTTCGGTGCTTCTGCATTTCAGGGATGAGGGTGATGGGCCTGGGGCCGGGCTGGGCTCAGTCCTGGGCGCTGGCCCCTCTTCCCTGTGCGTGTGCAGTGTGTCCCAGCGCCCCCTGCAGACTGGCCATCCATGGCATGAGGCTTCTCTAACCCTCAGGGCACAGCCCGGTGCACCCTTTCCGGGTGCTGGGGAAGAACTCGGAGCTGCTCGTGGTGTCAGATGAAGAAGACATGGCCACATGGCAGAGGAGCGCACTCTCCCTCCGCTGGGCCAGTGACCCAAAGGCCCAGTCCAGGACCAAGGCCAACCATATCAGGTGTGTCAGGGCGCCCACTGGCACCCACATTTCCTTTCCTTCCGACAGCTTTCAGAGACATCACTGTTAGGTCAAGGCTCAGGACACATACAGCTGGCCCTCAGAGTGACCCATGCCCAGCAGATGCAGGCCTTTCCCCTCCCCCCACCCATGCCAGGCTCATGCAGGCGTCTTCCCTCAGGGAGGCTGCGGTCTGTAGTTCAACGCTCCTGTCTTGGGTTTGTTTCACTGTTGCGTTCCCTGGTCCAGTTGTGGTTCAGGGGAGCAGTGTCCTCTCACAACATCATCCACCCAGAAACTCCTCTTGTAAGTCAGTCTCTGTCCCCCATGCCCAGCTCCTGGGCCACCATAGTTCTCCGTGCTCCCTGCAGCCCACATGACCCTGCAGTGCCACTCTCAGGCTCTGCCCTGTGCCCACAGCACCCACCTTCCGCAGCTGTGTCCCCACGTTCTTGGCAGTACTTTACAATGTCCTGGGGCTCAGTCATGTGTATTCCGGCACTGTGTCCTCTCTGGTAGTGTCAGGAGGAAAACCTGGAGCCCCAGGGGACCTGCTCTGTCCGAACTGTTCCTGACCTCCCTCAGTCCTTGCAGTACGTCTGGAGGGTCCCCCCAGCCTTCCTCGCGGCCGCATGCTGATGTCTGGGCCTGTCCTGCAGGCTGTCCTGCCTGGCCGCATGTCTGACCCTGGTGAAACGCTGCGTGCTCATGTATCACACACTGCCTGCCTTCGACGCCATCGCTGCACCCCTCCGTGCTCTCCTGGCGGAGCACCTGGAACCCCCCCAGCACCCCGAGCTGCAGGTAGGCTACTGGCGGTGGAACTGTGGGCAAAAGGCAGTGAGCTCCTTGCTGCAGCACTGGCTGCTCTGGAACCTGTGATGCGAGCCATGTCTCGTGCGCCTCCTGCCCCCAGGAACGAACGGCGGGACTGTTGCGAGTGCTCTGCACCCGTCTCCTGCCTGCCGAGAGGGGCAGTTGGGGTACAGGAAGGGGTCCCTGGGGGCAGGACCAAGAGTCTGCCGCTTTCCTGAGCCGGGCTGTTCCCTGTCGGGGGCACTGGCCTGCGGGGATAGAGATGTGGAGGATGGAGCTGGTTCCAAATCTCTTGGACGCCTATGGGAAGCACGGGTCCACCAGAGTCCCATTGTGTGCTCTAGAAGCTGTGTCGGAGCATTCTAACAGAAATGGGAAGTCAGGAGCGGCGCTATCAGCCCCTCATCTGTGAGAAGAGCAAACCGGTCCCCCTGAAACTCTTCACTCCACGGCTGGTCAAAGTGTGAGTGTGGAGTGCTCCCCAATAATCCCCAGTTCGAGGAGGCACCCTGGGGTGAGGGCTGCGGGGCAGTGGCTGTGTCCCAGCTTCAGTGCCCATACTCCTGCACACAGCCTGGAGTACGGGCGGAAGCAGGGCTGCAGCAAGGAGGAGCAGGAGCGGAAGCGGTTGATCCACAAGCACAAGCGTGAGTTCAAGGGCGCCGTACGCGAGATCCGCAAGGACAACCAGTTCCTGGCCCGCATGCAGCTCTCGGAGATCCTGGAACGGTGAGAGGCTGGCTGCGGGTGGGCTTGGTCCTGGGCCCCTGGGTCCCCAGTCCTGTGGTTCTGATCCCTGGGGGACCCGACAAAAACCAATGGGCCTGGTTCATTCTGCCAGGGACGCGGAGAGGAAGCGGAAGGTGAAGCAGCTCTTCGGCAGCCTGGCTACACAGGAGGGTGAATGGAAGGCACTCAAGAGGGCAAAGTTCAAATGATGATGGCTCCCCCGCACCACTGATGGCCAAGAAACTTCCCCTGGACCGTTGGCAAAAACCACCTGCCACCCAGTGCCATAAATAGGATCCTCAGACCTGTCGCCACACAGTGGCCAGCTCAGGAGGGGTTTTGGCCTTCATGTACAGGATTCAGGGCGGGTTTTTAACCTACTATAAATGGTTTCTCGTGATTGATGAAGTGAGTTTACATCAAAACTAACCATCTTCGAGCAGCCTGACCTGCCACTGCTGATCTGTCCAGGACCTGAGTTGGGATATTTGAGGAGAGAAGCGGAGATTGGGAGCTGCTGAGAGTCCGTGAGAGTCCGTGATCCAGGGGCCAGTAGCCTTTGGGGCCCCACAGAGCCCCTGAAGGTCCCTGCACGCTGCTGATGGGTCAGAAGAGCATGCTCTGCGCTTTATTAGGGCACGACTGTCCCAAGTAAACGGACAACTGGGAGAGGCACTGGCCCTGCACGTGGCAGACACTAGTTATTAAGTACCACCCACCAGGCATGCCCCGAAAAACCCAGAACATAAACATCATGAGAAGGTTGCGGGTGGTAGTGGGTCGCTCCTCCTTGCACGCGCCTACCCGGTTCAGGTGCCCAGTACCAGGTAGGACCCCGTGAACACGGCCCCGTGTGGCACCAAGCATAAGTCAAAGGACAAGAGTGGCATGGCCAGGCACAAGACGCAACCCTGGCCTCGGGCTGGAGCCAGTCTCCGGGTCCTGAGCCCGCTCGCGCGGGCAGGGGCCATACAGGGGCTGCGGGTGCCGGCCCGGACCAGAGAGGATTTAGCGCCGCGGCGGAAGGGGTGGGCCGGCCGCTCGCTTCCGGGACGGGAGGCGGGGCCGGCCGCCCCGCCCCGCCCTGGCCGCGTGCCCGCGGGTGCATTCCGCGCGAGCCCGGCCTGGCCCTGCATCGTGGCTCGGGGCGCGCGGCTGGCGCGACTGAGGGGTACGCGGCTCGGGCTACTCCGCCCTGATCGAGAGCCGGGGGGCTCCGGCGGGGGTTTCTTGGCGCGGACAGGGCGGAGCCTTGGGGCGCAGGGACGGCCCCCACGCGTGCGGCGGCGGCCGGAGACCACTCCGCTCCCATTGCCGGGCCTCGATTTGGGGGTATGAAGGTCTGGGGCAGGGGGGAGGTAGAGGCGGGATGGGGACGGGGCGGCGCCCCCGCTCTGGACGGTTGGCTGTGTGCGGGTCGCTTGCACAATCCGTATCCGGTGCTCGCTGCCGCCTGGGGCTGGGGAGCGGGAGGGCGCGCGCCGGTGATCCCGGCGTTGAGTGACGGCGACTCCCCTCCCCGAACCCGTCAGGGCGCTCGCTGGCCGCTACGGGGTTGCAGAGTCCAAGCGCGAGAGGAGGTGCCCGAGTTCCTGCAGCAAGCCGACCGCGCCCCCGCATCCCCCCGAGGCCCGCCATGGACTGGGGGGCCAGCGGGGGCTGCACCCCGCGCCCACCCATCCGCCCGCAGCCGGCGTCCGAGCGCCGAGTAGTGATCGTAGTCTTCCTGGGCCTCCTGCTGGACCTCCTGGCCTTCACCCTGCTGCTGCCCCTACTGCCCCGGCTGCTGGAGAGCCACGGCCGCGCCAACGTGAGCCCCCGCCCCCTGCCCCCCCTCTGCCCCCCCCCCCCCAGCCTTCCCCGAGCCTTCCTTCCCCATGTCCCTCGTCCCCTAGGACTCCCTGTACAGCTCCTGGCAGAGTGGGGTGGACAGGTTCGCTGCTGCCATCGGGATGCCCATGGAGAAGAGGTACCACACCGTCCTGTTTGGAGGTACGGCCCCCCTCATCTTTCCCTGGCCGGGCCCACCTTGCTCCACGCAGCGCACCCACCGGCCCCTCGTGGCACATTCCCTCTCGGGACAGCTTCGCTCCTGGCGCGGGTCCTGACTGCCTTCCCTCACAGGTCTCATCGGCTCTGTCTTCTCGGGGCTGCAGTTCCTGTGTGCTCCGCTCACGGGCGCCATCTCTGACCGCCTGGGGAGGCGCCCCGTGATGCTGCTGTGCCTGGTACGGCCCAGTGTGCCTGCCTGCTTGTCCTGGGGGATGCCCTGTTCTGCTCCCCAGTGACAGCGATGGTCCTTGGTGTCTCTCCGCAAAGACAGGGCTGGCCACGTCCTACGCTGTGTGGGTGGCCTCGAGGAGCTTCGCCGCCTTCCTGGCCTCCAGGGTTGTTGGGGGCATCAGCAAGGGCAACGTCAGTCTCTCCACAGCCATCGTGGCCGACTTGGGCTCCCCGGCCGCCCGCAGCCGAGGCATGGTGGGTGCACATCCCAGCATGGGCTCAGGGCACCCAGGGCTTCCGCCCAGCTCAGCCACCTTCTCCACAGGTGGTGATCGGGGTAGCCTTCTCGCTGGGCTTCACACTGGGCCCCATGCTGGGCGCCTCCCTGCCCACCGACACAGCGCCCTGGCTCGCGCTGCTCTTCGCGGCCGCCGACCTGCTCCTCGTCCTCTGCCTCTTGCCTGAGACGCTGCCCCCAGAGAAGCGGGTAAACGCATGGGGAGCCTGTCAGAGGCCTGCTGGGAGCCTGGGATCCAGCAGCTTCAGCCCACCCCTCCCTCCTCCAGGCTCCCTCTGTGGCTCTGGGGTTCCGGGCTGCTGCTGACCTGCTCAGCCCCCTGGCGCTGCTGCGCTTCTCAGCAGCTGCCCGTGGCCAGGCCCCGCCTTCGGCAAGCGGTAAGGGGAAGGGGCGGGTACCATTCACACCAGCTACAGATGGTAAGGGGCTGGGGGGTCCGGGCACCCCTCACACCGGCTGCTCCCCAGAGCTCAGCAGCCTGCGCTGCCTGGGCCTGGTCTACTTTCTCTACCTCTTCCTCTTCTCCGGCCTGGAGTTCACACTGAGCTTCCTGGCACACGAGCGCTTCCAGTTCAGCAGGTGGGTGTGGACCCCGATGGTGGGATGGGGTGGGCCCTCGGCTGTTGGACCCGCTCTGACTGCCCAGCCTCCAGCCTGCAGCAGGGTAAGATGTTCTTCTTCATCGGCCTCACCATGGCTGCCGTGCAGGGCGCCTACACCCGCCGCATCAGCCCCGGTAGGGAAACGGCAGCTGTGAGTCGGGTATGTGGGGGTGCCTGAGAGGGTCAGCGGGTCCTGATGGGCCGTGCATGTCGTGACTGAGGTGCCCTTCTCAGGCCATCCTGCTGTTGGTCCCCGCCTTTCTCCTCATCGGCTGGGGGTGCTCGCTGCCCGCTCTGGGCCTGGGGCTGCTGCTCTACGCGTTCGGTGAGTGGCTTGGCGGGGCCCAGGGTGGCTCTGGGGTGTCCCCCGAGCTGACAGCTCCTCCACCCCCCAGCTGCCGCCGTGGTGGTGCCCTGCCTGTCCTCCGTGGTCGCCGGCTATGGTGAGTGCCCCTTTGCCCAGGGCCCCGTGTGGCCGTGCCGCATGGGCCTGCAGCCACGGCCTGTCTCTCCCTGCAGGCTCACCTGCACAGAAGGGCACAGTCATGGGCACGCTGCGGAGCCTGGGTGCTCTGGCCCGGGCACTGGGCCCCCTGGCGGCCGCCTCAGGTGAGTGTGGCTCCAGAGGAGCAGGGGGGCTCCCTCCCCAGCCCCTGAGCATGAGCACAGGCGGCCCCTCTGCCTACAGTGTACTGGCTGACCAGCGCCCGGATCTGCTTCACCGTGTGCTCTGGCTTCTTCCTGTTCCCCTTCCTCATCCTGCGGACGCTCAGGCCACCAGCACCAGCCAAAGCCGAGTAGGCAGGAAGTGGAGGCGTGCTCTCCCCGCAGGCCCTGCCCACCTCCCCGCTGCCTGTTGCTGCCTCTACACCCAGCATCAGTCCCACAGGCTGCAATGTCCTCACGCGCCTCGTTTCCCCTCCGCACAACAGTGGGGGCACAGCATCCGATGCCCAGAACCCTCCCTGCTAGTCGGTGGGGACAAGGGTCAGGTGCTGTCACATGCTCAGGCCCTTCTGCCGAAGGTTCTGGGTCACAACAGAAATACTTTGGGACCTTTTGTGGGAACTGGAGACAAACTTATGAAAACCCTAATAAAGGAATTAAGAATTAACACTGCAGTTCAGACGAGAAAAGTGCTTAAAGAACTTTATTGTGAGTAAAACATGGTGGAAGGAGGCGCAGGCCCTGCCCTCACGCTGTGCCTGTCTGCGACTAAACTGGGTGTGGTACAAAGAGTCTGACTACAAAAGTGGAGGGAAGTGGCTGGGGTGGCAGGCAGGAAGGCAGAGTCGCCGCCCACAGCTAGCAGAAGAGCTGGGCACGAAGCAGTGGCCTCAGCCCCTGCCCAGCACCAGGCCCACCCTGGGACGCGGCAACCGTGGAAAGGGTCCCACTCGGAGGACTGGCGACGTGTGGACAGGTACCCGGTCAGGACTTTCCAGATGATGGGTGCTTGGTGGCCATACACAGTGGAGCTGGCAGAGAACAAGAAGCAAGATGGGACCCGAGGCAGGGCAAGGCAAGCAGATGGAGGAAAATTCTCGAAGGGATGCCCCGTCCCGCTGTTCCCTCGGTGCCAGGAATCCAGAGGCCCCATGAAAAAAAGCAGTGGGTCTGTCAGGGTGCAGGTAACGCAGCTGAGCAAGGCCATGCTGGGGGCTCCAGCTTGGCCCCGAAACCCTACTTGCAGTCTCCCACGTCTTGGTCTGGGCCCAGGCTTTGGAAAAGAGCCAGATGAGAGGCCTGCAGGAAGCCCAGTCAGTTTGTCACATGAGACCTTGGGGCGAGGGGGAGCCCAACAGAGCGGGGGTCACTGAGGCACAGGGGGGAGGAGGAGGGACAGAGTGAGTCCCAGGTCCTGGCAGTACTTGCAAAGGTGGGGGGCTCGCTATGCGGGGTCAGGGTGCATTCCGTGACACAAGACGACAGCACAGGAAACGGGGACAGTGATGGCGGCTGCTGACGGGCCTCAGGACTCGCCCTTCTTCTTGCTCTTCTTCAGGAAGGAGGGGGTGCGGAACTTCTTCTTCTTTTTGGACGGGGACTTGCCTGGCGACCCATCGCTGCTGGGGTCTGCAGCAACCCCCTCCTCAGCAGCTGGGGCTGGCTCAGGGCTGGCTGCCCGGGGGGATCCAGGGGGGCTGGGGGGACTACGGGTTCCCTCCTTGTTCAGCGTCGGGGAGCCAAGCACTTCTGAAGGCTCGTCCGGGGACAGGTCAGGGAGAGCTGGCTTGAAGGTGGCGGCATCACTGTCACCTCCAGACACTGGCTCCTGGGGCATGTCTGGGGGTGGGGCAGGAGAGATGGGTTATAGGGCGACTGTCCGGACCTGAGACCGGCTGGAAGGGGCTCCAGCTCCTCTGAGCGAGTAGGCCCCACAGCCCGCTGCTATCAGCAGTTCCAAAATTAGCCTCAGGTTTGGTTCATGGCACCTGTCCCCAACGAGAAGCCCCTGGAGCACCATTGTTTTCCCCAGCACACAGGAAGATGCGCACGCGGGCGGGGATGCCCCAAGTCAGCACACACTGCAGGAGAGCGCTAAGGGTGGCTCTGAGATGCAGGCTGCTCGCTTCGTCCAGTTTCGTTTTAGATTTGTTCCTAGTTTGGGGGCCGCTCCAGGCAGTGCTCGGGGGCCCTATGTGGTGCCGGGGATCACCTGCAGTCAGCGGCCCTCTACCCCCTGTGGCAACTCTCAGACCTGAGCAGCATGGTTTCAAGGACCAGCCTGATAACTCGGTCCCTGGGAGAGCCCTGCCAGGGGTCAGGAACCAGCCCACAAAGCGACCGGTCCCAGCAGGTTAGTAGACACGCAGAAGCCCCCAGCACCCCCAATCCTAGCCCGGGAGACCAAATTCTTCCTTCTGAGGCAGGAGGAAGATGCAGAGGTGGACAAGGGGCTTGGGAGCTCAAACAGCAACCCTGTCCCCATTTGTGCGACCCTCTTGCAGCAGGGGACGAAGCCCACCCCATCTGCCCCTCACCGAGACGTGTCTGACCCCTCTGGCTGGCAGAGTCTCAGTGCCAGGGTGGGGGTTACAATGGTCACCGGGAGGGACACGTGGGGTGCCTGGGTCTTAGGAACTGTGAGGTGTTGTCCCACTGCCCCTCCCAGGAAGGTCACTCACTGCCTTCTGAGGGACTGGGGACCAGAGGGCCCTTCCCTGAAGTCCTCTGAATGAACAGAAAACAAAGCTGAGTAACAGGAAAGCAGCGGGCGATGAGGCGAGCGAGGCGGGGAGGGGGCGGTGGCAGCGGTACTTACTATGGCAACAGGTACTCTCTAGCACAGCCACCTCCTGCTTGTCACGCACGCGGCCACAGAAGAGAGAAGCACAGGGAGAGAATCTAGGCATCGCGTCACAGCCAGTGGATTAGGACATGGGGGGCCACTCATGTGGACACAGACAGGGGAGGCGAGCCACAGGCTCCTGACAGGAAGCATGACAGGCAGACCAAGGGAGACACACACACACACACACACACACACACACACACACACGGCCCGACCCCACCATGCAGGGCCAACACTGCACGGACCGCAGCCCCACCAGGCTCCTGACAGGAAGCATGACACATAGACCAAGGGGCACACACACACCCGCACCCACACACACCAAGGGACACACACACACATACACACATGGCCCGACCACAACATGCTGAGCCAACACTGCACGGACCGCAGCCCCACCGGGCTTCTGACAGGAAGCATGACAGACAGACCAAGGGGCACACCCACACCCACCAAGACATACACACAGACACAGACACAGACACAGACACACACGGCCCGACCCCACCATGCAGGGTCAACACTGCACGGACTGGAGCCCCGCCAGGCACACACAGCCCTGCAGTCCGACACGAGAAGATCTGGAGGTGACCAAGCGTCAGTATGAGAGCTGTGTGCAGTGGCAGGACTGACACCCCAAAGAAGCGGCGCCAAGACCCCGTGTGCCTCCCACCTGGATCCGTCTCCCCCCCAGCCTGCTGGCCTCACGGTATCCAGGAGAGAACTGAAGTGGGACAGAGGGTGTGGACAGGTCCCCAGAGTCCCTCAGAACGGCCACACTGTGTGGCCCACAGGCCCTGGCCGCCTCCTTGGCACCATGCCAGCACATGGGCAGGCACCCACACAGGGCAACACCAGCCTCCCCACCATGACTCACCTTCCTCCGGCTTGACAGGGGTGCTAGGTGGAGTGTGGGGCACAGCCAGGCCCTCGGAAGGGCCCTTCTCTCTGTCTTCCCGAGCCATCTCCAGATTCTCTACGAGGCCACCAAGCAGAAAAACACTGGTCAACAGGCCCTCACAGGGCCTCCAGCCTGGCACGGGGCTGCCCCGGGGAGGACAGTGCGGATTCCTCGGGTACAGCCACATCCACTATCCACCTGCCCCTCATTCCTCTGCCCCTTCAGGACTGGGGTGCCGATCTGAAGTTCAGAAAGCCTGAAAGCGAGCGGCTCTTCTGCTTCCAACATGGACCTGCAGTTCCCTCTCTTCGCTGTGTGCGCCGCACACCAACGCGGTGCACACGGTCTGCAAGCGGGGCCCGGCCCAAGCCAGCACAGCCGGCAGCAAGCCCCGAGCAGCACTGGGGGGCTCCACGGCCATTTTCTGGCAAAGATTTAAACAGGGTGACCGTGAACATAAAATAAAGCCCAGTGACAAGGGCCAGAGAAAACTTGTGGGTACTTGCTCTTGTCCCTGTGTCCCGGGTGCTCTCTGCCTGTCGGTGCCCTCGCAGCCAAGCTTCTCGAAGTCCCTGCCTGGGACAGACCTTCAGAGGCCAGCAAGCGCCCACAACCCACTGTGTCCAGGAGGGTCAGAGGCACCTCCCATCTGTGACTGGAGCAGTCACGGGTCTACTCACTGCCACACACCTTCTGAGGGCACCTCTAAAATGTAGGGAACTTCCCTGTGACTTCACTCAGAATAAACCAGACAGCGGGTTGCAGCTGCCTACAGTTCAATCCCCAGAACCCCATAAGGTCCCCTGAGCACAGACCCAGGAGGAAGCCCTGAGCATCACTGCAAGTGGCCCCCAAACCAAACCAAACCAACCACCCAGATTTTTCGGCTGGCAGACACGGGCTGAGGGAAGGTCTCAGGAGCTAGCCATTGCCCCTCTCTGCCTGGGGTGAGTAGCCATGGCCACGGCTAACAGGGAGTGGACACACCAAATGCCACAGGGTGCTGGGCTCCTGAAGGGCAGTGAGAGCTGTGAAGCCACTGACCCGCCAGTCCCCAGCTGGGCCTCGCGCACATAGCGTGAATGGCAGCAATGCTCCTGGCCATCGGCTCCGTCCCCTCCCCTCCCCCAGGACATCTGGAGGTGCAGTTGGACCCTTGTTAAGTGTGAGCGCAGAGGGCGTGGATGCCCGGCTGCACGCGGCCTTGAGGCTTTCTCCTAACCAGAACCATCCTTGGTATGTCTGCAATAGGCAGCACCAGCTTCGCCTTCAGTGCCCACACCCCAGGAAGCCCTTCTGCACCCTGCCCTGGGCGGCCTCCGGAGCACCCACCTTCTGGGCCCTTCTGCTTGCGCTCTACTTCCCTGCGGTACTCCTCCAGCTCGCGGTCCGTGAGCGTATTGAAGGGGTTGGGGCCCGTGGTGCTGACAATGACATGGGGCTGGTATTCTTTCTCAATGATGGCCTTCGACGCTGTCACCAGCTCCCCCTGCGACAGAAGGGGGTCTGAGTCATCAGGAGGCTGCTGGGGGCGGGGGGAGCCATGCCACAGGCGGGGCGGGTCAGGTGGGGTGCAGATGTACCCAGGCCCCGGTTCTGATGCTCCCAGTGGAGCTCTGCTTTGGGTCTAACAGAGAAACATCGTCTCTGCAGCAGATCCAACAGCGCGGCAAGCACCCAAGAGAAATGCTTCCAGTTTCAGAACAAAGCCCCAAAAGAGCGTGGGCGTGTCTGCTCATGGACACCCGGGGGGAGGGAGGGACATCCCAGAGTCAGCGCCCACCTCCGACAAGGGGCACATGCTTAGAGAAGTCCAGCAGAGCTAGTTCTGAAGCCCCTGGCATGGCTTCCCAGACACACACGGAGGGCACTCTGCCCCCAAACACCAGGGCTGGGTGGACCCAGAAAACCAAAACCATCTCCGAGAAAAAGCAGAGCAGAGCAGAGCTCACAAAGCAGGCCTGGAGCACCACGGGCAGAGGGCACGCAAGAGACTAGCCACCCACACCCGCACCAGTAGGAGTGCCTGGCCCCAACTCCAAATGCCTAAGCCCCGATCCTCGGGACTCACTTTCCCAAAGCTAACATTCCACAATGAAGACTCCCGAACAGCCAAGAACAGAGGACAAAGCGTGTCGTGCCAAGACTGGTCAGCCAGTGGCCTCTACTGAGAGGTAGCACAAGAACATCACACATAAACGCACGCATGCACTCACCAACTCAAGCTCATACACTCAGCAGACACGCACACTGACTGCTACACGCTCAGACACACCGCGGGGGCGGAGGAGCACACTGGGCTGCGCAGTCATGGCCAAGGGGCCGGGGCACAGGCGAGGCGGCCTCCACTCGGGGCTCCTGGACAGTCCAGGGAACTCTTTCGCCTTAGTCCTGACTTCAGACTGTCTCCTTCAGGCTCTGTTCCTAGGGGCAGTGTGGAGTGCCCAGCAGGCAGCTCAGTTTCCTCAGACCTCCTGGAGTGCGCGTGTGCAGACGGCGCTATGGACACGTCAGCGCTCCCAAAGGAGCAGGACAAGCTGCAGAAGGTGACTGGGAAAGGGGCGGAGGCAGTCCAGGAGCAGCAGGAGGCATCCAGGCACACCTGCACCAAATCAGCTCAATGCAAGGGACAAAGGACACCCCTCTCAGCCAGGCAGCCCCGATGAGGCCCACTCAGGGGGCGCCCCCGGGCGGGCTCTGTGTGAAACTCGAGGCCGCAGGCCTTGGCCCATTCTGAAAGTGGGAGAGAATCAAAGCTAGTAGATGGCAGCGGGAGCCAGAGGGAGCGTGGCGCTCCCCGCTGACGCCTCCGGGAGTGGCCGCAGTAGGGAAACTGAGGCGAGGGAACGTGCCTGAGGTGGGTGTGCTTGCAGAGGGGCTCAGCCAGTAGCTGAGTCTCAGCACCCCTCAGCTTCCCTCCAGCACGTGGCACCTCAGAGAACAGCCCCGACACAGAGAGGAAAGACGGGTCTGGACAGGCCCGGCGAGGGGTGCGGAGACAGCGGCTGGTGCTTCTCCCTCACAGCATCACAAACAGAGCGTTTCACCGTGAAGGCTGAAAACACTGGCATGCTCTTGTTCCACTTCCTATTCCTGAGACCATGGATCTTCCCACAGACCTTCATTTCCACCATCCCGGGAGGCTTGAGGACCAACCCAGCAGCTGGCAGCAGGTGGCAGCAGGTGGCAAGTATTGGGGCTGCCCATGAGCTTTCTGCAGTTGGCATCTAGTAAAAGGCAAACTCAGCAAACCCTTCACACGCAGTCTCACAGGGCACCACACAAACCCCTCACACGCAGTCTCAGAAACATCACAAGGCAGGTCATTTTGCTCAAGCAGGTAAGAGGCAGAAACAGCACAAGCAGCCTCACCCCGAGGAGCGCTAGAGAACAGAGGAGCAGAACAGAACCTTCCGGACGGTTCTGACATCCCTGAGCGCCCAGCCCTGGGAGCTGAGGAGGGCAGCGAGTACCTTTCTAACAGAGCGAGCTCTAGCGGGACTAAAGGTCTGCTCTGGGAGCTCGAGCCCTTCGATTGTTTCCGTGCAGTCAGAGAGGGGCGCGTCCTGCAACAGTAAACTCGGTCAGCAGAGCCCACCGCGCGCCCAGAGGTCAGGGCTGAGAGCAGCGGGCCAGGCAGAGCAGAGCGGAGCGGAGCAGAGCAGAGCAGAGCGGGCAGGGCAGGGCAGAGTGGGGTGGGCAGGGCGGAGCACATGCAGGAAACAGGAGGCAGAGGCCCCTGCACCCCGGGCACCAAACGAGAAAGCACCTGGGCGTCAGAGATGGCCAATGACACACAGAGCCTCCGTGTAGCTCACATGTGCAGGCCATCCACAGGGGTGCCCGGACACGGGCGCACACAGGCCCCACAAGCAGCATAACACTGCAGACAGCCGCTGAGCCATCACAAACGGGTCTGAGGAACCTCCCCTCCTCCATCACCTCACACGCCCTGCCACTGCTCCAGGGCGAGGCCAGGGCCCAAAGCAGGCAGCACACGTTCTGCCACTGAACATGCACCCCCAGCCCCCCAGTGACAGGGCTGGAGAGGAGAGCCCTGGCATGCTTGGGCTTCACTGCCACCGAGGTGCCGGCACCCTCCTCACAGAGGCGTCTGTCAGACCCTACCTCGGGGTCACCCGCTCCCGCCCCCATCAGCACCCCTGCACGCTCACCTGGCCCACGCTCCTGTCCATGACCACACCGCACAGAACCTGGGACTGGGGCCCAGCCGTCTTAATGTCCTGCAGGTTCTGCTCTCGGATCTGAGGGTGAGAGAGACACACATCAAAAGCCGGCCCTCACACGCGGCACTGCTCAGTCTGGGGCAGGGGTGCGCCAGGAACTGGCCGGGGGAGGCTGCCCCACAGACTTGGGACATTTACCAGCCCTGTGCGTATGGGCCCCAAGCACCCTGCCCCGCCCAAAGAGTCGCTGCCACGAGGCTCCCTCTGCAGCCAGAGTGAGTGACACAGGCCCACCGCCCTGTCCACAGGGCGCCACCCGCATCCCCAGGCATCTGCCCGCACCAGCAGGACGCACCTTGTTCCGCATCTCCTGGACCTCTTTGGGGTCAGTGTTCAATGGGACAAACAGGTTGGGGACGGCAGAGGTGGAGCTTCTATGTCCATCCTCTTTCGTCCACTGCAATATCAAGAACAGGTAACAGGTCAGAATCGGGAGACAGAGGGCGACACCACAGCCTCCAATCTGTCCACCTCCTTTCTCTCACACCTGCTCATGCACCGACATCGCAGAAAATGAACCAATGCCCACACGACCTAGCCCCACGCCAGCCGGAACAGGGCCAAGAGCGTGGGGTGTCCACAGCACACTGGTTCACTGCCACGCGAGTCATCCACATCAAAGCCAGCTGGAAGCATGAGATGACAGGATCAGGAGAGCAATGAAAGGTCCTACTCGGATGGGCTGCGAGGCAGGAGTGGGCATCACCAAAGTCCAGCACTGAAACAGCCCCAGCACACACCACTGCCGGGACTCTTGGCCCAAAATCGTTGCACGAACACTTACAGAGGAGCAACCGGTGGAAGGATTTGGTGATGTCAAATATTTTATATAACTCCATTCTCTTGAGTGTTACAAAAATATCCCTCCAAGCTCAAGCGCTCATGAGTTCTGACTTGGGGGCCATTTTAGGATTCAGTGCGTGCTGCCAGCATGCTGCACCTCTCACTCAAACCCTGATTTGGGGGGATCTCTAGACAGAAGATGTCAATCACATCCTAACTCTTGGGCGTGAGGAGGAGAAGGCACTGATCGCATCAGAGGAAGCAAGGCTGCCCGAGTCTCTATGATGCAGGCAGGAGCTCTGTCCCCACCAACGCTAAGCCACTGCGAAGAGGGTTGGGTGGGCGTGGAGCTGTGGATACTCACTGGTGGAATCTTCTCAGAAAAACAACTCCGACCGTTTACTACAGAGAACTTTTAGTCAACACTGAAACAACCACCTCAGAGCTTGAACATGTTTGCAGAGTGAAGAACAGTCGCGTGTTACTGTACGACCAGGGAGTAGGCAGGAGGTGGCGGCTCAAGAGCAGCCGCGGACTCCGTTTCTGAACTGGCAGAGACGCTGCAGCGGTCTCACAGCCCGCCCTCGAGCTCGCGGGAGTTAGCGGAGAGCCGCAGTGTCACGCGACCTGGCCCCCAGCACGCCAGCACCATGGCTCCCGGGGGCCACCAGGCAAGAGACAGATACATGGCCACGCCCCATTCCGGCAACCACTGAGCCCCCAGGCTTGTGCCCAGTGGCACGAGGAGAAGCCAAGGACGCAGCACAGATTTCCTTCCGCCCTGGCAGGGGAGCAGGACACTGGGTGGCATCCGTGGGACCACTGCTGATTCACCTGGCCTGGCTTCATGGGAACCCTGAGGTACCAGTCATGCAGGGGCTGGCCCAACTCCGTTCCTCGCCAAGACCCGCCCCCAGGTGGGTCCTGGGCACGCTGGCACAGGGCCAACAGAGGATTCTCCCAAGCACAGAACCACTGAAGAAGCCGCCGTCGCGGGCCAGAGCCTCTCACTGGGCCCGCAGGCAGCCTGCGCTGCACTTGGGTCATGCCACACCCGGCAGGAGTCGGAGTCTCCCGCCATGGCCGCTACTCACATGCAACAGTCCATGCAGAAGGCAGCTGGCGGATGGCATTCGGAGGCTTTGGGACAACAAGAGGGGACGAGTGAGTGGGAGAGGAGGGAGAGTGACCACGAGCAAACACTCGTGATGTGTGAGGGGAAACTGCTTAAGAAAACAGAAGACTCCAAAGAGCAGACTCGAGACCCGCAGGAACACTGCAGGAAGCAGCACTGGAATACTAGGCCGCGCCCACCCTGCACTGCGCTCACAGGAGAGGCCTGGAGGAAGCAGGCCCGGCGGGACAGACAGGTCCTACCGCAGGTGGACCCTGTCGGCGAGTTAGTACTCCCGCTCCCGAGTCAGGAGTGCTGGAACGGCTGAAGGGCACAAAGTATCTTAGGCAGTTTCGAGCAGACTGCATTAGTGGGCAGTGGATGGGGCTCCGGCGGCAGAGCAGGGAGGAAGGTCTGCAGGGACTGAGGTCAGGGGGCTGGGTTCCCAAAGCCTCCGAAGTCCCAGCTGCCCGACTTGCTCTACATCTCTAACTAGGAACAGTAAGGTAGGCACAGACCAAGCAGTTGGTAATACAGCTTGGCACGCAGACACCGGACGAGAGAGACTGCAGCAAGGGTTTCACGTGATCGTGTGTAATGTTCGTCCACACCTTAGTCTTCGACTTGGGGCTGCTGCCGTTGGGCCCTTCCTCGGGAGCATCATCGGCTCGGCCAGAGTGCAGCCACCGTGTCTTCTCTCGCTGCTGCTTCTGAAAACTGTGTCTGAGAGGGGAGCCAGTGCCCGAGTCTCCATCACTAGCAAAGGAATAACCTGTGACACTGGCAGGAACCTCCACATCGCTGAATTTTTTAGATTTCTCCCTCAGAGCCGGGTACCGGTAGGGATAGCCAGTTCTGTAGCCCTGCAGTCAGGAGAGAGAGGGAGAGAGTCACCACCGTACAGGGCAGCTGACTGCCGACATGCGCAGACTTGGCTGTCAGGAGTTCAGAAATGACACAGAGCTAGACCCAAGACCCCACAATTGAAAAAATCCAAGTCCGCTCATTGACCAGAGCGAGCTCAAGTGAGAAGACCAGCCCTGAGCAGGCCAAGCCAGCAAATTTCATAAGCTTGATGCCAAGTGGGAGACCAGAAGGGTGCGCAGTGGGACCCTACGTACTAAAGAACTAGAGGCAGCACCAGCCTCTGCTGCTGGGCGGGTAAGTGGTCAGCCAGGACAGACTGAGGGGTGCTGAAGCCAGGGCTGTCCGAGGCTCCTTCCCGACTCAAACAGGCAGAGCAGGGCAGGCAGCGGGGGCCGCACTCCGTAACTGAGCACTCTGCCCTGGCCGGTTCACCTCGTGACGACAAACATCCCGGTTCAAGGCTTGGTCCCCGCTGAGTGCTGAGCAGGCAGGGAGTGGAGTGCCATACCGCTCCCCTGCAGTACCTCCAGGTGAGGCAGAGGGGACCAGATGGCCCCCGTGCCCCCAATCCCACAGTGTCCTCCCCATCCAGAGTAACCATTCTAACCTGCAGAAGTGTAAAAGGCTGCCCGTGCAGGCCATGACCCCCCGACACACACCCCCGATCTGATAGCTGGAAGCCAAGGTCCTCCCTTCTAAGTGCAGGCTGTTCGCACCGAGCCTCCCAAGGAGACCCAGAGCGTCTGCCCCAACTGCAGTCCATACGGCCCAGGCCAGCCTCAGGTCGGGCCCAAGTCACACTGACAGTGACAACACCATCAGGACAGGACATGGCTCCCAGTGGCCAGTCGAGCGTGGGCGATGGGCTGCTCATGTGCCCCATCTAGGAATTCCCTCTCCCCTGGCAACCCCTCTCTTCCACACACTGGAAGGAGGTGGGAGGGCCCTGTGGTCGTGGGGAGAGAAGGGCTCCTGTCCCTTGAACAGCTCTTTGGTCCCTGTGTTTATCCCTCACATCTTCCAGAAGACAGACTGGGGCCAGAGAGAGCGCACAAGGATCAAGACGTGTGCCTGTGTGCCCACCCCGGCTTGGCATCAACCGAGAGAGGGCACTTTATTGGAGAACAGGAGGCGTGCAATGAGCAGCTCCAACGTGGAGCTGAAAATACGACCCTTATTCATGCAGGCCTCTGGCTCAAGAGAACCAGGGCTCCCAACTTCAGGAGAAACCATCCAGGCCTTCAGACATCTTAGCCCGCAAGGATGCAGGTTTTTCTTCCCCTTAAATGCTGTCCAGGCAAAACCAGTGATACTAGGCAGAATCGTGGCTCACTGCAGTCACAGTTCAAGTACAGACGTGCTCCTTCTTGAGATGCAGTGACTATCTCGAGCAGAGAGGAACTAGTGCGCGTTCTGACTGCATCTGTATAGTCTCTTCTCCTATGTGAGAACATCTCTAATCGCTCCCTTCCCAACTCTATGATCAGCACACACATGCAGTTGATAAGTACTGAATCAAAACCTGGGCTATGATCAGGAATTAGTGATTCCTGTCCAGTTCATTTCTCACATACTGCCTGGCCTTCTTACACTAAAACTAACAGGGGCAGAGGACACAGCTCAGTAAGAGAGCACTTGCCTTGGAAATGTGAGACCCTGGGGTTTAATCCCAGACATCACCAAAGAACTAAAGAAAGCCCAACTGGGGCCCAGAGAGCTAGGACAGCAGTAGGATGCTTGCTGAACACGCAGCCAACCCAGGCTCCATCCCCGATACGACATCACCAGGCATGATCCCTGAGCACAGAGATACGAATAAGGCCTAGGCACAGCTGAGTGTGACCCAAGCGGAATACTTAAAATAATTTATGCACATTAAGGCCTATGAATAAAAGCCCAGTAGTGACCACTTCACTTCCTGCTCTTTCCACCTTTCCCCTTTTCCTCTGTCAATCAGTTGCTTCCTGACTTGGTTTCTCCCTCTTCACCCTCTAGAACTGAGCACACAAGTGTCCAGCGCAACCCTCTCTCCTATCCTTCTCAACTTCCAGAACGTCAAAGTGTAGGCAGGGAGGTGAGAGAGGGGGAAGGGCTCCCATCCTGCCGCCAGCTGCTGACACTTGGCCGCAGCCCCAACCCATACCTCCATCAGGCATGTGACTGCAAGGCCACGTCCCCCTGCGGAGCTTCTCCCTCTCCTAAGGAAGCGTCCTCCCCTTCCCTGTCCTCTCTGGCCAGACTGCCATCTGCCCATTGTCCATCTGCCCCTGCAGTGCCCATCGTGGCATCAGACACAGATCAGCATGGCTGGGATCACAGCATCGGGGACTCATCTGTCCATGTCCCTCAGTAGGTGACTCACTTGTCAGGGACCAGAATTGTGTCCTGCTCGTGGGGACAGGCTCCTGAGCAAATTCAGGAGTGAGGGGGCAGACCGCTTTCCTGCCTCGAGCACAGGCTCTGCTGTGGGAGGCATGGGTTCAATCCCCAGCACCATAGCTCCCGCACACACTTTCAGGAGTAACCTCTGAACGCCAAACCAGGAGTAGCCCCACTGACGGTGTAGCCCCCAAAACAGCCCTTCCCCTTCGCGCCCCCCCGACAGTACTAGTACTTCAAGACTTTGTTGTTTTGGGGTCACACCCGGCAATGCTCAGGGCTTACTCCTGGCTCTGCACTCAGGAAGTACTCCTGGTGGTGCTCAGGGGACCATAGGGGATGCTGAGGATTGGAACCCTGGTAGGCCATGTTCAAGGCAAGCACCTTACCCACTGTACTATTTTTAGTAAGAAAATTAATGCCGTATTTTAAATGTTATAATTGTCCTGAAGAGTCTTGCTATGTTTCACAGAATAAATACTAGATATGCTGTGCCTGCAGGTTGACTTTAGGTTGACCTTGCGACCACTCACTACTTTCGGACTAGGGCGTTTGCCTTACAAGCGGCCAACATGGCCGACCCGAGTTCGATTCCTCCGCCCCTCTCGGAGAGCCCGGCAAGCTACCGAGAGTATCTCGCCCGCACGGCAGAGCCTGGCAAGCTCCCCGTGACGTATTCGATATGCCAAACACAGTAACAACAAGTCTCACGATGGAGATGTTACTGGGCCCGCTCGAGCAAATCGATGAACAACGGGAGGACCGTGACCGCGATGCTGTGCCTAGAAATACTAGAGAGTCTGCCTGATAAAGCACAGGAATACTTCTGCACCGTCCTCTGGAGAATGAGAAGGCTTTCCTTTTACAAACACTAGGAATGCAGTTTAGGTAACCTGGCCACACAGTATCATTTTATGGCTTTAATGGCCAGTCACTGGGCTTCAGATCGTCCACCACTGCCTCTCACTTCACCTCTCCTCCCCACACTGTTGATACTATCCACTCCTTTGCTTTGCTTCTCTGTACACCAGACACCTTTCTTTCTCCCTCTCATTTATTATCCTTGGCACAATGCCCTCCATTTCCATGAGTCGCAATAAACGACCAGATTCCATGTTTTCTGAGAGCTGCATACTGTTCCACTGTGTCTACCCTCTCATCTGCCATTGGACATCTGGGCTGTTCCCAACCTGGCTACTAGGACGCAGCACTGCAAGAAACAAAGGTATGCATCATTTTTTTTGACTAATGAATTAATGTTTTTGCAAAAAGTGAAATCGCTTAGGTCGTATGGGAGTTCTATTCTGAATTTCTGAGAGAGGATCTACTCCTGGCAGTGCTCAGGGAGGTCACTCCTGGAAGTGTTCGGGCTATCGCTAGAGTCTGCAAGGGCTTAACCGCTGTAGTAGCTCTCTGGTTCCCTGTTCTGACTCTTGAGAAGTTTCCTAACTGCTTCCTCGAGGCTGAACGAGACACACTCTCACCAACAGTGAAGGAGTCTCTGTTCACCCATTCCCACCAACACCAGCTATGTCCAGCCTGTTTGGTTTTGGGGCCACAAATGGCAGCTCAGGGATCGCTCCTGATGGGGCTCTGGGGACCACATCCAGGTGAGCCACATGCAAGGCAAGCACCCTGCCTGTCATGCTGGCCCTTCAGCCTTTTTTGGTATGTGCCATGCTGACCAGTGTAAGACGGCATCTCATTGGTTGATTTGCATTTCCCTGACAACACATAGTAATTAACTTACTCATGAACTTGGAAAGGGAAAAAAATTTTAGATACATGGCCGGAGTGAGAATACAGTGGGGAGGGCACCTGCTTTGTAGGCAACCTGCTGCGGTTGGATCCCTGGCACACCAAATGGTCTTCCGAGAACCTCCAGGAAGAATTCCCAACCAAGTGCAGAGCCAGGAGAAACCTCTGAGCATTGCCATGTGGCACAAAAACAACAATCAAAAAATTCAGATACACCATAAATACAGCAATCACACACTATTATACATCCGGAAAAACACCCACAAAAAACAAGGGTGCTTTCAGAATACTGCACTGTCACCTGCAATAATGCTAATGTTCTCACCAGGTTATCCAGCATCCGCATGAGGGCTTCAAACTCCTGCTCACCAATCTGCCACCTGGGAGGTGAAACGGTGCCATCCTCTGATGGGGAGCCCGGGGAACGGGGTTTGGCTCTGTACTTCCCAGGATCCAGGAGGACTAAGTTGTCGGGCCCTCCTGAACTGGCCAGAGTTCGAACCTTTTCCAAAACAAGTAGACATGACAGTTTGTTTCTGAGAGCAAGAGAATCAGATGATTTAAACATGATGTGAATTTCAAAGGAAACCAAAACAGCAGCAACAGCCAGAAAAGTGTCGGCTGGATACACAGACTCATCACAACGCACCATACATCGTCCCTGATCCTGATCAAAATGCCAGGCATTCACACTTGGAGAAGGGGGGAGCCGACCCCCACTCAAGATGACCAGAAAAGGCCTTCAGGGACCATCAGCATGTCTGGCCTCTGCGCCTTTCTCAAGAAGAGGACAGTGAGGACCGAAGAAGGACAAGCAGTACCCAGGAAAGCCTTGGGCAAGGGCCAGGCGCACACTTGGTAGTGGCTTCCACATCTGAAAACTGGAAATATGAAAGTCCAGTGGTCCCGGTCATCTGAGTCCACGAACTGCGACTGGACTGGTCGGTCCCTACCCCCAGGAGCTGATCTTTGGCAATGAGACTTGCACTTGCAAAGCCAGCACCAAAGTCCCAAGAAGCTGCAGACGGAAGAAAACAGCCGCTGCCCACCTGGATCTCACACGCGACCACGAGGTTGTGGATGTAGTAGAAGGCCTCCTCGACGCTCTCGCCAACGGACACGAGCCCGTGGTTCCGCAGAATAAGAACCTGTGGAGAAGAAGAAAGCTCCATGGGCTCGCTTAGAGGATTCTACTGTCCTCGACCCTTGAAATACCATGGAGCGGCCCACTAACCTTGCTTTTGGGGCCCAGATTTTTCTGAATTAGAACTTTTTCCTCCTCATCAACCAGAATCCCATGGTAATCATGGTATGCCAGTTCTCCAAGGGACAGTGACTCCGGGGAGATTGGCAGGAGGCCACACTTCATCGCAGAGACCTAGAGACAAAGCGGTCAACAGGAGTGAGGGCCAGCCACATGAACTGGAGACACGGCAGGTACCTCCTCAAACATGTTGTAACAGGGACATGGTTAATCTCATTCTCATAAACAAACATGGCAACTGGAGATGAACTTTACTTCTGGGGCTTAGCATCAATCTCCATTGATAAAGGCCATGACTAAACTGGGGGTCTCAAAAGAAGTTTCACATCATGCAGTCAGCATGCTGTACCCAGGCAGGAGGCCCTGGGTCTGATCATGCACAGAACCCTGATGTCCCACAGGTGTGTGTGGCAGACAAAGAAAGGGCAGGAGGAGGAAACTAGGGAGCTAAGGAGGGAGGGAGGAAGGGAAAGAGGGGCGGATGGGAGGGAGGGGAATTTCACATCTTTCTGGATTTCTCACACTCATTAGAAACACCAGGTCAGCAAGAATTGAACAATAATGTAAGTCTGGAGCTAACACAAGGAGAGACAAAGACGTGTAAGTGCCATAAAAGTGCCATGTGTAACAAAAACACTACAAAGAGGTTTCTGTAGTGCTCTAAGTTTCTCTTAACTTTCTTAGGCGGCAAGTGAGAACAGAGCACCCAAGAAGGGTGGAGGAAAGTGCTCACTCTGGAGAAGCAAACTGTGCTGCTCGGAGGTTTGCCCAACCAAGGGGGCAGTCTGAGGGCTAGAAGGAACCAGGGACAGAATAAAGGACACTGGTGAAGGGCCGAACACGTCCACCTGGAACTCAGACATTGGACACTTTGGAATTCACAGTGATGCAATTTAAAATAATAAAATGAAAAGTGGGGCCAGAGCAATAGTACAGCGGGTAGGGCGTCAGCCTTGCATGTGCCTGGTTTGATTCTCGGCATTCCATATAGTCCCTGAGCACTGCCAGGAATAATTCCTGAGTGCAGAGCCAGGAGTAATCCCTGAGTATCACCAGGTGTGACAAAAAAAAAACAACAACATAGTCTTAATTTAAAAAAAAGGAATCTGAGGATATAGTGCTGCCAGCAGGTCAATCTATACCTTCGGGGAGATTGGTGCCTTCAGACTTCTTGATACCCCGAAATTGCCACTGTGCCTTTGGCCAGACCCCAACAACCTGGGGCCAAGTTTACCCAAAATTAAAAGGCCAACAGTTAGGTATGAGGGAGCCACACTCACAAACCACCTCCAGCTCAGCTATACAAGTTCACTTATTGGCCTTATTTCAGAGACCCAGAAATCTCAAAAGAGATCAAAAGCTGCAGTTAGGATCGCCCTACAGGGCATATGCTAATAGTTTATTTCCCTATAGTTTATTTCTCTGGAAAAGAATGGACACAAGGGGTATGATCCAGAGACACACAAAAGAATCTCCGAACTGAGCAGCGAACTGCAGAGACGCCTCCAGACTTCAAGCCAGGCCGACTTCACCAGGGGGCCTCAGACGGGGGTAGGTGTTGTCCCTCCACTTGACCCCTAAAAATTTGGGTGGCTGCCAACTGGCAGAACCCAACGAGAAGTGCAGGTATGCGGGTTCAGTGACCGCAAACTCCATTCCTCAAGGGATAAGGGGTGGGCTGGTCTTTCTCATTTCCCCCCACACACTCCCCATGGGACCCTGAAGGTGACACCCACAAACTGCCTTCAGCTGCAACTTAAGCTCCTTATCGGCCGTGATTCAGAGATACACAAAAGAAAACCAAGCAGCTCACTGCAGAGATTTCTCGTCCTCATCACCTAAATTTTAGATATCCAGGAGCATGCAGTTACTCTCAAGGCCGCATGACATCTTATGCTATTCATAACAAGCAATACAAAAGAGAGTATGGGAGAGATTATCTGCCATAGTGTCAGGGGGAAGGTTGGGATGGAGGGATCCTGGGGACATTGGTGGTAGAAGATGTGCACTGATAGAGGGCTGAGGGCTGGGTGATTGATCACTGTATGATTGAAACTCAAACAGGAAAGCTTTGTAACTATCTCAGGGTAATTTAAAAAATAATAATAAAATAAAATTAACATACTGAATAAAAAAAAAGAATAAAAAAAGAGTAATATGGAGTTCATGCCCAATTCAATCAGCTTTATCAATGGCTGAATAAGTAGCAGTACTCCTACGTTAAAAAAAAAAAAGAATCACCTGAGAATTTGATAAAAAGCAATTCTATGAAAGTTTAAGCTCTGAGCTAGAGCAATAACACAGCGGGCATGGGGCTGGAGAGATAGCACAGCGGGTAGGGCGTTTGCCTTGCACGCGGCCGACCCAGGTTCAAGTCCCAGCATCCCATATGGTCCCCTGAGCACCGCCAGGAGTAAATCCTGAGTGCAGAGCCAGGAGTAACCCCTGTGCATCGCCAGGTGTGACCCAAAAAGCAAAAATAAATAAATAAATAAAATAATAATAATAATACAGCGGGCAGAGCTACCTTGCACACAGCTGACCAGGTTCAATCCCCAGCACCCCATAAGGTCTCCCAACCCCCCCCCAGGAGGGATCCCTGAGCAGAGCCAGAAGTCAACTGAGAGAGAGAGAGAGAGGAGGAAGGAGGAAGGAAAGGAGAGAGAAGGGGGGGAGAGAGAGAGAGAGAGAGAGAGAGAGAGAGAGAGAGAGAGAGAGAGAGAGAGAATCACTATACTATACAACTTCTCTAAGTTTTAAAGTCTGTATTCTTAAATTTCCTTAAACTGACCAGAACTTGCTGACTTTAAAGGTCTCCTACCTAGACCAACAGATTCCAAAGATTAAACAGCATGGGTACAACAATTCCACACAGAAAGGCCATCTAGGGCAAGAACAGCAGGGTAGGTGCTTGCTGTGTAAGCGACCCAGGGTCAGTCCCCAAACCTCTCCAGGTGTGGTCCTTGATCAAACGGGTGTGTCACACACACACACACACACACACACACACACACACACACACACACACACACAGAGAGAAAGGCAATCTGAAATGGTAAGAAGACAGACACATAAATATCACAATTTCTTTCAGTTTCCCATTAAAAGAAATACTTTTATTAAGCAAAGAAGTTGTTTAGATAGGGGGTCAGAGAGACAGTATAGCAGGGCACCTGTCTTGCCACATGCCAACCTGGGTTTGATCCCCGGAACCCGAGCATCACCAGGCATAATCCCTGAGTGCAGAGCCAGGAATAAGCCCTCTGTACCACTTGGTGTGCCCCCCCACCCCAAAAAGTCTTGACAATTTTTTAAATGAGTGGCTACTGCTCTTGGCAGCTATGCTCCCAGTCTGTCACTAATGGTTACTGAAAAGCAGGGGTTGTTATGTGCATGATCTTGAGAGCATGAATCCTTCTGGGAAATAAGCCCATCACTCAGGAAACAATGTCTCTGTAATACTCTGATGCTGATGTCAAGGGCTATGTCTTCTGGGGCCAAGACAGTACAGGAGTTGAGGCGCTTGTCCAAACTTGTCCACACATATCTACTCTGGTTCAGTCTCCAAAGCCCCAGAGGGTCTCCTAAACAACGCCAGGAAAGGAGGGGTCCCTGAGCACAGAGTTGGGACCACGCTCTGAGCACTGCTGGGAACAGTCTAAAGATGGGAATGACCCAAAGACAAAAGGTAAAACCAAGCCACATGCCAATCGCTTTCAGAGAATACGTGAAGATCGTGAAGGTCAAACCACCCAAGTCAACATCCATTCACACAATACAAACATGCATGACAGTAAAACATCAAGACAGACGCAACTCCAGTGTGACTGAATCCATGAGGTCATCTGGGAAACAAAGACACAGCCCGCCAAATCATGAACGTCTGAAACTGGGGACAAAAGGCTGATCTGGAAGTCCGAGTGTCCCAGCGCCACAGCCTCTTCTCACGAGTGCCCTACTGTTCCCTCCCCAGCCCCTGGCCTCCGCCCCCTACTTGTCTCTGGCAGTCTGCGTTGCCCAAAGACACTCACAGCTGCCACCTAACACCCTCCACACCGTGACTTTCTCCTTGACGGACATTTCAGACCAGGCTGTTATGTGCGTGAACTTGAAAGCATGAATCCTTCTGGGATATAAGCCCATCCCTCAAGAAAAAATGTCTCTGTAACACTCTGAGGCTGATGTCAAGGGTTTGAAAGCAAACCACAGCTTTTCCCATACACCCTGAAAGCGATTCTTTCCCATGGTTTTGTATTGTTATCGGGACACACCCGGAACGCACAGCCGGCGCTGAGCCCGAGCACCAGTCCTCTCCCCAGTCCTCAGGGGATAAGTCTCCTCTCAGAGACTTGTGAGTAGTTTTACATTTCTCGTTCAGCCTGGAAAACTCAAGTTTTCTGACTGGGCTAATGTGGAGCAGAGGTGAGGCGCCCTTCCCGTACTCACCGCAGCCCCTGCGGGTGTGTGAATGTGCACCACACACTTGGCGTCAGGCCGCGCAGCGTAGATGGCGGAGTGCAGCGTGAAGCCGGCCTGGTTGACCCCAAGGTTGGTGCTGCCACGATCCACCACATCTCCTTGTAGGTTGATTTTCACCTGAAAATAAAACGTTAGGTGTCAACAAGATTCCACAATGCCCAAATCAGAAGCTATTCCTCCCACAGCTGAAGATGTTTCTAATTGATTTTGAAGGTCTTCCTTGGTCCTGAGTCATTCACACCGAGACTCTGTCCTCTCTCCGGGGCTGCGAGGAGGACTCTCACCAGGCTGGAGGCCGTCACTTCACTGTAGAGCAGCCCGAAAGGCACAATGAGGAAGTGTTCCTGCTCGGTGCTCACTCTGGCCTGTGGGAGAAATGACGAAGTCAGCTGCGGTTCCAAAGAAAGTTTTGTGGGTGATTTTTTGCTTTTTGGGTCACACCCAGGAATGCTCAGGGGTTATTACTCCTGGCGGCGCTTGGAGGATCATATGGGATGCCGGGGATCCAACCCAGGTCGGCTGCGTGTAAGGCAAAGGCCCTACCCGCTGTACTATCACTCCAGCCTACAGGGAAAGTTTTATATTTCTTCAATCCACCAACTCTCCTGCCTTTTTCTGGGTTTGTTTTTGGTTTGTTTGTTCTCTGGGCTACACCTTCTTCTCTGTATTCTCTCTCCAGCCCCAAACAGTCCAGGCTTGTCTCCAGTCCCTGTTCTCCCTCCAACACATCTATCTCGTTGGCTTGTCTGCATCTTTGCTTGCTTATTTCCACTCTGGAGAAGCATGTGTTCTCTTTCAAACACACACTTCTCTTTCTCTCCCCTCACATCTTTCCAAGTGAATTTCATTAAAGACTATCTTGATTCACACGAAAGTCCAGGATCTGCAGCCAGAGTGACAGGACAGCAGTTATGGCTTTTGCCTTGCAATGTGGCTGATCCAGGTTCAATCCCTGGCACCACATATGGCCTCAGAGCCCAGGCAGGAGTGATCTCTGACACTGGTGTGATGGGGCTGAGATCTGATTTCGGGAAAACTATACACACAGAATCTGATCATGGCTGATTATAAAAGTTGGGTGCTATGAATAACTTTGTAAACTACAATACCTCAATTCTTAAAGTCCAGGCTCCTAGAAAGCCCAGCAGGCTAGAGTGCGCACAGGCTACGGGGATGTGGGTCCAGGTTTTTTCTTGCCACAACGTTATTTACCTCCAAGCTGGGAGTAACTCTTGTGCACCACCATGTGTTATCCCTCAACACTCCCAAAATTTCATTTTGATGTAGAAAAGCAGACTGATTTTTGGGATCTGCCTCTCTACACTTGTAGGTTTGTGAGCCATGGGGCAGCAGAATCCCCCAGCAGGAATTTCTCACCTACCAGAGGCCCGGTGTAGATCTGGCTTTCCTTATAGTGACCAGGGACGGGGGCCAGAAGCACTTGAGAGCCCTGGTAAATTACTACAGCACAATGATGAGAACTGTCAGTGTCTGAGCTTTACAACAAGCTCTGTGTGTATACGCTCGCCTTGCATGCAATCGATCCAGATTTAATCCCAAGCATCCCATGTGGTCTCCTAAGCCTGCCAGGAGTGATCTCTAAGCTCAGAGCAAGGAGTAAGTCCTGAGCATAGCTGAGAGTGCCCCAAAACCAAATTTTTTTAAAAACCAAAAACTGTAGGATGATCAAATGATGGCCAATGGCATAAATCACAGCATAATTCCTTACTGTCGAACAATTTCAGAACATCTTTCCAGCAATATCATCACACAAACACGAGCTTATCACCACCATCACCACTATAGGAACCATCACCTATCAGCGCCAGCAGCACCAACACCATCGTAATCACCATCGCCACTGTCATCATTACCACCACCATCATTGTCCTTCTGTTATCTGCTCCTTTCACACATGTTCTCTCTACCATGGAGCCCCAGGAGCAGTTTCTGAGTACAGACCCAGGAGTAACCTCCCAAGCACCATCAGGTGTGGACCCCCGCAAAAAAAAAAAAAAAAAAAAAAAAAAAGAAGAAGAAGAAGAAAAGAAACCCAGACATTGCAGCTGCTTCTAAAGGACACCTGTGCAGTGGCCCTCACCCTGCCGTCATCCTGTCCTGCCCGAGAGCCTGCTCAATCCCGGATGTCGGGCCTGATGGTGAGGCAGGAGGAAGGAGAGTGACCTGAGGAGTAAGTCCTCTGGAGGCAGAGATGTGGCTTAGGTAGCACGTGCTGACACAGTGAGATCAAGGGCTCCACCACCAGCATCTGTGGAGTCCCAGTCCCAAGCCTCCAATTCAGGCCCCCCCCCCCCAAGACTGTCTTCCTGAGCTTTACTTCTGCTTCCAGAATGCATTACAGACCAACTCAAGTCTCTCTCCCACCAGTCTCAGGAACTAAACATGCCGAGTCGTCTGTTTTCCTCACCCTACACTCACCCGATGGCCATGCTGCTCTAGGGAGCAGAGCTCCAGGTTCCTCTCCAGCAACTGGGGGGATCAGGGTCGTATGTGAGGAAAGCTCTCAGGAAAAGCTTCTCCCCACTGTCAATCATGGCAAGAGGAGGAATGAAACTGTTGTCTACACATCAGCCCTCTGACATTCGTCTTGAGACATCTGGCCCCCAACTCTCACGCTCAGTAGCTTAGAAATGTACACACAGGACCGGAGAGATGGTACAGGAGTTCAGTGTGTGCCTAGCATGCAGCAGAACCCAGCTGAGGTACACAGCACCTCAGTACCACCAGGCAGATCCCCGCGGGCTGTGGGTGACCCAGTAGTCCCTGGCGCTGCAGGGGATGAGCAGCTGACCGGGCTTGTAATCCTTCAGAAAAGGAGTCTACGCAGTATACAGAATCAAGTATACAGAATCGTCCCGATCTGACTGTGCAGCACCAATTACTCCCTCTGTCTACACCCTGACTCCCCTGTCCCACCAGCCACCTGTCTCCCTTTGCCCAGGCACACCATTTTAATGACCATAACTTCATACTAAGTTTGACAATGGGGATGAAAGAGTCTACAGACCTAGTTATTCAAGAAGGACCACACGGTGACAGGGCTCAAACCCAGGTGGGCTCTGTGCAAGGCAGAAGTCTTAACCCCTGTACTGTCTCTTGGAGCTCTCCTGAGTATCTCTGACATGACTGCAGAGCAGGGGTAGGACTCATCCAGTAAATCACGTGACGTCTCTGCTTGTTACTGTAAGGCCGGAAATGGTATTAGATATATCCAAATGGCTCTTGCTAGAACAAAGGCTCCCCACGCTGTTGAGCAGAAGTGCTCTTTATGTTTTCTTCTCCAATCGTTGGCTTCTCCATATTCAACAATGCTCAGAGCTTACTGCTGCCTCTGCACTCAGGTAAGGGGACCCCAGGTGTGCTGAGGATTGAACCCAGGCCAGCTGTGTGCACGACAAGTACCCTGACCAGTGCACTATCTCCAGCCCGAGGAGATTAGCCCTGGACTATCTCTCCAGCCCGAGATTCACATCACTGTCACTGATCACTGTCTTCCTGTTGTTCATCGATTGGCTTGAGCAGGTCCCAGTAATGTCTCCTTCGTCCTAGCCCTGAGATTTTAAAAAGTGCCACATTCAAGGCTCTTTCAGGGTCAGGAGAATGAGACCCACAATTGTTACTGGTTTTTGGCATATTGAATATGCCACACGGAATTTGCCAGACTCTGCCGTGTGGGCAGGATACTTTTGGTAGCCTACCAGGTTCTCCAGAGTAAGAACTAGATGATAAGATGTGCGGGAGCAGGGGTTTATAGTCTCTGGATCTTGGCCATTGATGGGCTTACATGGCGTCAGGGGCAGTTGATGGGTGTAACGCCTATTTGATCCACATATTTGAATGGAAAAAGCGTCAACTAAGGAAAGTCCTGAGTCTTCCAGATGAGAAGTATTATAGATGTGTACGGAATGGAGAGAGAGGACAGTCCAGAGCCTCCTGACATGCGCAGTTCCCACAGAACAAAGCTGGAAGGGCACAGGGGTCCAAACTGGGCTGGCCGCCAATCCCTTTCACAAAAAGTCACTCAGTGCCCCCAGGAAATCTCCCTTTGCCAAGCAAATAAACAGTGTCCCACAGTTTCACCTGAGACAGTGATGATGTCCCAAAGTTCTAGCAGGGCAGATGGCTGGAGAGGTGGCGACAGTCTCAGCCACCATAGGCAACACTGGGTATGGCAGTGGACCAATGCCACCGCTACTTACTGGAAAGCAAATGTGTCCGACTGCACTCTTGCGCAGATCCACGCTGTACCCAGGAGCCTAGGCACAGAGGCCGACTCCAAAATGGTAAGGCAGGCAAGGGTGGGCACTAGGGGGCTAATTCACATGCTACCATCTTCCATCCTCCTGCCCAAAAGGTCTCCAGTCAAAACAGGCCACGCGGGGCTAGAGAGTCAGCAGGTGGGGCGTTTGCTTTGCATGCAGCCAACTGGGGTTCAATTCCTGGTATCCTTTATGGTCCTCTGAGCACTGCCAATGAGTGATTCCTGAGCACAGAGCCAGCAGTAACCCCTGAGCATCGCGGGGCATGCACACACGCAGGCAGGCCCGCACGGTGATGGGACGGCTGGCGTAGGAGACTGCACGAATGAAAGGGAGCCCGGGCCAGCAGTGCTCTTTCCCAGCACCCTCATCTAAGCCCAGACAGATGAGAGGACAGCAGGGAAGTTGCACACGACCATAGCCAGAGAGCCCAGGGCACAAATGGACAGCAAGCCATGGGGTACAGTCCTCGAGGGGCAGGTCCCAGAGCAGTGAGGTCAGAAAGATGACTCAGGTGACAGGGTTCCCACTGGAGCCTGCACATTAGGAAAGCGTGTGCTGGACGAGAACAGCTCAGGGACACGAGCGGCCATCAGCAGACGATGACGATGAGAGGTGGGGTGTCCTGCTCTGCACCAGAAATCGAGGGACAGGGCAAAAGAGAGATCTGGACACTGGGGAGGGATCCAGCCCCACCAACTAAAACTACACAATAATCTTTTTTCCCCCCTTTTTTGGGTCACACCCAGCAATGCACAGGCGTTACTCCTGGCTCTGTACTCAGGATTACTCCTGGCAGTGCTTGGGGGACCATTTGGGATGCTGGGAATTAAACCTGGGTCAGTCGCATGCAAGGCAAACACCCTACCCCTACACAATAATCTTTAACTTCTATTTTTTGTTTCTGTTTGGGGGCCATGCCTAGGAATGCTCAGGGTTACTTCTGGCTCTGCACCCAGGAATCACTCCTTGGGGTTCAGGGAAAACATACAGTATGCCGGGGATTGTACACAGGCCGGCCGGGTGCCAGGTACGCTCCTTATCCGCTGTCCTATTGCTTCAATTCCTTTCTAACTTCTTAAGCACCTGAGTCCGTGCGCACATCTTTCATACAATTCTCAAGACCCCACGAGCCCAGGAAGAAACCCACTTTTCACTGCCTGAGTGTTTAGCACCCTGGTACTCAAGTGACAACGAGGCACACTAGGGTTGGAAAGGTCTAACTGTCAGGTAAGGGCCACCAAGAAAGGAAGCAACAGATTCTAAGCGGGCCACGGGGCCAACTTGTCTCATATGTCCCCCAAATTCATCAAAAGCCACTGCAGTCTAAGAGAGAAGATTAACTCCAATAATCCTCTCTAATTATGTGATGTCTCCTAGTGTCAACTCGGGATCGAGTCCCTGGTACCACCTATGGTCTCCTGAGCACTATGGAGAAGAGGCCTGAGCAGAGCCAGGAATCTGAACGCTCCTGTAGAAGTCAGCACACAGAGTGCACTGTGAAAGAGCTACTGTTTCTATCGTGGTTAGGTCAAACTGGCTGACCCTCAGATGACCACACGCTGACATCAGGAATCTGGAGGGAAAGGCTCCAAAGCTGACCTCAGCTCAGCCCGCTGGGGTGGACACGCACCAGCCACACCAGGACAGTCACTGCTCCTTCGACACTCACTGTGATATGGTTATAGATGAGCTGAGACCACCCGAAGAGGTCCGCCAGTCTGTAAAAGGCCGCCAGCTTGCAGCGCAGCAATTTCTCCCCTTTGTCATAGGCAATCGAATCCGACCCCCTGAGGTCATTCACAGGAGTCACCATGCCAAGACCTATGGGGAGGAAAAGCAAGTAAAAGACTAACCATTCCTAGTCGAGCGCACACTGATCGACAGCTGTTACCGGCAGGTGGGAGCGGGCACTCTCGGGGCAGAAGCTCTGTGTCCAAATGTGAGCATTGTGTCCCACCCCTAGCCCCACATACTGAGCCTCCAAAGTTCCAGAAACTTTCAAGTTTTGCACTGAAAGCTTCTATTTTGCCAAGACTAACACAACTGTATTAGAAATTATTAGGAAGAAGGTGGGGAAAATGTGTAAGATACAGTATTATTAAACTGAAAAAAGAAAAAACCTTATTGGAATTACATTTTGTTTGATCTTGCTACATGAGGCAAATTCTTCAACATGCCCAACCCCCAAAAGAAAAGTTATTTTCTTTTCTGGTCCTTGTATTTGGTTATCGCCGGCAGTGCTCAGGGCTCAGCAGGGGACCCGTGGCACGAGGCAGGGAAACTGGGACTCCTGTGAGCAGAGCTCCAGTCCAAGCTCGCTCTGACCCAAGTAGAGGATTTCTTGAACCATCGTTTTTTTGTGTGTGAAAAGGGTTTATAACAATTGTCTACATTAAAAAACTAGAAACAGAAGAATCAATTTTAATTTTAAAAAGAGGGCAGAGTCAGGGGGATAAAATGGCTAGAGGTGACAAGAGACAGTGGTAGAGCTTCCCAGGTATGTGGGGGGGGGGGGGGTGCAGTAACTCTGTACATAAATGTTAACACTACTATAACCATGTTAAACAGACTTTAATAAAGATCATTTAAAAAGATAAAAGGGAACAATAAACATAAAAGCAGGTATCAAGTAGAAAGAGCTAGTTTTAAAATAAAGATAAAAATCAAATTAAATAAAAAAGTCGGCTCTTGGAGGCCAGAGAGATAGTGCAGGGATTAACACACTTGCCTTTCAGGACTGGAGTGATAGTACAGCAGTTAGGATATTTGCCTTGCATGTGGCTGACTCCCCGGGTTCAATCCCAGGCATCCCATAAGCTCCCCAGAACACTCACTGCCAGAAGTATTTCCCGAGTGCAGAGCCAGGAGTCAGCCCTGAGTTTGCTGGCTATGACCCAAAAAAAAAAAAAAAACTTGCCTTGCAGGTGCCAAAACCAAGGTTCAGTCCCTGTATCCTATATGGTCCGTGTTCCCCCGCTCCCCAGTCCCACCAGGACCACCAGGATCCCTGAGCACAGAGCCAGGAGGCAGCCCCGGGAACTGCCAGGTGTGGCCCAAAATCAAAAAAGACTGATTATTTGAGTAGATTAAAATAGAAAACAGTGAAGTGAAAAATTGAATTTAAAAGAAAGCACATATAATTTCTAGTAAGACTCACTAACAACCAAGTAACCAGAAGAAGACAAATGATGACTCCAAAGCAGCAGGGACATCCCTACTATCTGACAAACTGGGACCTTTCCGGAGTGTTCTCTTGAACACGTGTCTCCTCTCCCCTTACACTTCTCTATTTCTTTCAATAAAAGCAATTTGCTTCACTTAAATAAAGGCAGGGCTTGAGCTCACCTGGAAGAACTAACAGAGGGTGTGTCCCCAGAACGAAACAAAACCAAAGAGGAAGGCTTCGCTTCACCTTCCTCCACTGGCAGGCTTTCTTTTCCTCCCTCCACACCAGGTGTTACAAAGCTGTGCGCCCATCACAGTGAACGTGCTAAACGCCGTCTGGAGGGGCATGGGGCAGGAAGTGCCAGCAATACACACACATATCTTTTGGTAATGTGTATTTTATTTTAAGCACTGCGGTTTACAGTCCTGTTAATGGCAGGGTTTCCTGCATAAACCATTCCAGCACCTGTCCCCTCTTCTATTCCCTCCCCATTCTGACCCTCGGATGGCATTCTACTGAGGTCCATTCTCCGTTCCTGCTGCCTGTGGGTGTATTTCTCCCCTACTTCAGTTCTTTAGGTCCTGCACATGAGAGCCACCATCCTGTCTGCCGCTCTCCCTCCGGCTGGCACAGTCCTCTCCAGGCCCATCCGTGGAGCAGTGGCAGCCGAGCCCAGAGCTCCCATCCCTGGTACTCACTCATGTTCAGGGCAGCCATCCCTCCCTGTGGGGCTGCTGGGTAGACGTTGGGGACATTTGCCGTCATGAAATCTGCAATCTGCTGTAACGCCAGCAGGCCTGTGGGGTTCTTCCCCTTCTTAAACTGCTCTTGTATCATTGACTCCAGTTCTTCACAGAAAGCCTAAAATGTAGCAAATGAAACATAAGACACCAGTTCTTCTCTGTCCCTGGAAAGGGCAGGGTAACCATCACCAGGACTGATTTTATATTGTCTTTACCCAGTGCCAGGAAGACAAGTAGACCTTCTCACCTGGCAGAGTCTTCCAGAAAAGTAGCTGTACAATGTAAAGGTTGGAATTTTTTTGTTTGTTTTGGGTTTGGAATTTTTTGTTTGTCTGGTTTTTGGGGCCACATCTTGAAATGCTCTGTGGTTACTCCTGGTTCTGCACTCAGGAATCACTTCTGGCCATGCTCAGGGGATCATACAGAATTCTGGGAATCAAACCTGGGTTGACCGCAGGCAAGGAAAGCCCCTTACCCACTATACTCTCTGGCCCCCACACAAGAATCTTGAAGATGCATTCTTTTCCTAAAAACCAATTCTAAAGCAATAATTAGAGATATGCTCACAGCTGTCTCTTCACAAAACTGTGCATTCCTCAATTCCCAGTGAAGGTGGACAGGCACATCCTCCTGTCCACCTGTCCTCCTGTCCATCCTCTTCAAAGCAGAAGGCCGACTAAATGCAGAGTGCACTTGAGATGGACTCTGAGCACACAGTCAACGCAAAAGGTCCAAAGAATTAGATGCGTAACTGGTCCTGATATGCTTATTTTAAGTGAACAAGATTAGAATGCAACACATCCATTTTTATAAGAGTAAATATCCATAGAGTAAAAGTAAACAAAAATGTCCACTGCAATTCTCTGAGTGACTGTTAGGATATTTTTCAAGTTCTGCATTTTGTGCTTCACAGTATTTCCTTTCATATACATTTTTAAAATGTGTATTATACAGAGATTGGAACAACAGTACAGCTGGGAGGGCTCTTGCCAGGCATGCAGCCACCCAGTACCATTTCCACATATGGTCCCCAAACTCATCAGGAGTAATTCCTGAGCGCAGAGCCAGGATAAGCCCTGAGTACCACTGGGTGTGGTCCAAAAACAACAGGCAGAAAGGTTAATAAGTTGAGTTGATGGTGATTTTAACATTAAACTCACTACAGAAAACTACAGTGGTAGGAGCAAAAATACAGAGGTCAGGTCATTTCCACAAACTGTTTTAGAACAATTTTTTCACAGACTAGGGATGTTATTCAGTAGTAAAGCTGTCCTGTGTAAGTGAGGCTCCCGGGTTCAATTCCTAGGACCAAACACAGACAAATAATAGAAATTTTCTCACCCATCCTATAAGGAAAGATCTCTTCGTCAAATAATTATGAAAGACAATGATTATACATCTCTGATTATAAGCACTCCAAAATTTGTAGAGGGTTCAATACTGACTGCAGCTTTTCACTGCTTGCACTGGAATTATATTAAGCACAGTCCACCTTCACTTGAGTAGAGCAAGGAACAAACCAACACGCTACTGGAATGCAGCCAGGTGCAGAGTCTCTCGGAGACCCTCTCTCCCCCAGCACGATGAACTGTTGCAGATATAGTCTGCGGTGGTCAAGGGGAACCGGGAATTGAGCAGTGCTTTGTAAGGGAGCGACAAATCAGCAAAAGTGGTTTTCATCCATCTGTTATCAAATGTGGATACACGGAAAGGGAGCATGCACAGCCAGAAGGAACACAGTCAGAGATACAGAACCTGGATCATGGGCAGGAATGGCTCAACAGGCTGGTCCTTTAAGCAATGCCTCAAGCAGCCCTCAAGCATGGAGAGAGGAGTGTCGCCTGAGCACTGCCAGGGTGGCCCTGAAACAAAGCAGGTTCTTTCCGAACAACAGGAGATACAACACGGACTCCAGCCATGGCCCAGCCGGCTGGAGACAAGGCTCAAGCGCTGAGCAAATGCCCCACATGCCATGTCCCCAGTTCTACCCCAAACACCCAAAAAGTAAAAGAAAGGAGCTCCTTGCGCCTGTGGGTTCACAGTCTGAACATTCCAGCCACCTACTACAAATCCACACACTTTACAACATGTCCCTCAACACAGCTTACATACCAAGCAGGTGTGAGCAGAACAAGAAGAGACAGGCCTCCCACAGAGGGAGAGGAAGCTTAGCTTAAAAAAGAACCAAAAGTTGGGGCCAGAGAAAAAGTATAGTGAAGGGGGAGCTTGTCATGCACACAGCCAACAAGGTTCAACTCCCTGCACCCCATATAGTCCTCCGAGCACCGCCAGAGGAGATCCCTAAATACAGAGCCAGCAATAAGCCCCGACACTTCTGGTGTGGCCCCAAAACAAAAATCAACAGAAAGTGGTAAGAGCACAGTGGATAAGGTGCTCGTCTTACACGTAGCTAACCCAGGTTCCATCCCAGAACCACATGTGATCCCTGAGCATGACCAGGAGTGACCCCCAAGCATCACCTGGTACCCACCCCCCACCACCCCCGGCCACAGCGGTGAGCATGCAAGCAGCAGCACAACAGCAAGGGGCCGTGAGTCAAGCACAGGTGCTCTGCAGCAGCCATGTAGCCGGGCCTCGGGCCACCAACCTGTATCCCATTGGTCTCTGCCCAGCAGGCACCAGCCAAAGCCGAGAACGTGTCCTTGGGCTGACCGCCTAACAGCTCCAAAGGTCACTGCCCGCTCCTGTTTCAGGGGCAGGCCCAGTAGCCCACACACCCTTTCCGGGCCTTCCCAGCCTCCTGCCGAGATCCTGGGTCCAACCACATTCCCTTGTTTAGCTGCCGGCACTCCACCACTTCATCCAGCCAAACCCCAGCCCTGGTTCATGCAAGACTTCACCCTCCACCCAGGCCACCAACCACTGCGCAGGAAGCAGAGAGGACTTACCCTGACCATCAGGGTCGGGGACCTGCTCGCTCTGCCTCCATGAGCCTGCACCCTGCAGCCCGTCCCCCCACCCCCCAGGCCTGTTCATGGAGAGCAGACAAGTAGTCTGATAGCATTTCTGAGAACTTTCCCACCCCCATTCTCAGTGCTCACTGGGCTCTGCGCTCCTTCCTCAGGCGGACCAGCCATGCCGGAAGGAGAAACCTGGCAAGGTGGCAGAGCGCCTGGCCTCCCATACCCTCCCCCCCCTCTCTCCAGCCTGCTCCATGGGACTGGCACACACCCAGGGCCACGGGGCATCCACGTGGTCTCTTGTACTCTCCCCGCGCTCATGTTTCCAGCTCAGCCTGGATGGAACACTGGCTCTGTTACTCCCTCGCCTCTGCCGCTTCACCCACCAGCTCCTAGTATATTCAGAAGAAACTCACAGGAATGCCCATCTCTCCAGCCAGTCAAGTCACGTCCTCTGAGGGCATCACTTGCCCTCCTGCCATCCACAATACTCTCTACCAATTGAGCCTGCCAAATGTGCCCAGCTCGCGGCCCCTTGAGGCCTCCTACTGAGGCAGAGCCCTGCACCACCTCCCTCCACCATCCCCGGATGAGCCACCACTCACGGCCCAGCGCAGAAATGGCACATGAGCAACTCCCTCCAACAGGGACGCCTCCCCTTCAGCTTTCTGCTGGTTCCTTCCTGCCTCTCAGAATTCAGATCATGACTAACTTCCACGGAAAGGCTGCTCTAGCCTCGTTCAGTCTGATCATCCGATGCTGCTTCCTGCTCTGTGCTTCAGTTTCAAGTCAGTCGGATGCTGGCCTGGGCGCCGCACTCCTGTCGAAACGCATCAAGCTAGAACTCCGGATATGTGCCATTTTCTCTGAGCTATCCTCAATAACAGGAGGCAGTGACCAAACAAAACCTACAAGCCAGAGGCCTCATCCATCTCGCTCACTGTGAATTCCAGCTCTCAGACGAGAACACAGAGATAAGTCATGTCTTTGTAACATACAGGGTACGTCAGTGCCCATCTGCCAATCAGGAATGCAGCACACAAGGGAGCGGCATCCACATGAGGCAGTCACCTGCTGGACAGCAGCCCTTGCCCTAGAGGGGCAGGACAGTGACCACAGGGAAATCTATTCCTGATCAGGTACCCTACACCAGGAGATTGAACAGGACTGTTTCAGAGAGAGGCACTGAAACCAGCAATGCCTCAAAGGTTCAATACACAAAACCCTTCCAGAGAAGGAGCGAGAGGTAACAAGAGAACCAGCACTTCCAACCCATGCTCATACCAAAGACTTTCCACTTACTAGAGCTGAGAACCTAAATGAAATGAAATGCTCTTAGTATTTTTAGTATTTTTCTTAGTATTTTTAGGAAACCCAAGCTTTTTTTGGTTTTTGGGTCACTAAAGAGCTCCTCCCAGCAGTGCCAAGAATCAAACCCAGGGCCTCGCACATACCAGAGTTCTCTCTCTCAGAGCCCCATCCCGACCCTGACCCAGATTCTTCCCACAGCCGCTTGGGGCAGTGCAACTTCCACGTTAAGAAACTGTCTCGGTGCCCAACTCAAGCAGCCTAATCAGTGGCTGAATAGCAGTACTCCTACAATAAAAAAAAAAAAAGAAAAGAAAAAAGAAACTATCCAGAAACAGGGCTGGAGCGATAGCACAGCGGGTAGGGCGTTCGCCTTACAAGCGGCCAACATGGCCGACCCGAGTTCGATTCCTCCGCCCCTCTCGGAGAGCCCGGCAAGCTACCGAGAGTATTTGATATGCCAGACACAGTAACAACAAAGTCTCCAATGGAGACGTTACTGGGCCCGCTCGAGCAAATCGACGATCAACGGGAGGGCCTTTTATCCAGAAACAGCTGCTCGGAAGCACAGCGGGAGCTGTGTGGAGGAAGCCACTTACAGGACTCTGCAGGATCATGGACACCCTCTTCTTCTGCTCCATCATATTGAAGTCCTGGCGGAGGTCTGGCGCCATGTTCCGCTCTCGCAGATATTCTGGGTTGTTCTCATCCACCCTGTCAAAGTACCTCTCTTTGTGAGGGGCTGTGGTCGGGGGTGGTGAGGTCACCACTGCAGCCCGAGTATCACCATTCATGGCACAATCTTTCCGGATTCCTGCAAAATAGAAATAAAAGACTTTCTGAATCAGTGTAGAGGAAGGACTGGGCTCAGCTAGCCACGCGGAGCCACGACATGAGAGGGTCCTTTGTGGCCCGAGATACAGGCTCTCAGCCCTTTTCCACCTTCCCACGCATGGACGCACACATGCCGAGCTCTCGCCCAGACAGCAGAATGACCTGCCTGCTTGTACAAAGTGAACGAGTTATCGATAGTCTACCCGCAAAATGCAAAGTCAAGATTGTCCTACACTGACAGCCAGCAGCAGTGCTTCCTGCTGAATGTAATTAGGTGTATTTTTACCAAAAAGCACAGGGAATGATGGCCTGCACAGTGTCCAGAACGTGTCACCAGGCGAGAGGTGTTTGGACGTTGGGAAAGAGTTCATCAACATAGGGCCGGAGCGACAGCACAGTGGGAGGGCTTTTGCCTTGCATGCAGTCAACTGGGTTCAATCCCTGGCTTCCCACAGGGTCCCTGGAGCCTGGCTAGGGGTGGTTCCTGAGTGCAGAGCCAGTGCAGTCCACATGGCTCACATCCCTGACCATAGTCTGGTGTGGCCCAAAAAGCCAAAACCCAACATGACCTTCTTGGTTCAACGAATGGTGCTGAAAATGGGAACTCAGACCTCTTTCTAACGCCACTAGAGAAGTCAAGTCAAAATGGACTAAGATCTTGATATCAGACCTGAATCCATAGGTACAGAGGGGAAAACGTAAGCAGAACCCTCCATGAAACTGAAGCTAAAGGCATTTTCAAGGATGAAGCACCACTGACCAAGAGGAAGCAAAGACAAGATGACATGGAGCTAAGAGGCTTCCGCACCTCAAAGTAAATGATGCCCAGGATATACAGACAACACACACAATGGGATAAATTATTTACCCAACATGCATCTGATAAGAGTTAATATCTAAGGCACTGATAGAACTTGACAAGAAAAAAAAACACCCAACCACATAAAAAAATGGGAAGAAGAAATCAACCAAAACTTTCCCAAAGAAGAAATACAAATGGTCAAAAGGCACATAAAAAAAATGCATTATCAGGGAGATGCAAATCAAAACAATAATGAGATGAATGATTTAATTTTTGTCTCAATTATTCCCGCCGGGGCCCCTTGGAGGGGAGTGGGTTGAGTTTTCCTCCCCGCCCCGACCAGGGCTCTAGCAGCCGAAGACCTCCAGGATCAGCCACCACCATGCTGAGACCACTCCCCGCACACATGAAGGTACTGGCAGAGGGACAAAGCCACGCAGGTTCCGGGGCCGAGATCTCCAAGCCTACTCGGATTAGGGCCGAGCATCCTCCACCCAGATCCTCCAAATTCCAGTAGGCGGGGGCCACACCCACCAACTGGCCCCCTGGCGTCGTGTAATCTCATCAATGGCCAAGACTCAGAGACTATGAAAACCAGCTCCTGGAACCGTGCGGCCATGCGACATCTTATCTCATTCCTACTTTGGACAAACTGGCAGGCTACCGAATGTAGCCTGCCCACACGGCAGAGTCTGGCAAACTCCCTGTGGCGTAACCAATATGCCAAATACCAGTAACAATGATGGGTCTCATTCTCCTAAAGAGCCTGAATATAATCTCAGGGCTAGGATGAAGGAGACGTTACTGGGGCCTGCTCGAGGCAATCGACGAATAACAGGATGGTCGTGATTCGTGAATGAGATATCATCTCACACCATAGAGACTGGCACACATTCAAAAGAACAAGAACAAGCAGTGCTGGTGCGGGTGCAGGGAGAAAGGGACTCTTATTCACTGCTGGAATGCTGACTAGTCCAGGCCTTTCAGAAAACAATATGAACATTCCTCAGAAACTAGAAATTGGGGCTGGAGCGATAGCACAGTGGGTAGGGTAATTTGCCTTGCATGCAGCCAACCCAGGTTCAATTCCCAGCATTTAATAGGGTCCCACGAGCACCGCCAGGGGTAATTCCTGAGTGCATGAGCCAGGAGTAACCCCTGTGCATCACCAGGTGTGACCCAAAAAGAAAAAAAAAAAAACCACCTAGAAATTTGAGCTTCCATATGACCCAGCAATAGCACTCCTAGGAATATACCCTGGGGGCCCAAAAACACACTGCAGAAAAGCCATCTGTACTTCCATGTCCACTGCAGCGCTATCCACAACAGCCAGAATTTGGAGACAACCCAAGTGCCTGAGAACAGATAAGAGGATAAAGATCATGGTCACAGTCCTCCTGTTCAGAGCGGGGCCCAGTAACGTCTCCATCATGAGACTTGTTGTTACTGTGTTTTGGCATATTGAATACGTCACAGGCAGCTTGCCAGGTTTTGCCGCACGGGCGAGATACTCTTGGTAGCTTGCCAGGCTCTTCAAGAGGGGCAGAGGAATAGAACCTGGCTCAGCCGAGCCGGCTGCACGCAAGGCAAATGCCCTAATGCTGCGCTACTGCTCCTGCTCTAAGTGGATAAAGAAACTATGGTATATCATCTACACAGTGGAATACTACGCAGCCATCAGGAAAAAATAATAGATGGACACGGAGAATATCATGCTGAGTGAGTCAGAGGGAGAGGCACTGATGAAGAATGATGACATCATTTGTGGAATTAAAAAATAAAAAACATAGAATGAGACTAATACCCAAAGACAAGAGAAACATGGGCCAGGAGGGCTTGTGGACCCACGGTAAGAAGCTTACCACATGTGGGACTGGGGGGTGTTTGCAGAGCAGACACACACCCTTACTTCTTAGCCACCCCCATGGGTCCACACACCCTTACTCTTTAGCCACCCCCACGGGCCCACATGGCCACATACCCTTACTCCTTGGCCACCCCAAACGGACCCACGTGGCTCTCACTTTGTATCTGTCAGAGCCAGGCTTTCATTTGAAAGAAGTTCAAAGCACTAAACTATGTTAAGCCTCATGAGGCGTCTGTGCAGCCTAGTCCCTAATCACAAGTTCCATGTCTGCCAATAAAAAGTCCAGCCTAAAGGACACATCTGGAGTGTCTACTTATTCCCAGTGCTGGGGGAGTTGGACCACTAATCCAGCAAAGGGACAGACACTTCGGGAGAAAGAGGTCATCAGCACACGGGGCAGGTGGGCAGCCAGGAGAGGGAAGCTGGACAGCAGGCTCAAATGCTGACAGGAGGGAGCAGAAACAGCAACAAGAGTGGTTTCTGGCAAACAGTAGACATGTAAACATTTGTTTCCATAAATGAGAAGCAGTTTCTGTCATGTAGCAAACATGTAAACACACATTTTCATAAATGAAGAGCAAGAAGGAATGAATGAAAGGAGATGAAAAGAATTCTCAGATGCTACAGCAGAGGCTTCACTTTGGTTTGGCTTGGGGCCATTTTAGTCAGTGCTCAGGGGCCTGAAACCAGGCCTCGCCCATGGAGAGAACTCACCGCTACACGATCTCTCTAGCAGAGCTTTGCTGACAAGTGAGTGAGGAACAGTTCAAGTCCTCAAAAGCAAGCAATGTAGGAATTCGAGAATTAAATTAGCCAATGAAAAAAGGGTCTCTTCCAATTCAGTATGGATAAAAAGATTAATTCCAGATGGAACACAGACCTAAACACAAGTGCAAAAGTTAATTCTCAGATCGTGAGATTTTTTTTTTCTTTTTCTAAGAGGAAAAGCAAATCTGCAACACTTAGGGTGAGGCAGTCTTTTTGATTTTGGTTTGGGGGGTGGGGGTCATGTCCAGCAATGCTCAGACACCACATAGGATGCTGGAGATCAAACTCAGTTGGCTGCATGCCGGAAAAGTACCCTCTTCACTGTACTGTCGCTCTGGTCACAGGGCATAACAGCATATCTGATATGACAGCAGGAGTAACTGGACCTTCTAAAATGGAAATATTGGCCAGAGAGATAGTACAGTGGGCAAGGCGCTTCCCTTGCCTGTGGCCAACCCGGGTTCAATCCTTGGCATCACATATGGTCCCCCATGCCCCAAAAGGAGTGACTGCTGAGTGCAGTGAGTAACCTCTGAGCATCACTGGCTGTGGCCAAACCCCCCCCCCAAAATTAAAATGTTTCTGGGCCAGAGAGACAGTTCTGGGGTTAAGATCCTTGTCTTGCATTCCACCAAGCCCACTTCAAGTCTCTGGCACCACACAGGGTTCCCCAAGTTCCATCAGGAGTGGTCCCTGAGCACAGAGTCAGGAGGAAACCCCAAAGCACAGCTAGCTGAGTGCAGCCTAAAAACCAAAAGCAAAACTTAAAACGTGAGCAACAAGAAAAAAAGAAACATCTCATGAGCACTGTCAGTGATCCAGAAGAGCACAGAACTGGCCTGCTGAGCCTTGCCTCAATTTCCGACCCCAAAAATGTGTGCAGGAGTAAGCCCTGAGCACCGGCAGGTGTGGCCCAAAAAAGAAAAAACAAACAAAAAACCAAAGGCACCATCACATCAGTAGCGCTCTTAGTCTTTAACAGATACCCATCCTGGGTGAGTTCGATGGCTGGGTGGAGGCTCTGAAAGCCAGAACGCCAGTTCCAATTCCAGCACCGCATGGTCCTGAGCACCTCTGGGTGTGGTTGTGACCCACAACCAAAACAGAATTAGAAACTCAAATATGATTGCTACGATGAGTTCATAGCATGAAAAATGCCTATGGGAAAAAGCATGAATCCCAGCATCAATTGTGTTTGAACACACAGGCACAGATGGACAGACGAAAGGACACAGACACACAAACACATAGTGCGAGCATGTCCCACAGCACATCTCTAGAGAATGCTATTTCTAAATGTATTTCTAAATGATGAAATCATAGATGACTGCCATCACACACACACACACACACACACACACACACACACACGGTGCGAGCATGACCAACAGCACATCTTTGGAAAATGCTATTTCTAAATGATAAAATCATAGATGACTGCCATCATCTTGTCCAAAAGTGAAGGGTTTTAAAGTAACTACTGGAAGATGAATGTTAAATAAGATTAACACTGCTCCTCTAGGGACCCAGGAATAATAGTCTGCC